ATCTCTTCTACTTGAGTGGACAAGATGAACATAACATTCAGGCACATAGAATCAGGGGTGGGGTGTCCTCCCCCTTCCATTTCCATGAACGATTTTTTCCCCTCGAAAATGGTCAGTGCAATTCTGATTGTCCTATCTCTTACTTTTTGATGAAGTAGAGTAAAAGGAAATCCCTCTCAAATCAAAAAAAAACTTTTTGAGGGGTTTATCAAAGATATGTCCAAGGTAATTTTTCATTTTGCCTCTTATAAAGCGCCATTTCCCTTTCGATGCTATGCCTGGAATTTTTTTTTCTACATTGCACTAAAACTAGATTTTAAATGCAAAATTAATACTTGTTATGCTTATGTTAACTACGATTCTTTCATTGTGTTTGGCTAGGACTAATGTCTGCCTAATCAGTTTGTATCAATGTAATCGTTGAATCATATGATAAAACAATTATTGCTTTTTTTCTGTCATGACGATCAGTGATTTTCTACCATCGAAAAACAATGTTCTCCTCGCCCTTTGGGCTTGATAAATCTTTAGCTCCTCTAGATTCTGAATCATCACATGACTTACTCTAAAAACAACAATAATTGTCTAATGTAATGAGATCAACATATCATCGATTTATTCACAATTTAGCTCAAGGGAGCATTTTGGCCAACAGGTCTCTTGATTTATTATTTTTATTTTGCCCCCTAAACATTTCAACTAGAATCCACTTTAATCCACACGGGGTCATTATTCTACGGGGGTCATTTTTCTTCACGTGGGGTATGCAGATTTATAGGGTAATGACACTTTTTCTACGGGCAAAAGGGTCATTTTTCGACGTCGAATAATGATCGGGGTCATTTTTTGCCGTTGAATAATGACCGGGGGTCATTATTCGACGTCGAAAAATGGCCCCCGGACATTATTCTATGGGGGTCATTATTCGTCTTTGCCCCGGCCCAACCCGATGGAATTCTCGCGGCACCGTCCGGTACTATACGGTTATTTCTTTTAAATCTATAAATACTATATATATATATATATATATATATATATATATATATATATATATATATATATATATATATATATATATATATATATAAAGATCGGTATATATTCGGTACATGTAGAAATTGTAATACGGTACATATATGACGGTTAGGTATAAATACATGTACATTTGTATATAAATCCCAAGCAATGATTATGAGATTAATAAAAAGAAAGTAACCGGTTACTAAAAAAATCGGCCGATTTGACAACACTACTTGTAATGAATTTATTATCCTCTTGAAAAATGAATTCTATATCTACCTGATGAGGTGTAAGATGTCTTCATTTCGTGGATATCTGCTGTATTTTGATGAATATTTTCTCTTGCTGCATTGACAGATACTGAAAGATTCTGTAATATGTTTTCCATCAACGATAGATGTTGGTTTAAATTGGAAGATTCTCTTACAACACTTTCGTTTATATTTCTTAACTGATTCTAAAAACCATCGCTCTCTTGTGACAGGTTATGTTTCTGATTAAGAGCAAAAGTGTCATTCTTTGGGTTGTCCAAATATTTGTTCCTCAAAAATTCCAACTGCTCTTTAATATCTGTACTTTCCAAACTTAGCACATTAATTTCTTTCTCAAGATATGATGTTTTCCAACTCAGAAATTATATTTTTGAATCATTATTGCTTTGAAAGTTCGATTCATCGAAACAAACGCTTTTAATTGAGATATGAATGAATGAGTGTCTGTTTTAGAAGATGAGAATTTATACATTCATTTATTAATTTTATATCATGTATGAGTAATGAGATTGTTTGTTCAACAATTTTTTTTTCAATTCTTGAAAGTATTACGTTTCAGAAAATTACAAGTTTCAGAATCTAAAACATCTACTTTTAAGGAGAAAAATAAAAGTAAGAATAATTTGGGTATGCCCCAACACGAAAATATTGCTTCACTCCTCTTTAAGGTATGCATGCGCAGAAAATTTAAAGAAGTTATCATGGTGTCTATTCGATAGATATTAATGTTGGATGGCCGAGGATTTTGACATAATATTCAAAAAAGATTATCAAAACGTATTCCTCACTTTTGATTGCTTCAATTCTATGTTGTTTACAAGTCTCACGCTAAAAATTAAAAAAAAAAAAACACGACCTTGACATTGTTGACATTGACAATAACAACCAAGTACGCTTTAAATATAACTTTTCTTATTCCGGCACTTACATTTTGCAGTCTTTTATTGCTTTTACCGTGCAGTTCAGATCTCAAAACTTCGCCTTATTCATATTTCTCATAAATCTTAAGCTTTATGACACAATTATCTTTAAAGAAGCACATGATATTGACTTTAAGTTGTCTTTGTAAATGTGACCTTTCGTTACGTTGTTGTAATTTCTGATATGAAAAAAAAAAATACTCAATGGAATTTTCTTATCAAATATATTTCATGGAACAGATATCTCTGAAAGTTCTATATTAACATTCATCCTCATAATCTTTTAGAAAGATAGCTGTTTCGGTGTTATTCCGGATCTGTTACACTTTTCTACACGAATTTATGATATCCAAAATCTTTTTCGTATTTTCTAAATGTACATTTAATAAGTACACTTAAAAAATCTTTTGTCACTAAAGCTATATCATAAAGCTATATCATTAAAATATGATACCAGTATAAAAAATTGTATATTATTATATTCCCAACAATTACATGTATCTCACGTTGATGTGATGTTCTTCATAGGATAACATTTAAATTTAAAAAAAACGTGTACATGTATAAGCTTAAAGGGGCCTAGACATTGTTACATTGTTTACATTTAAAATTTCTCTGTTTATTCAAAAAACAAACAAACAAACAAAAAACAAATTCAATTTAATAAATTTAACTTAAAGGAATAATATTAGCATTCCATGACAACGGCATTCTTCTTTACATCACGTCAACCATTTTTGTTTGTTAACCGGGCACAAACTCAGTTATTGTTAGTGTTTATGTTTTATTGGGTGTGTTTAATGTGTTCAGTCTGCAAACATTATTCAGCACGGACTGAAAACACTGATGAGTTGGTTTTTCTTACTCGCATTTCTACTCTTTATATTCTATATTAAAGTTTAAATTTTTTTATATAGATCTGCACAAGATTGCTATTAACTTAAGTATAAGGATATATTTTCTTCATGAAAGTGAATGAATATGGGTCAATTAAACGCGTCCCGAACTTTTTAGTTTTAGTAATGTTTAGATGAAAGAAGTTTTTTTAACACGCTTTTATTATATTTCGGCTTGAAATGTTGTAGCAACATATAACTCGTGTTAACATATTTTTGTGACATCATCTCTTGTCAAACATGGTCAAGTAAATTTCACATTGTCCTGTGCGCCGTTCAATAAGTTACCTGTAGGTGTCCAATAAGACTCAAGACTGGACAGCTAGAGGTAACATTGAAATGAAAACAAAATGCGATACAGATGAATAGTTACATCCACTGAATATTATCTCCTTCATTTCTTAAGAAAACCATTGCTGTTTATCAGTCAGTAAACACCACTAAGCATATCACCTCTACAGGTTTTTGGAGCAGTAGCTGTTGTAGCTATGAAACGTACAATGACGTACATATCAATAACACACTATTTCATCTACTAAATCCTACTTTAAATGAATACTGTAGATTCTTAAATATACGCGAGGAATTAATAATCGCGAAATTTTGCGAAAAGCAATACTCGCGAAATAAAAAAAAAAATCCTTATTTTAATATTGTTCTCGTGACTTGGCGTTAAACAGTTATTTCGCGATGATAAGTACTCACGAAAAATAAGGAATCTACAGTAATTGCACATATATAAATATAATCAATAAAATGTCTTTCTTTGTTAGTACGAGAATTAATGTTGCAGCTATTGTAGAAAAAAATACATAATCCGCTGGTTATGCATTTTTTTCTGCAACAGCTGATACATTAATTCCCATACTACATGTAACAACTAAAGAAAGGATTTTAAAATTTAAATGTACAGCACTAAAAAGGCTATGACAAATTACAGAATTTTATATGAACAATGTGGGAAAATAGCAGCATATAAAAATATTTAATAAAATAATCCTATTGAATTCACGGTTAACTGAATGACAATAAATGTTGTAGAAGAATTAATCTGTGTCATCGATCTAGAATTTCATTAAATCTCCGTTCATTTTTATTCATTTCACAATAATAAATACGAGCAACGTTCCCAGATTCAAATAATTATTTATCAAATCTAAAATTTGCAAGTACATGTATACAGACCAAGTCATGCAATTTTTTTTCAAAGTACGTTTTTTTAGTATGGTCGATATTAACGCATTTTGAGAAGAATTTTTTTCTTTTTTCAAAGTGCGTCAACTCGGTCCCAAATTCAACGCACTTTGAAAAAAGTTTTTCAAAGTGCGTAATTTTTTAAAATGCGTTGTAACAGTCGTTGATTTTGTCCAAAATTTAACGCACTTTGAAAAATGTTTTCAGAGTGAGTTAATTGTGTCTCAATTTTTACACACTTTAAAAAAAATCAAAGTGCGTAATTTCTTTTCAAAGCGCGTTGTCACAATAGTGTCTTTATTTCTGGTTCAGTGGATTATACCGAATCAATGTGTGAATGAAAATGAAAATCTGAAAGCAAAAACAAGACAATTTCTTTCCATCTAGAAATCTTTTTGAAAAGTAGAGACATCTTTTAATTTCAAATGTGCTACCTTCATATGCAATTCATAGAATAAAGCAAAATCTTTAACTACTTCTGCATTTAACCTTCATTCTTCCCAAAATTGTCAGAAGGCACATTTCTCCCAAGATATCTAGAACTGTTCTTTTACTTTTTGATATACATTGGAAGCTGTTGGCAAAGACGAGCAAATATGAAATCCAAAAAAAAGGACTCTGTCGTCGTCCTATAAGAGTTTTAACAATGCTTTTCTGCATTAAATATGAATAAAGCATTTGAAAAAATAGAACATCAATATGTTTCTTTTTGTTTAATTAAGAAAAAAATTCATTTAACAAGATTGTTCTGTTTCCATATTATGAGCAATGAAAAAGGTAAATCCTTTTCTACAATGATATTGATTGCGATTTGGTATCAGTTGGAATATGTATAGTTTATGCTATTAATGCTATGAGTGACGATGCTTTACATTTCTCCTTTTGAGTATAGAACATGTCTTAACAGAAAATTTATTCATAAGGTAAAAGGTAATCTTTTTAAGGACTCAGCTTACATACAAAGGGACGTTTTACGTCACAGCGTTTATCGTTCCATTTCAACCCTGTACTCCACTTCTCAACACAGTGTTCAACTTTTCCAGCATTGTTGGGCTCGTTTCTGTGCCAATTCGTATATGACGGTTTACTTCCAGTCGAGATAAAGACAAAGTAACTTTCCTTGAAAATATCTGTCAATCCAATCCACACATATTGAAAACCTAATAATGGAAACTTTAAAAATACAGTGAAATAATTTTAGCTAACTGCAAAAAAAGTTCTTTTTTTAACAAAAATGTACCTCGTAACTTAAGCTGCAGATCAATCCATTTTTCTTCTTGTGAACTTTCAATTTCAAGAAGATGAGCACCAGCCGCAGCGTTGTTACAAAACTTCTGTTATAATAAATAAAAAAATGGTAACACATTGAAACCAACAAAAGTTATAAGGATTTCCAGTTATATTAAAATTACTTAAATTTAAAAATTCTCTGAAGTACATACAGTAAAACACGCTTTTCACGAAGTGCCAAGGGCCGACACTTTTTCTTAGTTTTAAACGTAATTCCTTATATCCGTTAAGAGTTCAATATATTTTAAAGTCAAGGGGAATGAAGATTAAAATCACTTAACTATGAGCATGAGTTCATTATAAGAGTGTTCGCTATCAGTGAGTTTTACTATATTTGCTCTCTGTGAATCAGCCTACCACCGCCTCTTTAAAATTTGTTTCCATGCTTGAAAACAGATAGCAGCTTTCATCAAACCGGACCCATCCTTTTTCACATTTTGTAGCACGGAAATCATACCCTGTAAAATTAAAATCAATATTAATTCAGTATATAAAGGATATTCAATGTTTTGTAGATGAATATGGAATTTATTTCACGAGTGGGACAGGATTTTTTTATATTTTCATGAGTGCGAAGCACGAGTGAAAATATCAAAAAATCCTGTCTCACGAGTTTCATTTTCATTTGTTTCATTTTCTTTGATTTTCCCTTTGCCTCTGTCTTTTCTTAACACAGTGTCATAAGCTTGACGTCATAGTTGAGTGGTTGAGACGTCATAGCTTAGCAGCTGTGTGATTGAAAACATTACATAGCATGGATTTTAGCAACATATTTGGGAAGAAATTTGCAGTTTTAGCTCTATCAAGATGCTTAGTTACTATCTCTATCTTATGACAGGCCAGAAATTAATTTTCCCTTACCTTGATATCCTTTCACACTTTGAGAGAATATCATTTTGTTATCCTTTCACACTATGAGAGAATATCACTTTTACTCAATAAATAAATCACAGTATTTCACTGTTGAAAATGTAATAAATAACGTTATTTATCGAAACTAGGGATGTCAATTTTACTCGGAGCTTAGTCGAATAATCGGAGGCTTTATGTTGACCTATAGGCAGTAGGCCTACTCGTTGAAGTTTGATTTTTCATGTCATTTTCACTATTTGTCGTTTACAGACTGCTTGTACAATATTTAATCTACGCTATCACTATCATCATTATTCAACGTATCTCTGAATCAAAAACATTTAATATGTTGTAATAAATAAATGTATCTTGCGTATTTTATTTCAAATATAGTATTTACTGCACATTTTATCTAAATAAAGGATATCAAACTCTCGCATTTGTCCTTTTCATGACGCTAGTACATGTACATGATATTGATCTATCAGCTGAGGACATTTGAACTTGTCTAGTCAGTGACTCGTTACTGGTAAACAGATGAAGCGTACCTAATATAAAAGCAATCGGGGCTTGGGATAATCTTTTTATTATGAGATTTAGTGCAGACAATCCTGAAACGACTGTCATTAACATTTGAAACATTCACCATTAAATTATGCACTCTTTGCCCTTCCCCAATAAACAAAACTATGAACATACAGCCTTTTAATTATCATTAATTAATTATTGGATTTGCTTGAAATTATGATATTGCGGTATGGAACTGTATAATTTGGAAATAGCAAACCAAATAGTTTTTGAAAGCCCCCTACATTTACCGCACTACGAGGTAGACAATCCTTTAGAATCCATTTTGTGATAGCAACATTTTTTTTTGACTCAGCACTTTAGCGTCTTTGCGCAGAACTTACTAGGACATTAACAATGGAAGATTTTGATATGTTTGACGGTTGTCGGCATTTAATATGATACAACTTATTTCATGTTCCACCGCAGTAAGCAAATTCAGCTACAAATTACATATACGTACTTTTGTTTTTTCCATCCTGACATCATTTAAAGTACGCCCAAAGTGTAGATTTTGGAGGCATGTTTGCCGACCAAAAATCGACATACAAATGATTTCCTTTGAACAATTAACAAAGACCCGTGAAGTCTTACCCTGAGTTTTACTCATGAGAACACTGATGCGTTTAGAAATGAAGTAGATGGATCCAGTTTTATTACATTGAATTTAAAATTGCTATTGATATTCGTTGTCACCGCTAATCGGAATACATATATTTATCAATAGTTACCAAATATTATTTTTGTAATTAGCAAAATCCCTAAATACATTCATATATTTTACTTTATGCTACTTTAAATAATAATGGAACCAAACAAACTTCTACTGATGTTTGGTTCAAAGATCATTCTTGAAAAAATGATTGAAGGTAGTCATCAAGCATCTTGTGTTACACACTTTTAAACAATATTTAGACTTCTTTAATTATATTCATAAAAAGGATTTCACTTATGTATATATCCAATTTTGATATAATATGCGTTTGGTTTGATACAATGAAATACGAAGATAATGAACAGTAATTTATCTCAAAAGTCCATTGAAACAATATAAATTTTGAAAGAGCAAAATACGGACCTCTAAAAACATAAGACGTGGGACCAGGTGCCATGAAGGAGTAAGCATTCCCTGTCGACCGGTCATACACGCCGTGCAAATGTGCTCATTGTCATGATCGGGGAAACGGAAAAATCCGTAGACAATTCAGTCTTTAAATAATGGCCTTACAATTAGTATGAAAAACCATCATCCAGCATTCGAATTATTGATAGATTTGTATCGACCATAGAACTTGCGAAATAATGATTTTTTACACGAGTTTTTATATGCATTTGATGTTTTACAAACAACAAAACACTCTAATTTGTTTCTTTAAACTATTCTCATTATATAGGTACACTCATATATATTTTGAAGATAAAAATCAATTTTCGACACTAGAAATTGTGGAAATTAAATACTGTACAAATAATGTCCTTTATTTTTGTACGTGAATTTCGTTGAGTCGCTATGTTTCAGTTAGCAAGTATTAGTATCCTAATAGTTAAATGTAAGTGAAAATCAAATACCCGGCCTTTCAGAATTACATGACACTGGATATAAGATAATTACTGTAAACCAACTATAATCCGCGTCATCTTTTATTCGCTTTTTTTTAGTTAGAAATCAATCTAAGACGATCATTTTTCGCGAATGAGGAAACATTCTGTATAAATACAAAGCAAACTAAATAATTCGTGGCGAATAATATTCGAAAGTAAAGGTAAGTCGCAAAACTCGCACGCGAATAAAAGTTGGTTTACAGCATATACTATAAAGTATACAAGTATCAATCCTGGCCATTATATGAATTTAGCAGTACTAGGTAGCTAAATTTCTTTGTATCCTAACAGGGATCTGCATTTCGTGACATAAAATTACAGTGTAAATCTTTCTCATCTTTTAGATCTTGTAATATTCGAAATATAAAGGTATCTATATAAACGATATTGCGTTCAACACGGCATTGTAGTCAAATGCAACATTTTGACGAAATAAGAGCAAACTTTGAAATTGAGGTATGTCACTCGTGAAATTAGTTAAAAAGCATATTTTAGATAATTGCTCATATAGTATAAGAAAACGTAAAAATAGTACCAAAAACCATACTGTCTTTACAGTAATATTGCATTAAAACTAGGTATGCGAATTTGACAAAAAATACAAATATGCAGCTCACTCTAAGAAACATTGTATAATATTTTGATGGTTTGTTTTCTCGTAAGATTTTTGTATGCAGTAAACTGCGACCTTCCTTAATAAAATGATTCGATACAAATGAGACTATATATCACAAAGTTAGTCAAAATATCATGTAAAATAACCAAAAATGTCATTAAACCAACGCTTAGAACAGATACCCACTTCAGTGCACGACGACTATTTGACAATAGAGGGTACCTGATTTTATACGAAAATACGTTTTCAAGGCCTTTAAACTAATGGAAATATGTGAAGATAACAAACAGTGATATATCTAAAAAATCTATAAACAATACAAATATTCGAAGAGGGCATAAAATATAAAACGCGGACCCTTGAAATCTCATTTTTACATTGATTTCATGTCTGTATAATTATGAGATAATCTCTTCAACTATTGACATATAATGTGATTGAGCAACTGAAAAATTCAAAGTTATTATACATAAATGATGCTGTCATTTATATACATGTTTGCATTGAGAAATTTGTGCATTTCAAAACGGAACATTTTGCATTAAAACATCATCTTAAGTTTGCACTCTAATCATTTAAGATCGCAATTTAAATTTAACTATAGTCTATTAAATTCTATTGCCTTTTTATTTAAAAAAATGGTACTTAGAGCTGCATTTTCCACGTTACCAATATTAAATGATTGGGAATGCTCACTCTTCCATGGCACTTGATCCCACCTCTAAATTTTGAGGTCCGTGTTTGCTCTGCTCCAAATTTGTATCGTTTCATTGGACTTTCGAGATTGAATACTGTTCGTTATCTTCATATTTCACTGTTACGTACGAAACAATAAAATTGAACATGCAGTTAGAATATAAAAAGTGAGTGATGTATTTACCTGTCGGGTTGCAGGAGTATATCTTCCGTTCTTTGGCATCTTCGGTATTTTGTTGATCATTTTCCATTGCTTTATTACAGGACACCAAAAGATTTCGTAAACCCTTTTCCATCGACAATAAACTTTCCATTAAATGAGTGGATTTTTTTCTGTACATTATACTATGATTTTGGAAAGCGTCGTTCTCTAGTATCAGTTTATCATATTTCTTATTTAGATTTAACGTTTCATTCTGAAGACTGTTCAGACCTTTGTTCTTCAAAACAAGCAACTGTTCATTCATATTTGTATTTTCCAAAGAAAGCGCTTTAAATTCCTTTTCAAGGGCTGAAGTTTTCCTTCTCAGAAATAAAATTTCCGAATCATTTATGCTTTGAACGTTTGCATCGTCGATGCTTCTGTTATTACCAAGAATCACATGTAGAACAATGAGTTCTTCTTTGAGCTTTGCGTTCTCTTCCTTCAATTTATCGTCGTTTATTTTCAAATCACCTAATTCCTTCACAACATCATTTAGCCTCCTCTCAAGGCTTTGGCTAAGGTTTTTACTGTCAATTGCATCCAATACCAAAGTCTCAATTTTCTGTATCACTGTGAATCGCACTAAACTTTCTTGATTTAAGATGTCTCGTAAGACTTTTAATTGTTTACTGGATGTCGTACTTGGCAATGGAGCCGTTTCTTTCATCTCGGCATTTTCAGGTAAAGTCGCATGCCCAATAGACTCATTAATACAGAGAAGCAAATATATCATAAGCATACCCTTCATTCTTCTAGAACCGCTTTTATAATCATGTAGTGAATAAGTTTATTGTAAGCATTTACTGAAAACCAGAATTTATATATTAAATTTGGGAATTCCTTACATACCATGCATTAGTCATAAGAATTTTTTTTTAGATCACCTCATTTAATGCATTTGATAAGGTTAGCATGAAATATTTCGCAAAGGCGGGTCTCAAGATAAATCAAATTTAGTTATCTTTTCTAGTGGATATGTTGTATATTTCATATGACTTGGGCGTTATTTTTCACTTAAAAAAGATTAAGTTCTGTAATTTTCTTATCAATTGTTAACTGCAAAAAGAGATATTTCTGACAGATGAAAAGCGTTTGTGAAGGTGTGTTCCATTTTAACATTCAAGCACATACGTATACAATGTTTTAGGATATTCTTTGAAAAATTCAAGAAAAGTGCGCTTAAAAAAGTAAAACTTTTCGTAAACACAGCAGTATCAATGAAACTGATGATTGATTGATTGATTGTATATTGTTTTACGCCCCATTCGAGAATTTTTCACTCATATAGAGACGTCACCATATACCGGTGAAGGGCTTCAAATTTTGACCTTTACTCGGTACTCAGGGCCATTGAGCAGTGAGGGATCTTTATCGTGCCAACGCCTGCCGTGACACGGGGCCTCGGTTTTTAAGGTCTCATCCGAAGGACCCGCAACTTTCACTTCAAAGTGCCGAGCGCATGACGAAGGAACAGTTGCTCCCTATTTTTTATCGACTTAGGTCTGTCGCGGCCGAGATTCGAACTCACGACCTCCCGATCACGGAGCGAGCGCTCTACCGACTGAGCTACCGTGAAATTGATGAAGAGATTACATGTAGTTTGTAATGTTTACAACTACTTTTACTGTCTAAGATTTAAAATAAAGATTAAACTCTAAGATGACTCTCTTGTTGAAAGAAGTATATGTGTATTGTCTAAGCAGCAATATCTTCTATTCATATTAAGGGTTGTGTATATGTTTCCTTATGTAGTTTTTGATTGTTTTACTACTCCGTATACATCATCAATACATAGGGCTCACGGCGGGTATGACCGGTAAATGAACAGGGGATGCCTACTCCTCCTAGCCACCTGATCCAACCTTATCAGGGGTCCGTGATTTTGTCCTCTCCACGATTCTTTTTCTTTACTGGAGTTAATGAGATTAATCACTGTTCGTCATCACCTTTTCAAACGATTACACCTACTGTATAACAGAATCGCGGTAATATTTCATGAGATTCTTATTTCTTATTAGAAGTAACATGGGTTCCCCCCTATAAGAATTAAAAAGGATGTATAAATGCATGTATCCTTACCACACCCACATTATTTTGAACATTACTTTTTTCTTTATCCAAAGCAGGTAAAAGTGCTTGAAGTTTAAGTATGAAACTAAAAAGGTACGTATTTCTTTGCCAAGAATCTAAAATGAAGACAGATTACTTATCATTTTTGAAAATTTAAAGAGAGTTGTTTTATTTCTTTTCGACAAGGGAATCAGCATTCGTTGGAATTAATAACTGACAGACACCATTTAAAAAAAAATCATTAATTTAATAATTATATAACCTCTGCCAATAATCTCAAAACAAACAAATAAGAAGTATCTCAATGTAAATAAAATTTTAATTTTTGGTTTTGTGTTACTAATATAACAAATAGTACTTGGCGACATTCAATGCTTGAAAAATAACAATTGTAAATAAAAAAGTTTTCAAAACAGCGTCTTTCAGAGGCTGAAAATGATATGCATAGAAGAATAAGTAATAGAAAAAAATCACATAAGTCCTTTAGAAATACAAAAGAGATTTCATAAAACTTAAAGAAATTTTCTTAAAGCTTAAGGTTTAAAGATAAAGGGAAAGAATGCTTTACAGGGATAAAGCCTATGTTATTCAAGCGCGTAGGTAGAACCTGCCCCCCCTCCCCCCCCCCCCCCCAACCCATTCTGAAGGGAAAAAATATCAATATATACTATACAATTTAAACAAAGTAATACTTTGGCAACCTCAAAACAAATCTTTGTTGATTCTTTTCACTTGTCAGGAATTTCTGTCTGTTTGTGTCTGTAAAACTGAGATTGCTTCCAATGGGCCTGCAAGAATATTTTCTTTTACCATTGGAATATTGTATAAGCTGATGACTATTATGTCCATTGTCACAACAATGAGAACCAAGGGCACTCCAGATATTTGAAAATGTAACGGTAATTGTTATTTGAAAAATATCCACCTAAATCTTTCAGTATAGCAGCAGCCAATGTGAGAGAAGACAGAATTGTATGTAAAGCAACTATTGTAAACATATCACTAAGCTCTCTTTAAACATAAAGGAACTACTAAAACCTACTGATAAAGTACTTTACAGATTATGACTGACTACAGGCTTCTTAAATATATTTAAATAATTAAATCTAGTGAACACATTGTTTTATAAAGTACATGATACAAAAAATATAAGCTAAAGGCATGGACAGTTTAACCTTATAATAGTTAAAAAGTACAGTTTAACTTCGTAATCTCGAACTTTGATATCTCAAATACCATGGATTTGTTGAAGTGATTTGAAAGTCCAAATCTCTATTTTCTTATGTATTTTAACCTCAATATTTGAAAACTAGATTCTCAAATTTTTCTCATTGAATTGAAGATACAGAGGTTTGATTGTACATAATCTTTGATATTTGGGTATAAATGCTCATAAGATAAACATGCCACAAACATTAACAAAAACAGTTTTGTTGTCTAATTCAAAATAGCCTTGTAAAAAATTGTAAATGCTGGAAGTATTGCAGTTAAGAAATTTATAACTAATTTAAAAAATATTTTGCATATTCTTAATGTATCAACATTTAGCTTAAGTGCAATACAGACAGAACAAATTAAAATAAATTATATTTGACTGTTTTCTTTATTTCAATAAACAGGGGCAAGTGATAAAAAAATAAAATTATTCCAAAAATAGACTTCCCATTAGAACACGTCTACGTACATACATGTATTACCATCCTCATTTTAAAGAAATTTATGTGTAATTTTGAAAAATATCTTGAACCAACATTGTCTTGATAGGGCTGATATCTCCCCTCACAATCAAAACCATGGGAAATTTTCAAATACTTTGGATATAAAATGTACATAGCATTCAACATCATGCACAGGCACCCCATATTCAGCTTGGATACTACAGCAACTCTGACATGCTGGGAACATACTAAGCCATTGTCAGAGTTAACTAACGCAAAACATACGCTTAAAACAGACTTGACAGTGGAAAGAATTAACTAGTGCATAAAATAAAATACATTTGCAGCATCAGAGGCAGACATCATATTAAATATTAATAAAATCACTATATCTGCAAATTCAGTTTGGATACCCATGAGAAAAGCCAGGAAAAAGATCCACCATGCTTGGTTTAACGCTGCATATGATCCTTGTCTCCAGAGAGTACAATGTAGGTCAAATGCATTAGGTTTAGGTATCCATTCATGAAGAACATCTTCAATCTTTGTTTTGGATACCCCTCAAGATGTGCCAAAAATTATTTAAATACTGATCTGACATGGAACTTTACCTTACACTGTTCAATCAAACATTAAGCAGAGGTAAGAAGCAGGATACGAAACATGCATATTAACATCTACAAAGGCACCAAAATTGCAATTTTGATTTAGATACACATTAATACAAGCTTGATAGTAATATCCGACCTTATTCTGATGTTTGCATACAGTAAGATGGACAGACTGACAGACAGATATGAACACATTCATGCAATAAGTAACCCTTTAAATCTCCACTACAAGGGAAATTATTAAAATTAATACATCCAGTGCAAATTCTCATTGCATGTTGCTTAACAAATGGCAAAAGGCATGCTCAGTGAATAAGAAACAATGATATCATCATGTGGAAAATTTCAGGGAAAAAAAAAACGATTTACAATACATATATACAGGAAATTGAAAGCACTTGCATAATTATGAAATATGCCAGCATACACAAACATTGTATATTAAATGATCACGCATGTTTTTTGTATATGTAATAAATGTATAGTGAGCAAATATTTAAACCTGCTCCCTCTATATAATACTCATAGTGGAAGTGGTTATTACACATTAAAAAAAAATAAAGCTTTCAAAAGCTGGAATATTTTAACAAAATTTTTGTGTCTGGGTGATATCCACCCATTTAAAGTTTCATCAGGTGTGAACATTTATGTAACTAAGATAAATGTCATTCCGATATACAGGTGTCTTGAACATTGATATCTCAAATATCATGGATATGTGGTAGTAAGTTGAAAGTTCCAACCACTTTTTTCTTTATGTACTGTAAATGTACGTTTTTCCGCAGGGTCATAATTCCATGGAATCACAATTTCTGTTCAATCCGCAGGAAAAAATAAGTATGTTAAATTGCTACTATATATGCCTAATATGTACATGTAGGGTATTTCAAAGTGTTTTCTTGGTCTCATTGATTCCAAAATAAAAAATATTTGATTGTATACAATCATTCGTACAAATCTTAAATTAAATAAATGAAGGATTTTATAATCATACACAAATGAAAAAAAAAATCAAAAAAAGATATCTATGATTGGAATCTAAACAGACAGGAAAAAAAGATCATCACAGAGAATGGCTTACTCAATTAAAAGCAAAACAAACATATTGTATATTACATGCGACACTCTCCATAATAACATACACAAATACTTGACCTTCGTAATATTCTTCAAGCAAACAATATCTAAAATTACTTTCTTGTAATCTTTACACAGACACACACACCCAACACAATGAGATTAACACAGTGCATGTTATATATATATTGGAATGTTAAAAATATATGTTAGCAAATACTGAAAATTAAAAATAATGCTAGGAGTTTTGTAAATCATTCTTTTCAGATAGAATTTCCTCTGTCTCAATCTGTTCAGGCAGAATTTCCTCTGTCTCATCTATATCATTCCCATTCCACAACATCTCAGCAGATAGTAATGAACGAGGGAAAAGTCCTGATTTTATATAATCATCTAAAATCTGTAATCAAAAAGCAGACTTTTTTTTAAATAAAGGGATTTTATATATATAATCAAACAGATGGCCCATTGGCCTCAACACTCACCTGAGTCAATACAGCCCTGCTATTCTTCATCAGCAGATTTTTTTCTATTATATATTCCTATGTAAAACTTTGATCCTGATCCCCCATGGTGGCCCCACACTACCCTAGGGTATCATGATTTCAACAAACATGAATCTACACCACCTGCAGATGCTTTGTTATCAGTATGACTATTCATTGCTTCGCTGTTCTTGAAAAGATTTTTTTTTTAAATTTATCGTATATTCCTATCTAAAAATTTGATCTCCCATTGTGGCCCAATCCAACCAATGGGGGTCATGATTTGAACAAACTTGAATCTACACAATGTAATTAAAAGTTTCAAGTACATGTACATTTAAACTTTTTTGGCCCAGTGGGTCTTTTAGTGATTTTTAAAAAATGCCACCAAATCTTCCCTTATTCTTAATTATTACAGACAGACAGATGGACGACAGACAAAATGTGATCAGAAAAGCTCACCTGAGCCTTCAACTCAAGTAAGCTATAAAGATACTGAGATTGTACATTCCTGAATTTACAGACCTGTTTACTCCTTTTGTGGTTGTTTATCAGTATTTCAGATAACTTTTCAGTAAGATTTAGCATCAAATTTTATCCTTAAGATTCTCAGGTTAGTGTAAGTAAGATTTCACAGTTCTCGGTGAGATTGATTGACTTCACATTGTCAGATAAAGTGATTAGGATGAAACTGTATAATGCTAGTTCCTTAAAGTAGCCACACTCTTTATATTTATGCAAAATTATAAGAAAGTGACATAAGGGATTTTAGAGAATATACATATGTACAACTTGCTTATTACAAAAATTTTCTTATATCCCACTTCCTTTTAAGAGAGTTTTACTGTAATTTTAAAAAAGAAGATCTCACCTCTTTAAGACTTTCTATTTTTATCTCTGGTACACTATAGGTGAATCCCGTGGCTATTAATTTTGAACTGCTCATGGCTAAATTCTTATTGTACAGAAGTTCCTGTTACCATAAAAAATAAGATTGAACATTAGAACAAGGGTAATAATGGAAGCAAATAAAAGTAGGTTTTTCTTCTAATTATATCAAACATATCTAATTTTAGAAAAGTATCACAAATTAGACAGTAATTGATATTCTAAGAGACAAAACTCTTGTCTATTAATTATTCTCTTAGTTATTAGCAATTAACCCGTGTTTAATTACCTGGTCTATGAAAGGATTTAATGGTGTGTTTACGATCCCGTCTCTGTCACAAGCATCAGCCCACGGCTGTACGTGTCTATCATTAATGTCCTCCACTACAGATGTCATGTTGACCTGATTAATAAAAGTGACCAGATTAATGAAACCACTTTACTTAATGGACAATGTAACATAATTGAATGGCTCTAATAAGAAAACAGAAAAAAAGAAACAAAACAAAGAAAAATACATAAATGTCCACTACAGATATCATGTTGACCTGATTAATAAAACCTCTTTACTTAGTTGACAAAGCTAAGTAGCTTAGTGGGGTGAAATTCACCTTAAAATAAGCATGATAAATCAACAAGGAAAACTTTCTATCTTGGGGTCTTCACAAAATGACATTAGAAAAAGCTATTAATGCAAAATCCATGAACAACAGTCAAGTGAATTAATTTATGTGTTTCGTATGTCATTTCATGTCATGTCTTTTATTTTTTTTTTTTTGGATTTGGTGGTTTGTTTATTTGTTTGTTTGTTTGTTTGTTTGTTTTTTTTTTTTGGGGGGGGGGGGGGGGGGTTATTACATGTACCTGGCACAATTAGCTGTGTAGATATTATGAACAACTTACTCGAGCTATATTGGAGAGCACCGATCCCATGAAGTCATACTTAATATCATAAATTTCGGACACAAGCTCACTGACTTTCCCCTGTGCTAGAGAATAAAAGCATAAGAAAAACATATAAACATCATAACTTATTAGAGCTAATATGTGAATCCTACTTAATCTAGATGCTAATAATTTGGACATTTCATTTTCTAGGCGATATTTGTTGGGTACAGAATTATCATTATCTACCAAATATGAATGATCAATGTCAGTAATTCATCAATCTTCATTAATCTGGATCCTGATGATTTGTGTTCAGATTAATGAAGCTCGACTGTACACATCTTTGACAAAGAATGAATTTCTGTTCAAAAAAGGAATTTTTCTGTAAATGTGTAAATGTGATGACTTTTTTAGGCAGAAAATAGAATTAGAAATAAAAATTAAGCAAATACATATGTATAATAGGCCACACAGAGTTAATTCTTTTTATTACCACAACACTGTTACAAACTCACAGAAATTTGACCTTGACTTTTGACCCTATGTGAATAGGTCATGTTTCCTTGATCATTTAGAGAACTCAGAAGCAAGTCTGAGACAAAATTTTTTCTTTGCTTCTTCCCAAATTGTGTCTTTAAAATTGTTTTGGACCTAAACTGACTTTGACCTTGACATTAAACCAATTGTCCTCACATTAATAAACATTTATTGCTGGTCGTTTACCACCACAAGTCAAAGACTACAGGTTTCAAAATAATCCTCTACATACTAGGGTGCTGCTTTAAATCTAATCTTGCACAGAACTTTATGAATGTCAACTAAATATTAAGTTGTACACCCTAGTTACTTTAAACCTCAGTAGCAGGTGTGAGACTCTAAGATCAAAATGTATTCCACATATCTCATGCAAAAGACAGTTAACATTACATGCCCAGGCCTATGAGCACCAAAAGTCAGTAACAACATCTTTGTACAACTGTGCCAGATTGATGGACTGGCACACCAGCCATTTACAATATCCTTAACATGTTATTTTGATGCAAGGGGAATGAACAGAACTTTACAAAAATAAGAGATGAAGAAATATGCAAACTAACTTGTGTGACTGTTGTCAACAACGTTGTAGACTTCCCCCTTCTTGCCGTTGTTACAAAGATGCCAGACCGCACGACAAACGTCAATAACATGAACAGTATTCATCTGTAGATCTTTAGTCCATAACATCTGAGAAGATTAATTTAAACCTGAGAGTAAAATAATCACAGATGTCCAAGGACAGGATGTCCCTCAACCTCTTTTTCATTTATGTAGCTTAGAATCCCTGGAATTTTTCGACTTTTTCATGAGTTACCCTTCCATGAACTAATATGAATTTCATAATAAAAGTAAAAAAACACAAAAATATAAACAACTGAGAAAAAAAAATCACATCTGTATGTACAGATGTGATGTTTTTCTGATCAAAATTCTTATTTTTCAAATTCTACACTGAACGGCACTGAGTAAACATTTATAGATAAACTAAATGCAAATCATTTTATAAATTAACAGTTGCCTTATATTAACCTACCTTCATTTTCTGTCTTGTGTACTTGTAAATTGCTCCTATGATTAACCGAGGGGCTGAAAAAAAAAACAACATACAGATCACATGAAATAAGTCCAAAAATAAATGATTTATATGATCGGTTGACAGGGGAGGCTTACTCCTCCTAGGCACCAGATCCACCTCCGGAATTTCAAGGGGTCTGTGTTTTATGGCCCGTTCACAGATTTGTAATGTCTTTTTTTTAAAGATTTATCTCTGTTTGTTATCTTCATCTTTTTCATTCAAATTCATATGAATGTACTTTCATTGCTGATTTTTTTTTCTTCATCATCTTAATCAGCGATTTTTTTCTACCCATTGAGAAAGGGTCCGGTACTGGTTCAATTGGGAAAAATAGCATCAATTAATTTTTATTTATTCTGCATTTTGCATTTATTCTAACATCCTTACCTATTACTCCATGTTATTAAGAATAAAGAAGTATTTATTATTTTTTATATTAATGTCCCTTGATTTCATATTTTCATGCTGTCAATTTGTCAAAATGTATGACACTACGCTGTCTACATCACAGTTCCTGCCATATTACGACCAATCTCTACTTTCAATTTAAGCGAAAGTGAAACAATTTGTCATGTTTCATATAAAAAGAAATATGATGTCATCGTAATCTGTTGCTTGGCAGTTGAATTGGGCATTTTTAGTCTCAAAATTGGGATAAATTTGCGTTTTTTGGCTTAGGGAATTGCACCGTTTATCGGTATCAGTTATATAAGGAAAAAAAAATGCTGATCTTAAGGGGAAGAAGGACCTTGGGCTGAAAAAATTCTTGTCATTTAATATTTTTCATATTTTGTATATTTCTAATTTAGCATGTCCCACATATCTTAAAGCAGTTTTATGATTAGGTTTCTTACCTTGTTTTAGAGATATTGATAGACAAATACAATGCCCTACAGTGTCTAAGTGGAGTTTTGATTTTCCATGATTCTGGGCCCATTACTTTGTCCATGATGGGATTTTTTAAGCATAGACAAAAAATATGTCAGTGGTCATGTATCTTTTAAAATATTTCAGAGTATGGATAGGGTTTAAATTCGAAAAAAACAAGTTTCTTCTATAAAACTGCATCTAGGTAGGGAAAATTACATACTTTTTAAGACAACTTCATCAACAAAAAACTTCATTTGCAAAAAATTATATCATTCAATATTTGAAAATTTACGTTGAAATGCAAGTCCTTCATTTTATTGATTAACTGTAAAAATATCGAATGGTGAAGCTGACCTCAATATTGCACAGGACATCCTTAAACAAGACATAAGCATGACAAAAACGTGTCATATTTACATTTCTTGAGTACGGGAAAAACCAACTATGACGTCACACGTAAGCTGAATAAGCAAAATAAGATACATCTACAGAAGATTTCTGTCATCAGCCAGGCAAAAATTATTTTTGAGTTCCCCTTTTCTCAAAATAAATCATCATATACTTATTATGACCTGTTTTTACATAATAATACTGCCAGTTTATATACTGAGTATGATCTTGCTGTACTAAGAGATCGTGTATGACGTCACCGACTTGTTTGACGCGCAGTGTAGGGAAACAGAAGGTTGGATCAATATATTCCGTAATTGATTAATATTTACAAAAAAAAATAATTTTTTTAAGATATTTTTATATAAGACATTCAAGTAAAACAAATTGTTTAAAAATTATACATGTACTGATGGCTTAAATCAGGTTTTGAACTTAAAGTATCGGAGACTATGACGTAGTTAAACTGAGTCATGTGACCATGTGTCCTTCGTCCCCTTAATATACAACTTCCCCCAGTTATCCCATTGTGAACCAAAATCCCTCACCTAGTCCCATCTTGTCCCCTGGGCCGTACACAATGGCCGGCCTCACTACCAAGTAATTGAGATTAGGGATGTTTCTGAGCTGTTTTTCCACCTCTAGTTTGTGTTTGGCTAACACTGTCCAAGGATCTAACTTGCTGTCTTCCTTTGCTGGTTTCTGGAGAATGGTACAAAACTTACATTTCAGTACAGGAAAAAAATCTTTTCTTTTTTTCTTTTTTCCACAACAAAATCAAAATTTTGATTGCAAAACTAAAAGTATAGTTCATAGCATAAACAAAAAAATTTACTACAAACCTTGTCAGCAGCATAAACTTGTCCAGTGGAGAATTCCACAAACATCTTTGGGTTATGTTTGGCTGCCTCTCGAGCGCAGTTCATACTCAGGTTTATTATGCCTTCTTGGTACACCTGCACCAGAAGATACAGTTTTGAATTAACTCTCTTTGTGTAAACAGAGTCATTTTCACTTGGTCCTACTTTCAACCTACCATATTTGCACAAGATTTTGTCGTATTTTTATTCATCCAGACATAATTTGAGTAAATGAGAGATAACTCTGTCTAATTTAAATCCACCCAGTTTTAAATTTGCTCAATGACAACAAGCTATGGGCGAAAGGGCATAAATCAAACGTGGGCGTATACTTACAGCATCTGTCTGGCCATATTTAGTCTCAGCGGCAAGGTTGATCACAAAATCATATTCACCTTCAGGATCAGTGAAAGCACTGGAAACTGAAGCTACAAAATTAAACAGTCTAGCACACTGTCACAGTAATTCATTCTTTTCAACATTTAACATGTTTGTTACATGTGAAATCCATGTCTGGAAGATTTTCAGAATATGTTCATTCTGGTTATTTCCTTTACAAATTTCAATTAAACTAGTTATTTCTTTATGACATTTGACTTTAGGGGATGAAATTTCTTCCTACCTGGACTGATAAGGCTTGACTGCTTAAATTCCACCACAGGATTTTCAAAAATCTCCTACAAAAAGGAATCAAGGGTTCAAAATCAAGTATAAGATTAGAAATGAGGAAATTGGCTGGAATAATTCCAGCAACAGAAAAATAACAAAATCTACACATTTAATTTTCAAACTGTGTATCCGACAAGCCTCTCTAGCTCTTTGATGTATATAAAAATATTTGGTTTTTGTACTACCTTGAGTCCAAATCATTCTTCGAACATTTCACACGAGTTATTTTTTTTCATAATGAAACGGTTTTACAGATACTTTGGACTTGGAGTATAATTGCAAAAAATTATGGAATTGCACACGCCTTACCATTTGATAACTGAAAAATTTGTACACATTAACAAAACTCTGTGAATAGTGGTGAAATCTACAATTTATCCAAAACAGTCAAACCTCATTATCTTGAACTCGATGAACATCACTTAAATACTGAGGTCTTCAGTTCAAGGCCAAGTATTATCACATCTTATAATGATTTTTACCTTGTGATTTTGGTTCAGCCATGCTAGCACAGGAGGGACTTTGTCAGCCACTCGGACCTATATATTAATTTTAAAAAATATCAACACATTAAACTTGATAAATTTTTTAAGTGGAAAAACATTTACATATAATAAATGTTTTCTTTTGATTTGTCTTTGCAGTGAACATATTCAAATCAAATTAATTCAGATGTGCATGCAATACTGTTGTTTCGAGAAAAAAAAAAAATTAAAGCAAAACATGGAACTTGGTCATGGTACATGTAGACAATGATGCAGAAATTAGCTTAATTAAGTTAAAGGCTTCAGTTTGGTTTGAACATATTTTATTGTCTATAAACTTTACAACTGGGATTGGGCAAAAGTTCTTAAAACTTAATACGCCCTCTCCCTACATATGAATTATACCAAACATATTTACATATATGGGTTTCAGCTTAAAATGAATAAAACACAGAAAAGCATAATAAGCAGAGGAACATTATAAGGCTTCAGTATACATGGTAGGAAAGAAGTCTTAGAATTTTTAGTATAGGGATAAAAAGTGAATGGATATAAAAACATATACATAACCAACTCCCTAAACCTAGCACATGCATTGTGATTACTTGAAAATAATTTTTACCATTAATTGTTTTAAAAGGAATGCAGAAAAATTAATTTACTTTTTAATGGCAGGTTTTTGCATTTTATATACATTTAAAATAAGCTCACCTTGGAAGCCAAGTTGTTCTCCACAAGATAAGTGACAAGGTTACGTCCAATAAATCCTGTCCCTGAAAAATAAAATACAGAAATAGTGGGCGGCAGAACAATCATATTACTACCTGTTCACAGTACTTTGCCATTGCAAGTTCCAATATCAGATCTTTATTTTTTTTTCTGGAGGTCCTTCAGAAGAGACCATATAAACCTAGGTCCCATGTAGCAGTGGCTATTTGCACAAAACAAAAAGATCCCGCACTGCTCAATGGACTAACATGCCCAGCATAGGCCTAAATCTGCAGTCTGCCACCTGCATTAAGTGGCATCACAATAATGAATATGATTGGAAAATTCTCAAAGACAGCCTTAGGAAGGTATACAATAGACATTTCACCAGGCAATCACAACTTTACCTTTTTTGAACCAGTTTTCATAGGTATACATGGATGCTTAAACAAGAGTTTACAGCTAGGCTTTTTATTCCAGAGTCTTCGTTTATAATCCTGATAATTGTGTATATGCATCAGAAACACCGATGTTCTAGCACAATTGTTAAAAAACTCACCTAGGTACTTCATGGGGGGTACAATCTTATAGTTCTGGCAAAACAGATTTTTCTAAGAAGGTTGTCACCAAATCTTAATTTAAAAGAATTGGGTTTTTTAGACATATTTATACTTTTCTGTACAATGTTAATTAATATTAAAACATTTATTTAAAAAAAATCTATTATGATGATAAAATCCCCCCTCCCCTCATTTTGAAATGTGCCAAAGCGTTTGGAAGGTGGGTGGGGGATGTGTAGGGCTATGTATTGAGCAAAAAAATTCGATACGATATTTTATAATGTGATATCCAATATATTGGATTCTTCAGCAAGTCTTTCAAAAAGTCTTATAATTCATTTAATGCATGAATTTTATAACAAGAGGCCCAGGGGCCACATCGCTCATCTGAGCACTCTGGCTAGGAAAAAGCAGAAATCAGTTCAGTCTTGAAAAGTTTTGATATAAAAGTGGTTCGGGGGGGGGGGGGGGGGGGATTTGAACTTGAATCTATACTTCAAAGGGGTGCTTTTGAATTAATATGACAAATAATTGCTTTGCTGTTCTTAAGAAGACAATTTTTATTGATATATCATTTGCATTCCTTTGTATAACTATGATCTCCTGTTATGGCTCCTCTGTTCTCCTGTGGGGTCATGATTTGAACAAAATTTGAATCGACATTACCCGAGGATGCTTGCATTTAAATATGACTAATTATGGCTTTGCTGTTCTTGAGAAGAAGATTTTAAAAGGCTTGCTTTTTTCCTATGTATTCCTATGTAAAACTTTGATCGCCCATTGTGGAACCACCCTACCCTTGGGGGGTCATGATTTGAACACACTTGAATCTACACTACCTGAGGATGCACCCATACAAAAATAAACAATCATGGCTTTGCTGTTCTTGTGAAGAAGATTTTTACCAATTTTTCCTGAGGATGCTTCCATATAATTATGACCAATCATGGCTTTGTTGTTCTTGAGAAGAAGATTTTTACAGATTTTTCCTATTTATTCCAATGTAAAACTTTGATCTCCCATTGTGGCCCCACCCTACCCCCAGGGGTCATAATTGGAACAAATTTGAACTTAAACTACTTGAGGATGCTTCCATATAAATATTATCAATCATGGCTTGTTGTTCTTGAGAAGAAGATTTTTAAAGAGTTTTCCTATATATTCCTATGTAAAACTTTGATCGCCCATTGTGGCCACACGCTACCCCGGGGGTCATGATTGGAACAAACTTGAATGTACACTACCTGAGGATGCTACCATATAAATATGACCAATCATGGCTTTGCTGTTCTTGAGAAGAAGATTTTTTAAAGATTTTTCCTATATATTTCTATGTAAAACCTTTGATCGCCCATTGTGGCCACACCCTACCCCCGGGGGTCCTGATTGGAACAAACTTCAATCTACACTACCTGAGGATGCTTCCATATTAAGTTAATATTTTCAAGCACAGTGGTTCAGAAGACTTTTAAATGATGCCATTAATTTTTCACAAATTCATGATTATCTCCCCTTGGAAGAAGGCATGGCCCTTCATTTGAACAAACGTGAATCCCCTTTACCCAAGGATACTTTGTGGCAAGTTTGGTTGAAATTGGACCTGTGGTTCTTGAGAAGAAGATGAAAATGTGAAAAGTTTACGACAACGACAACAACGACGACAGACAAATTTCGATCAGAAAAGCTCACTTGAGCCTTCAACTCAGGTGAGCTAAAAACTAATTGTTTCATAACCCATTTTGAAGTTCTTGTCTCATGTCATAACAAATTACACTTCAAATTTAAACTTTTAATGACTGTGAAAACAACATGTTAAATAAAGTTGTCTATGTATTTTGTAATATTTATCTAAGATGTGCTATCTCCTTGATGATTATATTATTACTGATCAATTTTAATTGAAAACAGTGCAAATTATAACCTTTGGTGATTGAAATTCCCAACTTTTTCACAGATTGAATTATAAGAAAATCGGACTGTCCATACGTATTGGAAGTTATTCTGTCAATACGAATCATTCTTAAATATCGATGTGTATAAATTAATCAATATATTGATACAGCCCTAGGGAGGTGGGGGGGGGGGGGGGGGGGAGATGTTTAGTCTCTTCCCTAAAAGGTACCATCCCTAAATGTAGATGCAGGTAAATTAGAAAAAAAATTAATTTATTTAAAGTTATTGCTTCCAATAATAAATAATTGAATGTATTTTTTTTAAATTCATTTATTGTCACTTTCCTATGTCAATGAAAGTTTAAGAGTTCAAACGTACAAAACAGTCTGTAAATCATGTTTATTAAAGCCCTAATAATATTACTTGACCAGATCTAGATTTCTTCTATGTCTGACATCCATTCAACAGCCATATATAATCTTACCAGGACAATGGCTGACTTGTCAAAGCCTGATAATGCAGCTATAACACAAGGATACACTTATAATACTAACATAACTGTCTACCATAACAATGCCCAGAATGTGGGTCAAGAACTAGGATTTACACAAAAAAAAAATCCTCTTAAAATTAGATTTTTTTTCTTTTTTTGTTGTGTGTAGCTGTGAAAGTAAATTTAAGGATTGTGACACTGGTGTGCTACAATTTTACATTCATTGTCATTAATGAACATGAACTGCAAAACCTAAATGTTAATAGACTAATATATGTATGTTTAATGTGTATTAGTGTATAAAAATGGTATATATGACTCGCCTATAATTTGGATTTTTGGGAAATTCAATTTTGGTTCAAAACTCTATGTACTAGCTCCTTATTATATATATATAAGTGGGTGCTTGAATCAATGGTATTTCTCCGGATAGCAAAATGTAGGGAAAAGGGATGACACTCAACAAAAAAAAAAAAAAATAAATGGATCAATGAAATACACGGAATGGTAACTGTTTGATTTGTTGAGAATACAAGGTTAAAAATATCAATGTCATATATCCCATGATTATCTCAACACAGGTAAATAGCTACATACATGTACATTAGATTTTTGATATGAAATTGATTTGATAAGAATAAAATGATTTTATTATACTTTCATGTTAAATACTAAAATCTGATTGGTTTAGACGCAATTAAAAATCCGTAATGTTACCCTCAGCGTTAGCAACACAGTTGACAATGTGTAACATTACGAAAATGTCACATGCGTTCAAATCATGTGCGTGCGGTTCACCGTAGAATTCTCAAAATGTCAGTTGTGCGTTTGAAAGAAGCCAAATAAACGAGGTCAGTAAAAGCTTGCGTCCGCTGTAGCTTACTTGAAAACAACAAACGACAGACGAAACATCATTGCGAGTGCAAATTTTAGATGATAAAGGACTTTTTTGAGTACCAAACAAACAATAAATAGGTTGGTAAATCTTTTCCGAAGCTTTCTTATTGAGAAAAATAAAAGCGGTGAGTTTGAAAGCTTTCTAAGCGTGAACTTAAAGACGATCTCTGAATTTTTTTTTATGACATCCGAAATCAATAAGACATTCAGTATAATAAAATAAATAGTGCACGTTTTTGAGGGTAACAGTTGAAATTGACACCCCTCGGAAAACCATTGTCAACCTCCGCTGACGCGTCGGTTTACAATGGTTTCCTTGGGGTGTCAATTTCAACTGTTACCCTCAAAAACGTGCACTATTTATATAATATATTGGTGTCATTTCCCTGAATATTTATTTGATAAAACAAAATTGAAAAAATTAGAGCATTGATCTGAAATTGTTGCCTGATTCTGTCAAAAAGTTGTAGAGACTCAAAAGAGAGTCAATTAAATCGCTCCAATATATCGCTAAAAGAATACAGCCATGCAACTTTTACGATGTAAGCAGACTGATTTATATACAAATATATTACAGTATTTGTTTAGTTATGCATCAATTTCATGGCGAATTGACAAAAATAAATTAGTTTCAAAGAACATGGAGAGGCTTTTTTTGAAATACATTAATTTCAATCATTAAAAATATATCACTTTATATATACATATTCAACATGGATAAACTTCAATAAATATGGGAAATATTGATTTTAACATCCATGAGGCAATTGTCCATCATGACATCTGACACAGATGATATTATGGAACTTAAACTACATACCTCATTACATATAATAATCATATACATGCAAAAGCACTTTATGGTGAATGCATGATGTACACATTGTCGTCATTTTTTTTTTCAAAACAAACAACATAAAACAAGAATGCAGTTCAATGCACCCTCCAAATTTACCCATATCAATGAAAAAAAATTAAAAAATATGTAATTAGCATTTTTTTCCTGATATGCAGTAAGAAAATAAATAGGTCTAGCTAGAGGATAAAAGTGATTAGGTCTTCCCTAAACAGCTGCAAAACATGAAAATTGCATTGCCTGTTTCAAGGACAGAAAATAATAATCAAACTTGAATTTCCTTATTTGTAGATGATTGTTTTAGCGATTTTCTTTTCTTCCTTGTGATATATAATTTTAAAAATTGTAGATCTTTATAGATATGAAATGTATCCTGATTTTTGTTAGTTCAGCACTATGAAAGTAAATGAAAAATGCAAAATGAAAGTAAATGAATGTAAACTGGGGGGTTTCTGCTGCCTGTATTTATTACTTCAAAACTTCCTTGTGTCCGATGGATTGAGAGATAGAGGCTATTTTATTGACATTTAAGAAGTTCACCATTACTTTAACAACTCAGGATTTCCTGAACGGCTTTGCACTATAGTGATACAGCGCATGTTTCCGTACACTAAGTCATAGAGTACCGCTTGAAACATTTAACATAAGGGTAACAAACTTTAACTTTTATGACAGTTCAATTAGAATGTAATTAAATCTACTTGAACAACATAAGAACTTGGTAATAAGTGGAAATCTAAATGAAGTTAATGTCTTTTTCAAAAAGCTTACCGCCTAAAATTAGAACTCTCGGCTTTCCACGCTCTTCCGAGGTCGCCATTTTTAGATCGGGAAAACTTTATTGTTGATCATGTGATATTATCACGTGATTTCATGCGATTTTAATAACTTGGTGGATCCAGATTTTCTATCGAAAAACCTTTTGTCTCGAAAAATATTGTAAAGTGACCATATTACTCAAATTATCTAGAGAGATAAATTTACGATAGATCTATCCTGAAATTAGCAAAAATTATGCTTCTTCCCCCTTTTTTGGTGGTTTCCCTGGTGGTGGTGGTGGGGGGGGGGGGGGTCTAAAGAGTAAAATCTATTTCGTTAAATGTAGAATAGACATTAAACGACATTTAAAAATAATAATAATAAAATAAAAACTTCTTTTTCTTTTTAATATAATTGTGCAATTCAGGGACTCAGTTTCGTACTCAGGTCAAAAATGAACAAATGTGCATGGTTGAACCCAGTTTTAAAAAGAAAAAAATCATCTTCTCTAATTAAAAAAAGAAAAACAGTGTCATATTAACTGGATTTTTTTAATGAAACCCAGCATATAAGGGGTTCCTTTGTCTGTCCGAATTTCCTTAATCAAAGAGCTACAGTTTCTGTAGAGCTCTACAATTTTACTGAAATGACACACTGTAACTCATGTAGTCTCTCTCTCTCTCTCTCTCTCTCTCTCATTACCTTTTATTTCATTGTTTATTTTCTGGGTTTTTTTTTTAATAATGTGTTTATCGCGTCTTTTGAGTATTTGTAGATTTGCCCTTGTATGGAATCCGGATAAAGCTATATTTAGTTCTCAATCTCATCATCGCACCATTGATGCCTAGGTTGATAGTGCAATGAAACAATAATGAGATGACGATGGTGCGATGGCTTTATCACGCAGTTTTTCACTTACGAGAAAAGATAAGAAATAGTTTTGAAAATTATCATCGTCATCGCGCTATGCACCTTCGCGTCATCGACATCGCGCTATCGCTTCCTCGTTATCACAACATCGCATTATCGCGCCATCGATTCTTTAGTTGATGCGATAATGAACTATGTGGCCCGATCGGATTTCATATAAATTAGCTTTCTATGAGACAAATAAATTCACTGGTAAAGCTTTGCTTAAATACGATTATGCGGTACACATTCAAAGTCTTTTGATAAATCAACCTTAATTGTTACCGTCTATGTTTTATGATCAAGAGCAAACTTCGTACCTTCAACAATTTTAGAAAAACACTCTTTCAAACATACGTACCCAGGTCTAAAATATTTGTAACATATCATTAAAAATGACAATTGAAGAAAATGCTAATACTTGACTATAAATGACCCTTTCAACAATCTTTGACACTATCTAGATGTTCATCATGTATGTTCATAAACACAATATGCAAGCTAGTACGTTCTGAACCAGATTCTTGGTTGATTTTATTTATTTATTTATTCATTTATTTATTTCATCTGGGCATATAAAATATGAATTTCAAATAGAGGAAGCAAACTAAAACACAGAAATGTTGTTTTTAATTAATATAAATAAAATAAAAATGTCTTCAGTTCATTAATTTGAGACAAAAAGGGAACTCTTAAAAATTAACAATTATTAATCATAATTATATTTATATGTTCCGCAGTGTTAATAATTAAATTTGATAAAACGCATAGAATTGTCTTAAATTGTATTTTCTAGAAATGCTCGTTAAGTACTTACTGTAAATGGAAACTTTTAAAGTTTCTCATGTAATAAAAACGAGAGCCATAAAATTCTGATTCAATTAGGGCGTTTCTAATGAAGTCGTTGCAGGAGTTATCTTCCTTACCATTCTATCTTAACAATATAACGTGACAAAAGAAACGAATAACAAGGCGTGAAAAAGGTATTTAAAACCATATTAAACTTGTTCTATCTCTCCTCAATATCCACCCCTCCCACTCGACTATAATACATGTACCATATTGTAATTCCTGAAACGTTGTTTACTTCATCCTTGCTCGTTGTCAAATAAAAAATGTTTTATTGCATCCAAATACAGTGAAAACTGTCTAATCCGACACCTTTGCAATCCCTTTCATTGTGAACTCCGATCCTTATTAAAATTATCATTTTACTTTTTCCATATGTACTTTACACTGTGAAATCCGACACCCTATCTAATTCGAGACAATCTGTTTTCAGTGCATGTCAGATTAGACAGGATTCACATTATATCGATATATAATCAGGGGCAGGCTTTATCAACTCTTGATACAAAGTCAGCGCATGTTTGTTGATTCTTCTTTTAAAAAAAATGTATAGTTGTATATTCAACAAAATAATGTCATATTAAAAGGAGTGGAGCCAACAAACATGCAACAAACACATTTTACAAAGAATCATGTTCAAATTACACTTGTTGTTTCCATTGTTATAGACGTATAAAACTTGATTTGACCTCGAATGACCTGTTGAATAATAAATCACGTGGTGTCCAGCTGTGAATATTATTATTCTTACAAATTCTAACACGTGACTTCGACCTTAGATCTGAGATCAAGAGGGTGTTTGTTTTTCAGCCATTTGCAGAATTGAGCAAAATAAATCCGATTTTCATCACTCCATTATAATTTCTTGTGTCCTCATTTAATTTGACATTGACATCGTTGAAATTGTTGTAAGTTGATACCTTACACATATTAGAGAGAGAGAGAGAGAGAGAGAGACGACATGACGCTGAACGATAGACGCTAAATTGGGTGACCTATATATTAACACTCCAGATAAATGTCAATTTCCGGACGCGATTGACAATTAATGTATCGTTACTTCAGTTTTGATCCATGACACTAAGGCATTTGTTTTGTACAAATGTTCTACCTAATATAATCATGTATATGTAGATCTTGCTGATGCTTGAAAAATATTTTTGATTCATTTCATCATGTTCATTTTACAATTTGATAGACTATGATGTAGAGGAATTGCTAAAAGGACCCAACATACGACTTTATACAAGTCCACTCATTCTTTCATTCAAACTTGCAAAATACTCTTATGATAACGCCAATTTTAGAGAGATACATGTGTAATTAAGAAGTATTGTTATTAGGGTCGGATGATTTAAAATATCCCTTACAAAAGTCAATTAAATAGGACAACCATCTCTGTCTGCCAGCAGTCATATGCTATACCATGCCTCAAGCCTACTTTCCCTGGTCTTTCATCTTTTCTTCAAATCTCCCACATGTCTCCTTTGATCGCCCTTTGTTTTCTTTTCCCGCGGTGAAGTCCATCTTAAGGTGACCCTAGGTATATCTGACTTTTATGGCCAACTCAGTTTCAACGCTTTTTTCATACCTGGTCATAGCAGCTATTGATGTTCTTTAATGCAGCTTCTCGTTGCTGATCTCGTTCGGTCAGGATATACTGTGTATTCTACGGAAGTATCTTATTTCGAAGATGTCTAGTTTTTGTGTGATTTCATGTGTCACCTTCAAAGAATTAGATACAGAACCATTAAAGATGACTTCAGTGACATTTGTCTTGCAAATCCTTGATTTGGTCTTGATGATATCCAGGATCCGGTTGCACGAACGTTAGTTAACTTTAACTGGCTGTTAACCTTACGTTAAATTTAATGGCGAGTTAAACCGGTTGCACAAAGTTAACTATTAGTTAAAGCTTAATTAATTTCCTGATTTAACTAACAGATTTAACTGAGGTTACCTAGATACATTAAATATTTAATTAAACATTAAAATCAAAATCGCGAACTTGTTATCATTTCAAAACTTGTTTGCGAGGAAGGAAGAACTTATACAGAGATAATAGAAATGTCTGATTTGAGCAACATGCAAATTCAATCCTTAATTTCTATTTAGGCAAGATTGTATTATACATGTATATTGCGGATATATGTTGCGATATTATCTGCAAAAAGCAACAAGACGAAATTATTCCATATGAGTGGCGATGTAGGTGCTTTCTTTTTATCCGATTATGCATACAATGTCATTATATTTTATTAAAAAAGATCATCATTTTAAAAAATTGTAAGCCTCAGACAAGTTAGTGAAAAGTAAATTAATCGTACAATTCCACAAACTTCAGGCACTTAAATTGGGGAGGGGGTGTTCCTCTCCCACTTTTTTTTCACAGATTTTTCAAAATTATTTTCAATTTCCACTCTCAAAAGTTGATGTGCTAGAAGTTAATACAGAAAACTACACGTACATAATTTGTAATTGCAATGTTTATACTACATGTAAAATGACCATCTTTCAATGTAAAAATTCATATTTGAAGTAACTATCTTTAATAATATATTTAATATATTTTACCAATATAAGATTTACATTTACAGTAAATAACCTTAGCAAATTTTAAAACATTTATGAACTGACGTCATTTTAATTATGACGTCAGAAATATTTCACCATAGGTAAGGGAAATGCGCGTGTAGAACGATTTTAACAGAGAGTTAACTATAAGACATCGATTAAATGTGAGTTAGCTAATTTATTTTTAATAGACTTTCGAACAACAAAGTTTTAACTGACAATTACGTAACTCGTCGTTAAAAATTTAACAGCTAGTTACGACACTAACTGAAAGTTAATTTAACTAATGTTCGTGCAACCAGATCCAGATGTACAGCAGCTTTGCAAAGGTGGCACAGCCGTTTTGCTACAGAAGGACTACAGTTAGACGTTTTAACGTATAGATGAAATGTATGGAGATAACGAACAGTATTCAAGCTTAAAAATCCAGTAAACAATACAAATTTTATAGCAGAGCAAACACTGACCTCTAAAACTTCAGAGGTGGGGTCAGGTGCCATGGAGGAGTGAGCATCCCCTTCAGACCGGTCACGCCCGCCGTGTGCTCCTTATCATGATCGGGAAGTAACGGTAAAATCCGTCGACAATACAGAGTGTAAACAATGGCCTAACAATTAACTTATGAAAAACGTCAGTCAGCAGTGTAGTGAACATTCAAGTTACAAGTGGATGAGATTGTGATGCACAGGCTGATGCTTGCATCTTAATAAGACAAACAGTGACCCTCCGTTGCTGAGGACAGAGGATTTTTAAAAACATTTCCCTTCTTCATATTTCAGTGTACAGGAAAACTTTTACCTACATTTGTATGTGATAATCCATATTGATTTCTTATAACTTTTCTCGCTATTTTTCTTTTTTGGCTATAGTAGAAAGTAGCCTGAGGTAAAAGAAAAACGCAACAAAAGCAAAAAATTACACTAGAACGAAGATTTATACTTATGGTTTGCATAATTATACATATTCAATCTAATGGGGATGTTGGTTTTTTTTTTACATTAAATGTAGAAGTAGGAATATATTTTCTTCAAATACATATTACGGCGTACTGAGAGTCCAAGATGTCTCGATCAGTCGGTTGAAAAAAAATAGGTAACATCTGCTCCTTCGCCGAGCGCTCGGCACTTTGAAGTGAAAGTTAAACTCAGGTCCTTTGTCACGGTAGGCGTTGGCAGGATAAAGATCCTTTACAGCTCAATTGCCCTGAGTGGCGAATAAAGGTCTGAGTTTGAAGCCCTTCATCGATAATATGGTGACGTTATGAGTGAAAATTCTCGAAAGGGACATAAAACAATATACAATCAATCAAACAGACTCCCGCAGATTGTCAACTTGCATGCGTTTATTTACTGATATTTATTACATTATATTTTTCCGAGTAGATATCGGAAATATACTCCGGAAACTTATCCCTGCATGATATTTATAGAATGATGAAAAATACCTTGCAGTAGTTCAGTAACTAAGCGTTTTGTTGGATTTTTCAAGTGGATAAGATATAAGTAGACATAACTGATTCTTTTTGGATTGAACAAACAAAAACAAAATACAGGAATCGAATTCAGATATATTTTAAGGGATGAGAAAATGGCACGCGGATTATTTGCCTTGTTATTAGGTATGTTGAAACATATTAAATCAGAATAGTTTCAAAAGACACTGCTTGTTTAAGTTTAATCTCTTGAGTGTATTTTAAACTATGCAATTTTTTATTTTATTTATTTTTTTTTTTAATATATTTTTACAGTTCTAATCTCACGTCATAAATTCTATTTAGGTAAAGAAGAATGCATATTTCTATCATATTTTTTTCGTTAGTTTTATTAATATACACTGTAAGGTTTAAAAGTGAATAGTTTTATTTTTGTATTCGATATCATGTGCATTTGTAAGCATGAGACCTCAAGCTTGATGTAGAATAAGAAAAACTATTGAAAAAAGAAAAAAAAAACGGTCCTAGTTTTATCAAACACTCTATGTGTTCGTTGCATTTTTTTTTTTTGGCTTTTTATGCGGCATGATACGATAATGTTATCATTATGAAACAATCAAACAAACGAATTATAAACCCCTTACAATTAGGTAAAACATGTTATAAAAATATCCCATGGTTAAATTCTGCATGGGTTAATATGATTCGTATATGAGTTTTTTAGCGATAGCAATCGAATACAGAATTGCCAATCGGTTAACCACAAGACTTCTGACCGATTAACCGGTCAGTGGTATCAAAATACATGTACGCATTTTCCTTATATATTACGCTTATTCATTTAAACAAGAAGTCTAAATACAATGTTAGTAATGAATGTATTCTGTTTATGTTTATTGAAATTTTAGTAGAAAAAAAATATATAGAAAAAAAAAAAACATAATAAGCCTGTGTCTGTGATACATACATAAAAACCAATGATCACTCTGCAATAATTTAATTTTTCTTGTAAAGCATCGTTTGATTAAATAAAAAAATAAAGTTTATATCGTATAACCTGTGTTGCATACGTCACAATGAGTTACCTCAAAAACGTATCAATCCGCTTGACGTTACTTTTAAAATATGCTCAATTTGAAGGCATTTTTGAAGGTGAAACTGTCTTATTTTCTACACTTAATGAACATTAAATTATACTGGAACATTAAATTATAAGGAATGAATTTAATAGTTACCCAAGTTATACTGGTATAACTTGGATTGGAAGAGTTTACGCTTTTTTTATAAACCGCTTCTCGTAAACTCTAGGTTATACAGTATAACTTTGGTAGCTATTAGATTTGTTCTTTAATAGTTAACATCATCAGAACTAATTCTGAACTATCACTTAATTTTCAATGTTTGTTTAATACATATAATATGATTGATTGATAACAACTAAGGATAGACGGGGTAAAGTACTCATTATAATCAGTTAACTTAATCAACGGCGATTAATTTATGACTATTAATTAAAGAAATACTGGAAATGCTGGGTAACGACATGGTGTTTAATAGTAATAAACTCTTTATAAACTGACAAATTATCCGAAAGATTTCAACCCAGAGAGCGTATTAATCTTCAAATTTCTGAATATGCTAATCCATTGGTGTTAAGAGTTTTTAAAATTGAATTCCTAGGTAATTGATATTAAATTTACACACATTTAATTTTTTTCCGACTAACCGATTACAATTTTTCCAGCCGACCACCATCATGCTGACAGAGTAACCGGTAAACTGGTTACAAATTGCCATCCCTGGTGTTTTTCAACCCCATTGGTAAATGAACATGATAGAAAGCACTCAAAGAGTTGGATAAAAATCTATTCCAATAAAATAATCATGCTTTTATGTTTTATATGAATGAACAAAAAAAAAAAAAAAAAAAAAAAAAAATGAAAATAAACAATAAATAAATATTAAATGGATAAAATTATAATTAAATGAATTATAAGATAAATAAATTAGAATTATGCAATACTTTATTGAAAAAAAATGTGATTTTTTTTTCTGTATTTTCCCCTCATAGTTATCAACTGATTGGAACTATGAACAAATGTTAGTGTCTTTTTATGTTCACAGGGAAGTCAAAAAGATTAATATTAGGCTTTTTCATATTAAATAAATGAAACATTTCACCGGATCTACTTAAATTGAAATTGACATTTAAACAGGAAAAACATTGCTCAGTTTTCAAGTGGATTGTCATTTGTTTTGTACACATTAAGTACATATTAAATGATTAATATACTTAGAAGAGGCTTTCTTGGAATTTAAGAATCATGATTATTTTTACATTATGTTTACTTTTTGTAGTTATTTTACTTATACACCAATTAGATGAAGTATGAAGATGACAAACAGTATTCAATCTCGAAAGTCCAACGAAACGATACAAATTTGGAGCGGAGCAAACACGGACCTCAAAATTTAGAGGTGGGATCTGGTGCCATGGAGGAGTGAACATACCCTGCCTACCGATCACACTCGCCGTGTGCTCCTTGTCATGATCGTGAAAAAAAACAAAAACAAAAACGGAAAAATCCGTAGACAGTTCAGTGTATAAATAATGGCCTAACAATTAGTAAGAAAAACGTCAGTCAGCGTTTTACTGAATGATAGGTTGTATGTGCAGACAAGGTCATAATAATAACGATGAAAGGTTAATTACTCAGTAAATCTTTTCTAATTTCAAGATATGGTACCAGCCATTTGAATAAGTAAAAAATAATTCAAGGTACTAATGTTGATAAACAGAAGTCACTGCTGCTTTCTCTGATGGGGAGAATATAAGCGTAAATTCGTTGGTGTATTGTAAGATGAGAGGTATCATAGCATCGTTGAGAAAGATTGACATTAATAGTTACAGCGTGGAAAATTTATAAATTATATTTAAATGTTTGTTTGTTTGTGGTTTAACTCCCTTTCGAAATTTTTTGCTGATATTGAGAAGCCATAACTTGCCGGTGGAGGGCTGCAAATCTACTCAGGGCCATTGATTAGTGAATGATTTTTTTTCCTGCCAGCACCTATTGCTACACGGGGCTTCGGTTTATATGGTTTCTTCCGAAGGACCGATCTCAACGGCGCACAGTGGATTTGAACCTGCAACTTAAGGATCATCTTACGCCGCGACTCTACAGCAAACGCTCTAACCACTGTGCCACGCGGAGAACATTTATTAATAGAAAAAATCAAACTTATATTGATCATTATCCATTTGACACTCATATAAAAATTTCTTTAACTCTCATTGTTTTCGAACGGAAATGTAATTTTAAAATTAAATCCAAATGAAAAAGATTTCAAAAGTATACTTTACTTTTTCTTTGTTGTTTTAGCATTTGTGTTGAATTTCTCAACACGACAGCTCTCTCCCCCTCCTGTCCTAATATTTTAATGGCAGTGTTATGTTTAGGTCACAGTTAAAAGATTGATCTAAGCATTTCCTGTCTTGAAAAGTCTTTGTACATTATTGTAAACTAACATTCTGTTGCTGTTGCAATTTCAGTTATATATTCTTTTAGGTTGTTATCCTTAAAAATAAGGGAGGGGTTTAGGGAGAAGATATGAAATTGGTGTGAGTTTGGGAGTTCAGTTGTGAGTTATAGTTTAAGTGAGTCACTTTTAATACTTGTGGATTTCCCAATGAAGTTTGAAAACGAGTATTTTTGGAGTAGGTTTCTTGATATAAAAACTCAAGTCGTCACACAAACAGTTTCCGCATACTTTGCTGGCAAAGTATAACAGAAATAGCCATTAAACTTGAGAATTTTATAAAGCAATTATCAAATTTTCCAGTCAGAATGTTTTTTTTTTTGTAGAGGATCAATGATCCTAAATACCAAGACAACCCAACCCTCCAATCCAGCCCCAGATAATGCATGTACAAATTTACATAATACAGCGGAACGTTAGCATCTCGACCATCGATATCTCTAATACGATTTATATATCAAAGTATTAAGAAGTGACGACCACTTTGTATCATGTGATTTCAAAGTCTCAGATATTCGGATATCTTGGTTCCGTCAAGCTCAAAGTAATTGGATTGCATATATATCGCCATTAGATACGATTATCATAACCGGGTCAACCTCATTCCGGACTCCAGCCTAATGGTTCTTATTTTCTGTACCTCAACCACTGAAGTTTGAGGAGGCAGAGTCCCGAATGACATTGGGCCGATCATGCATTTGTTTGTATAACCCGGGATCTTTGGCTATGCAAGTGAGAGGACGCACCAAGTGGAATAACTCTTATAATCTCTGAGCTTGGTCGAAGTGACCCAAGTCAACTTTTTATTTCTGCGAAATGACCCTTGTATATTACACTTCCAATTTCCCTCTAAATCTGAGGACCTTCCCTCACCAGAGCGGCTCACAGGTGTTAAGGTGTGGCACTGTTACCCAACCTGTATAAAATGCAAGCAGAGACAGACACAATCCAGTTTCTGACTTTATTAAATTAAACAATCCATTTTTTTTCTATTAATGATTACAAGAAATATTTTTACACAAGATACTAAACATTATAATAAACATTACCACTTATAATCTAAATATTTAAACCTGTAAATAAAATTAGCCATCTGAAAATTTTACTTAAGTTTTATAAAAACGCGCAAGTCTACAAAATGATCTCACCTGTATAAAATGCAAGCAGAGACAGACACAATCCAGTTTCTGACTGAATGCGTCTGGCCGTCCGCTCATTTTTTACCAGGTGTACCCTTGTAGTTTTACATCTCCATATTTGTAACTCCCTCGAAATTTGCCATAATTACTTTAAATTTTAGTTTGAATTTCAGTTACCATTATTCTGTCCTCCAACACTTTAGTTTCCTAATGCACTTTAAAAATCATTTTCTATCTTTTGCATAATTTTTAAATATTCTTTGTTGTAGCTAATTTATACTAACAACTGACCTCTGGTCACCTCAATACTATTGGTTGCTCTTTTCTCCTTACCAAATACATCTTTTGATAAACAAGTAACAAAGCGCATTCCAATCTATAATGTATCATTTTCTTGGAACCGTCCAGGTGAAAAGGTCAAACCCTAGTGGCCAGCATCTATGTTTATTTTTTTTTTATCTTCAGAGCTTCGTGTCTGTTATCTCTCTCAGCCGAATAGTGCAAATACATCAAAATATGTTACATTCTTATTTTAATGCAATTTTTGTTATGATACGATTTTCACCAAAAATTTTTTCTTCAATTTCAGGGGCAGTTGTCATCTGTTTTATGCTGGGTGTGAATTTATCTGCCGCAGAATTTCCAGCTTTCAGTGTTCTAGCAAATAAGACTCTCTTAAGTTCTGGTGATACTGTTGTCATTAAATGTCTTATTGAGAACGTGACCCTTATGGACGTTGTAACAAGTTACACTATGACCTGGCTAAAAGATGACGTCAAAATCACAAAGTCGTTCACAGAGCTTGCTGGTGACGTCATTGACACAAGATACAGTGTGAACGTTGTTGCAGAATATGGAAAAGGATTTTTCTCATCTCTGCAAATTAAAAGTAAGGATTCTGAATAGATATAATTGTCAGTGAAAAAAGTCTCAATTAGTCAATAGATTGAATACTGAATAATAACAATAATTATCATTATGATTAAAAGTTTAAGCTGTCAGTATGCTTTGGAAATAATGTTAAGTGTTTTCACTTCCTAACAGTAAAAAACTATTTTAAACAACAATCATACATTTAATAAAGCCCGTCAATTAACTCAATGATCGGAAACCATTTATCGATTGAGCCCCTTTTGTGAGGGAAAGTTCGTCCGACACCGGAATTCCGGAAAGCAGACAAACTGCTTTTATGTAAATAATATTATGTACAGTGCAGGCAACTAATTTTGTTACAGCATCGATGCTGATTTGAATGCTTCCTTTGCTTGCTGATTTGAATGCTTCCTTTGCTTGCTGATTTAATGCTAGTAATCCTTATCCTGATGCTGTTTTATAATTAGGTCAATGCTACCGGAAGTAGCATCATGCTACCGGAAGTAGATAATGAATTTCAGCATTGCCGTTTAAAGCAATAAAAGTGCCTTTTACAATTATTTGATCATATTATCTCACTATGTATCAATAATGTGAATACTTTAACCAACATTCTTTCTTTCTTTTTTGATTTTTTACTGAATTAAAACTCATTGATTTTCTTATGCTAGTAGGATAATGCTGATTTTATGTAGGTCAATGCTAGTTTTATCCTTTCCTTGCTGATGCTGATCCTGGTAATGCTGTTTTTTAAATGCTGATGCTGATGATAGCTCGATCCTGATGTTACTAATGCTTATGCTGATGCTGGTTTATGTAACAAAATTAGTTCCCTGCACTGTAGCAAGAGAGAGAGAGAGAGAGAGAGAGAGAGAGAGAGAGAGAGAGAGAGAGAGAGAGAGAAGAAAAATGATCCTCAAGCAGATTGAAGCAGTGCAGCGATCAAACAGGTTTGGTTCGCCTGAGACTAAACGGCTCAATAAGCAAATCAACTGTTTAGAGTTCAGGAAACCCAGTTCGAATTCTGCATGATCTAAAATGTCGCATTTTTTCCCTTCCTGCTATAATAGTGTGCAAACAATTAAACAATTATACACATATTTGATTCTGATTATACTTTTATTCATTTTTTTTTTATTTTTATTATTTTCTTTTATATAAATGTATACAAAAAGATTTGAAAGTTTAAGACTTTAGCTAAAACAAAATTTTAGATGAGATTGTGGGAATGATTTAAAGCTTGGATTTTCTGTACTCAATCCGTTCTCCGCTCTTGTGAATCATGGCAAAATTATTAATGTAAATTATATCCATTCAAATTTTGAATTGCTCTTTGAATATTTTTCAATTGCAAAACTTTCCTTTAAAAATTATGATTCTTTTAATACATACTTCCTTATGTTTACATATATTATGCCAAAAAAAAAAAAAAAAAAAAAAAAAAAAAAAAAAAAAAAAAAAAAAAAAAAAAAAAACTGATACTTTTTTTTGAAAGTATGAATTCCAAAATAACCCAGATCAACAATAGTAGGGATAAACATATGTTTTTGTGTTTTTATTTACAGGTTTGAGAGAAGAAGATGAAGGCACATTTACTTGTGAGCTTATTAATAAAACTTCTGCAAAGCAACAAAAATCAGTCTCCATAAGCGGTAAAATAGTACTTTTTAGTATAAAAGTTCTATTTTTTTTTTCCATTTCATGCAGTTAATTGTAAATATTGTCTATTAAAACATATTCTAAAAGTTTTAGTACGGCAAATTAAAAAAAAAAGGAATGTGTTACATATATGATGAAATAAAGAGGTATTCAAATGAATAAACAAAAATGATATCGAAAAGTATATTTGTTAAAATAAATGTGTATGGTTGAACAAAGGATTATTATTATTATTTTTTTTTATTTTTTTTTTTTTTACCAAATAAGCGTTTAGTTTTTTGAGTAATTATGGCATTTCCTATTGCAAGTAGTGTTTGTTTTCTGTTAATAAACTGAACTTAATATTCTTTTAGTTGAAGACAGGGTTGGATATTCGGGGACAACAGATTCGGGGAATAGATATGTTATTAGCAGGAGCAACAAAACATCTATTGCTACAGAAGATACAAACGAAACAAGTTCTAACGAAATTATACAGCCATACGAGAACACAACACCGTACGAAATACTTCAGAATATCATCATTTTCAATTTTCTTTTGAAAAAATTGATTTTGTTCAAAATTATTGGGCTTTGCAGTTTGAATTTAGATACATTGAATATAATGTATATGAAGGTCGATTCGAATAGGAGAGTTACATTCAAACGGCTAAATTCAAAACAAAATAATCATACTATCAGAAATTGTTATCTTAATGATCAACCACTGATGAATGAATACAGATAAATTGCTTATTTTTTTTTTATTATTTTTTTTTACCGTCTAGATCGTTGCTTAGCTTTAATGAAAAGGAAAAAGACACTACGACGCACATCAGAGATATTGATACAGGCACCACTGATGAGGAAACGTATAATGAAACTATTACAGACAGTGAAACGACAACACTGTCCCAGTTCGAGTCTTTAGTGGACATCACAACTGGCGTACGCGATGGTAAGTACAGCACAACCTGTCTAATCCGACATGCAATTGAACATGACAATATGTGTCAGAAAAGACAGTGTGTCGGATTGCCCAGAGTATAGAACATAGAAAAATATTAGATAGGAAAGATAATAGATTTCGGTTGGAATTCACAATGAAAAGGGTTGTAACGGTGTCCGATTTGGCATTCTTTACTGAATAAGTAGCAACATTGATGCTGTATCTGAACAGATGATTTTTATGTACGAATGGAACTTAACGAGGCCCAATATAGTTGAATTTGTTGAAATTTTGATATTTCTATATGTATCGTGTTTTACAAACTTTGAAATAAATTTCCTAACCTTGCTTTGACTATAGTGAAATGAGGACCATTTCAAAATATGGACCATTTTTCATGGTTGTATACACAAATCAATGTTAAAACTATATAATTAACATATGATATCAAATATATATTTGTTTTTGATTGCATGTATATGATGCATAAAATGATTTTTTTTATTCAAGCTACCACATGCATGTTTCAGTGAAAAAAAAGGTTTTAAAACCTTTTTTTCGAGAAAAACTACACGCACTTTACTTTTGGCTCACAATGTATCAAATTGGTTAGTTTGTATAGCAGTATACTTGATACTACATATATGTGTTGATAAAAATTCTTATATAATTTCAACATAGAAATAAAATTGACTTTATTTTCAATATAAGTTATGGTAAAATGTTGATTACTAATTAAAACATTTAGTAATTGTTTAGATTTAGTGACATTTACTTCTTAAAGTAAAAAAAAAAAGAAATAATTCATAGAAATGCCAGAATAAGTATATGCTTCTAACATGCACATCCCATACAAGAATCACAAGATATTTTAGGCATTTTGATGTCATTTAAACTGTGACGATATTGCTTTCAATTGTGACAATTTGAATAAATGTCTAAAATAATAAATTTTATTTTATGCTTTCTCTTTGATAAATGTGGGAATAAACGGTTGTAACTATTGCAGAAAAATACGCTATATTTATTATGAAAAATAAACATTTGCCGAAAAATTATTTTTCGATAAAAACCCTCTTTTATACTTGAACGATCATTTTCCGTTTTCATTTTTGTGTGTACTACATTACATGTACAAGACACAAAATCGATATATACCAAAATAAACTGAAACATGGTCAAGTGTGATTATATCAATAGTCACAACCTCAGCCCGTACAGACTGTCTTATCCTACTCGTCATATATCTGAAATAGCAATCTCTAAAATAATTCGATCAGCATGCTTCACTTACAAGTATGTTATCGTCTACAAAGTAGCCCCTGTATCATGAATAGTAGGAGGATAAATTTAAGCAAAAGTGTTTCGTATGAAACATGCAAGGTAGTTTAATGTATATGGTATTATCTGCATGAAGGAAAGTAAAAAGTTGAGGTGGGAAAAGTATCCTTATGTTTATCGCGGAAGGGAAATTTAAAAAAAAAAATATCATTCATTGCAGGTGATTTAAAGGCTAGTTTCTATGCAAAATGAACAAATAAATAAAATAAGGGTTATTCCTCATATACAGAGAAGGCTAAAATGTATTTTCTCTAACATACCTGATGCCTACGATATGTGATAGCCAGAACACATTATGACGTCATATTATGACGTCATTGTTCGTTACTTCATATTCTTATTAGATAGCTTCGACGCAAGGGCATACCCTATTTAATTTTTTAGAAACAAGGTTAATTAGAAGCAGAATTTTCCGATGATTGTTGATATTTCTGTTTAGTTACAATTCCTAAAGTTTTGAGTTGAGACTGGGTAAAATTTTACAGTCTGTGTTAGTTTCCCCTAATTCTTATCGAATGAGAAGGTACATGGGATTTGTGTGCCACTTTAATTAATCTTAAGAGTATTTTCCAAACATTATACATTAGTTATACAAAATTAAGTAGGATGTTCCCTTGCGCAGAGGCTTTTTTATTGATGTGTGTTATAATCGCGAGTAGTAGAGGACAATGACGTCATTATTTGACGTCCTACAGGATGGGTACTGGTTATAATATGCCGTGAGCACTAAATATGTATATGAAAATGAATTCATTTTTTATGTATAAAAGATTTAATTCTTGACTTTTTTTTATATATTAAGCTCATTTGCAGAGAAACGCCTACATCTAGCCTTATCCCACTTGCATTTTTTTTTAATATTCTTGTAATTGAGTCGGTTGAAGTGGTGTGAGCTAGCGGAGCGACCGCTCATAGAGATAGCAGATACAGGAGACTGCATCAGTGTAATTATAGTCTTTCCTCTTACATAAGTTAAACCCAATTTTACTGTCAGTAACAACTTATACATGTAAACCAAACCTGTTGTTTCCATTTATTATGTAACAGTGTTGGTTGGATTATAAAATAAATAACGTCCTCGATGTTGATCGAAGGTTTGCTCAAAGAGATGCTTTTTTTACAACAGTAGAATTTCAACAAGAAGTGGACAGCAATGGTAATCTGATTGCGGGAATACTAGTTCCAGTTCTGCTTATACTGTTCTCCGTCATAACTGTAGTAATTCTTGAACGACGGAATGTCATAAATTTTTATATGTAAGTATTACATTATTGCAAAACCCTTTATTCAATGTGTTGAACAAACAAATTTAAATCCATTTGTGAGAATTACAAACTTATAGTAATCAAAACATCAATTCATATTCACTTCCAGATATCATTTTTTACATCAGATAATTATTGCTTTCGCAGGAAATGGAATAAATGGTAAAGGATTTAATTCATGCAAAATAAGAATGGACAGGCATGCGCATCCCCCTATTATACATTGAAAACACTTGAAACACTTCAAAGATTAAAATGTTTTCCTTATCAAAGTCTTTTAGCTTTGGAGGGGACACAACAAATTGTCTTCATTGATAAATGACTGTACAAAAGCTACTCATATATGGTTTTAATATTGTGCATTCACATCACCTACATAATATTAATCACACTAGAATTGTTTTTCTCATTATAAAAATTGCACTGTATTTTGATTATCAAGAGTACTCCATTCCACTTGAAGTTCGTTCATAAACAGCTCTGTACAATAAAAATTTCCATCCATGTCATGGGCACATCCCAAATATCTCACCAATAGAAAAAAAAAATAGAAATTAGAGTTCAAGGAATTTTTTTCTCACAAAAAAAGATTATTAATTAAACTTCTCATTAAAATAGATACCAAAAATGTATTTCATTTCATATTGTTAAAATGCATTGTTTAACAGTAATTGAAGAAATTAGAATAGAAATCATTACATTTTAGCTGCTTCCATAAATCCAAGTGGAATGCATCTAAACCAGGAGGAAAATCATATGAAACCTACACAGTACGCTCTGGAAACGACAGCTTTATACCGTTGGATTGTAACGAGAAATATAGTGACCTAGATGTTAAACCAGAAAGATATCCATTCGAAACGTGCAAAGTAGACTATATAAACGACTCCTTTTCACCAGACAAAACAAATGAGACATACAGAGGCCCAGCGGAATCTCCTGATGATTATTGTAATAACGAACAGGCTATCAGATCCAGACGAGCTTATGAAGATGCGAATGATAAAGAATTCCTAACTTATTATGAAACAAAAGAAATTCTGGGGAGGGAGAGTACCGGTAAAGGAGGCGGAAATAGTGTACCTGGAACTTTGACGCAGGATGACTCAACTGAATGTTTTACCGTTATTCATGATGAAGTCAGCAAAAAGAAGAAAAGAAGTCCTTACGAAAAATGCCATGATACTGGTTTTCTAGACATGTTTAAGATTTAAGAACAAGGAATTCTATTATTCTTTTTCACTTTCTTACTTTTATTTGCATGGATATTTAAAAATATGAGGCTTCATGATTTAAATGTGGGTCGCGGGTTTTCTAGTGTCATCATTTTCGGTACACATTTTCTACTATTCTAGCGGATGTTTGGTGCACATTTGATTTTGACGTCAGTTAGTTCATGAACGCGACATTCCATTCCTTTCCGTTTTAACCTCTGAAAATTGCTCTAGAAATATCTATATAAACGCGATAACGTTCAACATGACGTTGTAATTCAGAAAGATTTTAATTCTTGGCCAAATTAATTTCGAGTATAACCTGGTTTGGTCAGTTTACACTTTATAATCTTTGTAATATTATTAAATACATTTACTAGAAAACCAGAAAAGTAGTTCCGGATGTTGGTTGTTCGTGGGGAGGGGGGGGGGATGTCTCCATACCAAACTAGGTAATTCTAAAAATAAATTGAAAATTGCTTAAAATCGATCAGTTACACCATGTTAAACGTATCAGGTATTTAGACAGAAGATGAACTTTACCTAGTTCTCACAGTCCTCAACAGTGTACGCTTCTCCTTTGCTATCATCCATGTAAATTTTAGTTATCCCTCCCTTCCTCCGGTAACCCTTCCTCCAGTAACAGAAAAAAAATTTAAAAACATTTGTACCAACACAGAGGGCCGAATTCGGCGTCCAAGCTAGGATCAAACTTTTGCAGTTTGCCACAGTCGCTGTTTTTGTTTTTTTGTTGTTTTTTTTCCGGAAAAAAAATTCATTGGGTACAATTCGTTATTCCAGTGATCAGGATTCTGTTAGATAATTTATGTTAAATTAAAATAATTGATTTATTTGATTTTAATTACATTTTTGCCTAACATAATCTTATAATAGTATTTTGGTCTACCTCTTCCATGGAGCAAATGGGGTTTGAATATCTCCTTTTGTTCAGGATCTGGATGATTTCCTTGAATTTGTGCAACTTAGGACAGGATCATAGCTTCATGCACTTATAAAACGTTATGAAGATTTATACTTGTTCTTCTGTAGGGTACTGGTATAACCAATAATACAAACTTTTATAATATGAATATACACCGGACTGAAGTAATTCTAAATTGCTTGTATAACATTGTTCAAAAATGTTTCGCAAAACTACAAATAAATAGATTTGAGTTCAAAATTAATTTATTCAGTAACACTATCTTCATATATGGTATTGTAATGCAACTTACCTGCAGTTGTTGGGTAAGATCTGCGATTTCTTCATATCTTGCAGCAGTGGTGTACTGTTTTCACAGTGCTGGGAAAACAAATCCAGGGGGAACTTATTCAGTACTTCAGTAGTGCCAAATTTATTTTAAATTTAAGATATTCTTTTCAATCAGCAATATAGAAATAAACAGGCCATACCATTCAAAATGAAGGGGTAGGGGGGTACCTACCCTTGCTATATCCTCACTTGTTGATATGCCTGGCAGCTGTGTTGAAATTATACCAGGGATATCATATGTCGCCTGGTTTAACTGAATAAATAACACAAACATGTACGATAATTAATATCATTTGGTAAATCATTTTAGAACGTGTAATTATTACATGTATATGTAATATACACCGAAATATTTCGACATTCTTTTATCCAATGATAATTATTAACATATATAAAGTCTCCCGCGTGGCGTAGTGGTTTGAGCGTTACTGTAGAATCGCAGAGTAAGGAGTTGATCCTTACGTCGCGGGTTTGAATCCCACTGTGGAGACCGGTCCTTCGGATGAGACCGTATAAACCGAGGTCTCGTGTCGCAGTAGGTGCTGGCACAGAAAAATCCCTCACTGTTCAATGGCAGCAATCACAGCTCAATTTGCAGCTCTCCGCCGGCAAGTGCTGGCGTCTCGATATCAGTGGAAAATTTTCGAGAGGGACGTTAAACAATAAATCAACAAACAAACAAAAACAGAAAAAAACATAGATAAAAGTAATGTAGCACCTCTAATTCTTTGTTATTGAACCGTTCACGGTAGCTCAGTCGGTAGAGCGCTCGCTCCGTGATCCGGAGGTCGTGAGTTCGAATCTCGGCCGTGACTGACCTAAGTCGATGAAAAATGGGTAGCAACTGTTCCTTCGCACTTTGAAGTGAAAGTTGCGGGTCCTTCGGATGAGACCTTAAAAACCGAGGCCCCGTGTCACGGCAGGCGTTGGTACAATAAACATCACTGCTCAATGGCCCTGAGTGCCGAGTAATGGTCAAAATTTGAAGCCCTTCACCGGTATATGGTGACGTCTCTATATGAGTGAAAAATTCTCGAATGGGACGTAAAACAACATACAATCAATCAATCAATCTTTATTATTGTTGACATTTTCGTCGTCCTTATCATCTTCTACATCATCATCCTCGATATCAAGGTGAGTTCTCTGCAGAAATTCCTTCTCTTCCCTGGTAAAGTTACACATAGGTATCTAGCTAGAATTTGTAATTATTGACATTTTGAAATTCATTAAACTGCTCCTATTTTGTATTGTTTAATGGACTATTGAGCTTTAATACTGTTCGTTATCTCCATATATTTCATTCATGTCAAAATTCAAAAAGGTATATTTTATATCAAAACATAAGATAAATGTAAAATGTCATTTGTGGTATCAAATTAAACCACATGTGGATTGACTTTATTTTACTGGTCCCCAGGCTCCATGGCCATAAAACTTAGATGATCTCACTTTTGATCTCAGTCTCACTTCTCCCTTATATATTCCTTTATTAAAAGCGATACTGAGATCAAAAAGTGAGCTTGTCTAGGTTTTATGACCCCGGAGCCAGATCCGCATGTGCTATGGCGTTAATCCTCGCACAAAAATGAGACTGATTAGGGTTAGTCTCTTTTCCATCAGTGGGATAAGGGTTAGTCTGGCACCTAACCGGGGGATTACTGTTAGTCTCGCACCCAACCGGGGGGTCAGGGTTAGTCTTGTACCCAACTGGGAGAATTAGGGTCAGCCCTATAGGTAGTTTGGAGGGATTAGGGTAAGTTCTTTCATACCACCCAAGTAATATGTGTCAGTAATTGCATACTTTTCGACATATAAGTGTAGCTCCCCTTCGAAAGATTTAAGTGAGTCTTCCCACTCTTTTTGACTGACTATAGTTAGTCCAGCACCCAGTCCGGAGATTAGGGTTACATGTAGTCCTTGCAGGAGAGTTTTATCTTAAACCAAAAAATATATACATGTAGTCTTTACTACAAAAAACTATGAGTTCATGAAACATGTTTCTCAAATCAATTACCACCTCTCTCCCACAATACACACACAAACAGACTCCTGCAGTAAATACACAGGAACTTGTTGACTTCCTTGAATGTGTACAAATTACGACAGGATCATAGCTTTATGCACTTGTTAAACGTTATGAAGATTTATACCTTCTACTACCACAGAGAAGTATGATCTTTTGAAAAATATCTCATGTGGAGTCATGGGCTTCGTAAATTTGTGGACTTGGTTATTGTATTTGTAATAAAACTCCTCAAGATTACTTGGCTAATCTCTTTGTCAACAGACTGAGTTCTGAAGTATGCCACCAATGTTCTATTAAACATTTCGACTCGCCTTGTAACATTATTGTTGATATTATTGTACACGTTTTTTTTTTTTAAATTTTAGTTAGCATAATTATAACTTTAACATACCTTTGTATGAACGCTACTATAAATCATTTAAAAACAAAATTTTAGAACCAATAAATTTGACATGCTTAATTAGCTAGTATTTTCAAAAATTATTAACTCAGAAATTATTAATGTCAATGTGTGTGACGTCATTGGGTGGTAAAAAGGAGGACGGATAGCTTGACAAGTAGATAACACTAAACTTTTGTTCAAGAATGTTTTTCTTTCGAGCTTACTAATCAGAATTTTCGGAGGATAATTGCAATCCTAAATTGTATTTAAAAATGCATTCAAATATCTTAATTGTGCAAACAAATTGAATTTTTCTAATAAAAAGTTATGATAACCATAATCTAACTATTTATTTTTCATGTTTTTTTTGCTAGAAATTCTTCTAATCTCCATATCCAATACTTTGACAAATAGTACGATTTCGTACGTTTGTGTCGCCCACTCGGTACAGTGATTAGAGCGTTTGCTCTCAGGTCGCAGAGTAAAGAGTTGTTCCTTACGCCGCGGATTTGAATCAAACTGCAGGTGGAGGAGACCTGTCCTTCGGAAGAGACCATATAAACTATGATCCCATGTCACAGTAAGTTCTGGCACAAAAAAATCTTTCGCTGCTCAAAAGCCTAAAGTGCCGAGTATAGGTCTAAATTTGAAGTCCTCCACTGGCAAGTGGTGGGGTTTTAATATGAGTGAAAAATTCTCGAAGGGACTTTGAACAATCAAGCATACATTTGTATAAATATGAATTGATTTTACCAAATGCACGTCTCCTAGCACTGACTGTCCAAAATATCTTTTGCTAAAAGAATTTTTATGGTTTTGCATTAGTAAATTTATATGCGTATATAAGATAGTTTCAAATTTTATATGGGTTAAATGAACAAAGCGGTGCCAAGTTTGTTTTATAGGTTTGTTTTTTATTGTTTTCACTGATCCCTCCTCTCGACAAACACACAGTTTTGAAAACAATTTACAAAGGGATTTTATCAATCTCACAAATTAAGTATTGGAAGTAATAATACACAGTCAAATAAGATAATGTATAGATAGTGTGTTTCTTTATTTCCTCTTCAGCCATGTGCTTGACGAGATTTAAAAAAATTCTGTTATTTCTTCTGCAAAATTTGTATACGTTGATAAAAGCAATATGAGCTACATTTTTGAGAATTTTATTTTGCTGTTAAAATGTGCTGCTATGATAAATATGTATGAAATTTAAACCTTTATGATCGATCAGACTAAAATAAAGTATTCAATTTTCTTCAGAAGAAAGAGTTCTCAGCAATAGAATGTATAGCATTAATATATAATAAATCAATATTGTACAGGACGACAATAATGTAATTTTGCTTCAATCAAAGCTTAAAAATAGTTCTTCCATCGCAAATATGAATAACAGAAGCTTATAAATGATCTTTTTTTTGGTCATTGAAATTGTTAATTACAATTTCCGACATATTCTGCATAAGAAATATCAAAATTTTTAGAAAGGACAAGTATATTGATATAAAACATTAAGTACTAGGGTTATCACATTAGTATTTAAAATACTAAGAGTTCTTCTTCGTACATGTAGGTATGGAAGATCTTAGAAAAAGTGGAAAAAATCGTCTAAGTATCGATGCCAACTTTGTTTGCAGAAATATCTTGTCTAAAGCATGTTTTGGGTTGAGTGGCATATGTTAGGAAATGCTGTAGGTATTTGCCTTCCTTGAGAGGTTTTACAATTAGTAAATAGCAATTCATTTTCCCCATTTTCAGGTATATAAATCGATTGAAAATCTACGTTTTATTTAAAAAGAAGATTTATATATATTCATTAAAATATATAATCCACAAATCAATTGGAAAAAAGTATATCAATCTGTTAGAGAACGCCATAATATTCATAACAATATATGTATAAGTATAGAATATTAATTACATAAACTATGCATGATGAAAAGACCTCGAGGTGAAAGAGAAAAACTTGAAAATGACTAATATTAATGATGAATCAGATTCTCAAGGATCAAATGTTAAGTTGCTTATTTGTATAATTATTATTATTATATTTTTTTTTTTTTTTTTTTTTTTTGATAATTATCATAAAATTTTTATGAGTATACTTCGGAAATATTCCCCGGAAACTCATCTCTGTCTATATTTTTGTAGATGAAAAATCCCTTGAAGTAGGTCAATAACTACATGTTTTGTTGGATTTTCCACGTTGATAAAATACAAGTAGATATAGTGTTTTCTTTACGGATAGTTCGAAACAGAAATAAGTTACAAGAATCGAATTCAGGGATATTGGAAGGCAGGTAAAATGACACGGATACAATTTGCCTTGTCTATAGGTATGTTGAAACAAATTTTAAAAATAACTTTTAAAGATACTAAATACTTGAGTGTGTCTTACGATGTGCATTATTTTGTTGTTTTTTAAATTTTAATCCCACAGTTTCAGTTTTGTTAATAGATAAGACAAACATTTTTATATCAATTTCATCTAATGTTTTAATGAATGTATTGAATTTACACATGATATAAAAGTGGATAATCTTTTTTCTCTCTGTCATGATACGTATTTTCTACGCCTCTTGACGATATGTAAACAAATTCACACGTATGCATTCGAAAACACTGGAGCTCATGTTTGATGGAGAAAATCAACTTATTTTAAATAACAGACCCTACTTGAAACAGGCACATTTAATAAGCCGTTTACTTAACGGAACCTTTTCCCGGAAGATGTTTGAAACGTCTGTTAGCTGGAGGACAATGTGATAATACAACGTTAGATAAATGATTTCGATTTTTAAAACACAGATAAAAAATGTCCTATTGAAAAATCTTGCTGAACATTCGCTGAACCACGCTAAAAAACTTGAGAGGAGCTAGACATTATATCATTTTTTATATTGCTTTTTGCTACGCCAACTCTTCTAATTAAATTCAACCCTTTCTTTATTATAAATTGTTACTTTTGAAAGCTGATAAAATACTCTAAACATTCCAAATCAAACAATTAACCCACTATTTGGAGCCCTATCCTTGACAATTCAATGTAGTTTCGGCATACGGATTGTTTGCCAATTGTAAACAATGTTACAACCCGGAAATCTTATGAGACGTAGAGCTTCATCGACTTCGACGCAAAAGAGCGGCAGAAAGTAAGAACCACGAAGTAATCAATTAACTATGGAATTTTGTTTTCATTACGTGTTTTTTTAGCGGCATAATACTGATAATGTCGTTATGTACTGTATAAAAACCGAAGGGAATAGAAATAAAATACATGAAAGCACAAGTTTATCATTTAGGTAGGTGATCTAGTGCTGTCGCCATCATGAAATGTAGAAGTAGATACCTGAACTATTGGTGTATCTGCTGAATCGATTAGTTATTGATAGGAGGGCGCAGTGGTGCATTTGGAATTGTGTTCGGTGGGTGTCTCAGGATGGTGAATCTAGAGTGGGCTTAACTTCACATCTCCAATGGTATAACTCATTTACTGTGCTTTAAACATTCTGTATTTTACTGCAATTTCAATTTGCGATGAAAAAAATAATAGATCGGAAAAACTAATAAGCACCTAGTTTAAATCATTCTAGTGTGGTACTGTTTTGAACGCAGCAATCGCATATCTGGGGCAAGCTCGAAAAACATATCCGGGGTTGTGCTTCCGAGCTTGACGGAAAGATCCAGGAAGGTCGTTAAGAAAAGCTAGGTTTTTATTATAATTTTAGAAATAACTGATCTCTACAGTCTTGGTATAATAAGACCTAGATTACTATTACTTTTTGTGCATTTTTGTACAGGTTAGACAACAAATACAAAACGTCGGATCACATGTATTTTCAGATGATAAAACGAAATTGACATGGTACAGTTTATCTATTGAGGTATTCCAAAAATGCTATTTGTCGGGCATGCGTATTCCAATGAAACAAGACTAACGTTATTGCTAGCACTCAAGAGCATTAGCAATTACATTTAGGTAAATTTTGTTATAAAAAGAATATCCCATGGCTTCCTTGTTAATGATATAATTTGTTTATTTTGTGTTATTCCATTGCTTTGGAAAAGGCACAGTATAAAAAGGACTCAAAGAGCTAGATAAATATCGTATCCTTTCAAAACATGGGAAATCCAGCTTTAATCCTCCATATTTTTGTCTTTGAATTTACGGATAGTTTAAGCAATCATCTCTTTCAGAATCATTAAATAATTAAATAACTTTCCTACAATAGCTTGAATAGGGAAAAAAATGAAATTAGTTTTTTTCAACAGTTTTCCACGAGATAAGTAGAACTAAGAACATATGTGAAAGTCTAGCCCAAAGACCATCAACTGATAACAGATTTACGTCACAATTCTAAATAAATAAAACTTCTAAAACAACTTTGAAATGAAATTTATGGAAATAACATACAGCATTCAAGCCCACAAGTCCATTAAAAATACAAATCAGGAGCAGAGCAAACACATACCTCTAAAACATCAGAGGTGGGATCAGGTGCCACGGAGGAGTAAGCATCCCTTGCCAACCAGTCACACCCACTGTGTGCTCTTCGTCATTATCGGTAAATAACAGAAAAATCCGTCGACAATTCAGTGTGCAAATAATGGTCTAACAATTAGTTTGAAAAACGTAGGTCAGCATTTGACTTAATGATAGATTGTATTTGCTGACCAGGTCATTGTATCGACCGTGGAACTTAGAAGAATGATGACTTTAAACGAGACAGCTGATATCCTTGTTTTATCAACAAACATCAAAATGATACATTTTTTCATGATATGTTTGAATCTGTATACCATATCCATCTGCAAATTAAAAAAAATTATTTAAAAGAAATCAAAATATAAAAAATCGAAATTTCGATTTAAGTCCAATTTCAGTTAATGGTCTTTAAGCGTTGTTACATTCAACAGGAAGTAAAAAAAAAGATTCAAATTGGGATTTTCTGCAAAACTAAATGAAACATTACACTGGATCTACTTAAAGTGAAATTAACACTAAAACAGGAAAAACGTCGTTCAATTTCAATTACAAATGGTTTGTCATTTGTTTCATGTGTAGTGAACTATCTGTATACTTTAACTTATGCTGAAAAAAGGGACTTTCTTTGAACTTGTTAATCATAATAATTTTTTATTTAGATTTGCGTCAAACTTAATCTATTTCTGTAGTTACTTTACTGTCACATATATATTAACGATTTTCTTAGAAATAAAGGATCCCAATATACACTCCACCCCATTGAGGAGATGATTTCGAATAAATGTTAATTTCTCATCTTTTTTTTTCAATTTCAACATTATCGTACCATCTATTTACCGAAAAAAAACACACATACAAAACACTGAAGCATAATTAATAAACAGAAACACTGTGTCTCTCTTAAATGAGGAAAATGCATATTCATCGATTCATTGGGTGTATTTTTGAGATGACTTGAATCCCCTATGAATCCCATCAATGACAAAGTTTCCTTAAATACTATGTACCATTTTATGAATCGAGGAAACTTTATAAACAACATTTAAATAACTGAAAGAACTGAAACAAAACTACCAAAAAGCTCAAAATCTAGCTTCAGATTGTTAATGATCAATTTTAATATAGTGGAAAACATTGAAACTTCGAACTTCGTTATCTCGATAATGGATATATTGAAGAAATTTTAGAGCGGCAAACCAGTTTGTACGTGTTTCAATCCAATTCAAATCTGGAATGTTCGAATATTTCGGAAACGTCGATGCTAACTGTATATTCATTGCTTATACGGTATGATTTTCATAAATTGTTTTTTATATATATTTCAGTGTTAATCGTCAACTGTTTAATGTTATGCATGAGTCTGTCTACAGCCAAGTTCCCAACATTTATTGTTCTAACCAACGCAAGTCTCTTTAGCTCTGGTGACACGGTAGTCATCAAATGCTTTATTGCAAACATGAGCCTAATGGACGTTGTCACAAGTTACACTATTACATGGTTGAAAGATGAAGCCAAAATCACGAAGTCGTTCACAGAACTTGCCGATGGCGTCGAGGACTCAAAATACAGCCTAAATATTTTTGCAGAACAAGGAACAGGATTCGTTTCCTCCCTGCAAATCAAAGGTAAAGGTTTTAATTTCTGTTATAAATATTACAAATCATTGAGAGCATTAAAAATTTCTACAATATATTATTATAGCCCTAATTTATTTTTTTTTTATTTTATGAAAAGAAAATATCATAATCTCACCAATTCCATTAAGTTTATACAAATTCTTACCTGTAAAAAGTATTAAAATTGAAAACAAAGATAAGTACTCCTTCTCAACATCATTGGCCAAAATTACCAGATATACGGTAGTGTAAATTATATGCATTGAAAAGAAATTTTTATATTATATACTTATTGCCAGCAAAGTAAATTAACAACAAAAACATATTCTTGTATTCATAAAAATGGATTTTCTACGGAAATGTAAAATTCAAGTTTGACTTACTGATACATAATAATATGTGAGCTTTATAGAGATGTTTTATGAGTTAACAGTTGAAATAATTACATGTATATTTCAAACATTTATATCTATCTGCAAATAAGAGTCGGTGAAATTTATGTTATATTTTACAGACAAGCCATTATTCGAAAAGCTCGTCAATTAAGATACGGAAACCATAGTCAATAGATCTCCATTTCTAAGTGGATTGTCGCTTGACACCGGATATCCGAAAAATATACATATAACATCTCTGTAGATAATTTTAAGCAGTACAAATACTTGTGACTAAGGGGTAAATAGGCAGATTCTTTCGCCAGTGGCAAAAGAACTTAGCTGGTTCATTCGCACTAAACTTTACTTGTTCTTGTTTCCCATGAAATTTTTGAATGGATTTTTTGATGACGCTAAATCAAGTCCATACGTAGATTCTTCAACTGTAGAATACAAGTTAGAGTTTGTAATTATGTATGTTGCCAAGCATAGGCTCTATAAGCCACCGAGTTGTCCAAAGATAATAGATGCTGTGAACATAAGTAACACTCTTACATGATATCATAAAAAAAAATCATATTTCAAATTGAAGTCTACACCCTGCAGATATTCCTAAATATATTCCCAAACTGTTAATTCCAAGCTCTTGCGTATCGAATTAACCGGGAGAAAACACCCAAATGCAGGTGATATGGGTATATTTATACATAAGTAAGTACGCTGGAGAAATTGAGTTTGTTAGGTTACACTTCAGTCTTTTTCTAGTAAAATATCCAACTATGAAACAGATGTGTTTAACTCTGTGGTGTCTTTTATTTCAAGCTCACGGGGATAAATTCTGGTCGATATTTGAATGGAAGTAATATTAATCATACACGGTACCAATTTTGATGGACCAGATGTGCATTTCGACAAATTATTTCTCGTCAGTATTGCTCATGCCGAAATGATGCAAATTCGAAATATTTGGATAAAAATACTCGAAGAGCTACAAAGAAAAGGGGGGGGGGGGGACTGGAGCCAAAAACGTCGAAGGATCAGAGCTATGAATGAGGGAGATCATCTATAATTTTAAATAATTTTCTAAATTTTACCACAGAAATGAAATATATATCCGTATTTACTTACTGTTAATTGATAATATTTCGTCGATACATCTTTACGTCGAGTTGAATGCCACAGCGTCTCCATCTTCTCATGTAGACGTTTTTGAATTTATTTTTTTCTTCATATGAATACTAAAATAGGTTTGCTTATAATTGCAATTGGTACCCATGGGAATTCCAACAGATTGCTGGAACAGCTGATCTCAAAAACTATATAGATAATGTCAATCAGAAACTCGAGCAACTTTTCAATATAAACTTCAGAGTACTTGTGTGTACAATCAAAATGTTTTATAACAAAATAATTTTGCAAATGATCAACGAAGACGTAAGTATGTTTACGAGTTCCATAGTGATTACGTTTCCCAACTTTTTCTATATTCAAGAACATGCACTGAGTACAATCAAACCGAGGCAGGCAGAGGACAGATAAGATATCTGATCCCACCTCTAGAATTTCCGGGAGTCCATTTCTTATGTTCTGTTTACAGAACTGTATTGTTTGTAGAATCTTTAAAGATTGTTCCCTACTCATTATCTTCTCCTTTGGTAAACACCGCACTTTAGATGTATGATTGATTTTAAACAAGGAATTCTTTTTATTCAATCTGCTCTTTCATATGGTGTAACATAAGCGTTTGAACTTATTTACTTAGATCCACTTAGATTGTGGAGCGCTTTTCACAGACTTCATTTAGAAAATGTTTATTTTCCGGAAGTTGATTATGTAGCAAATGCTACTTCTATATAATGTCAATAATCAGTACACTCCTGATTAAGTTCCTCTTTTCATAACTTATTTTAATCTTGAAAAAATATCTTGATGAGTCAGAGATCATTCATGACGGAACAGAATAAATAGGCAGATACAAGAAATATATGACTTTAAGTTTTGCTCAAGAGACAGTAAAATGCAGTTAACACATAACAATTGTAACGCATTCACGGATATAGAATGGAAAAAAAAATAAACAAAGACAAAGTGAAAACAACAAATAACGAGATACATTTGTCACATAGATTAGAGAAAAAAAATCCATATCCGACAAATAGAAAAACACGATCCCTGGATAAAGCAGGAAGTGAGATATTTTTTGTTTTGGAGATGTTTGTTTGTTTGTTGTTTAACGTCCCTCTTGAGAATGTTTCACTCATATGGAGACGCCACTACTTGACTGTGGAAGGCTGCAAATTTTGACCTAAACTCGGCAATCAGGGCCATTGAGCAGCGAGGGATCTTTTTTCGTACCAGCACCTACTGCGACACGGGGTCTCGGTTTATACGGTCAAAGGATGTTTTGCTCAAGATATTTTGCTCAAAATCTTCGATTACGAGGGCATAAAAATATTACTTGTAAATACAGATGTTGTCGCAGAAAGAAAACGCGAATTGTTTTTCAAATGTATCAAATTCTTCCTGAACCACAGTTCTTCATATTCAGGTGCTTTTGTCTAATAAAAATGTGACCCTTTAAAAAAAAATAATGAATATGAAATATATCCATGTTCCGAACTTGTTTTTAGCACATTAAGAAACTTGAATAAGATTTCAAAAAGTATTTCTCTTGAGTTCCTGAGAATATGAAATATTATTCAAAATGTTTCTTATCAACAATTATCTAGGATAAATGTATCTTTTTGTGTTTCTTTTCTCTAAATTACAGGTTTGACTGAAGAAGATGAAGGCACATTTACTTGTGAGCTTATGAATAAAAGTTCTTCAAGAGAAGGAAAATCAGTGTCCATAAGCGGTAAAATAGTTTAGTGTACATATTAATTATAGTAGAGTTTATCACGGATTTTTTGCGACTTAAAATGACTTACATGTACGCTTACGAAGTCATCGTATATAACGAATTAAATTTATATAATAATAATAATATATAATAATAAGTATACATTTGTTTGAATATTTTCCCCATTATTACAATTTCATCACCCCCTTAAAGTGATTCTCTTTTTGCTAAATACCTTTGAACGTTCAAGGAAAATTCAATTTTGTAAACTTATTGCTTAAGATATTGATATTATTGACTGAATTGTGCATATCATCAGGTTTTGAAGTACCAAAATAAATAAAATAATAAAAAATATATATGTGGCATGTTTGTAATTTTGGTACGTGTAAATCGGAATATAGTATTCTTGAAGGTAGAGGTAGAATTGATATTTTTTTATTACATGTGCAGGGCTCTAATTCGCGAGTAATTTAGTCGCCATGGCGCCTAAAATTTTTTTATTGGCGCCTAAATTTTTTCCATAAGTCGCCAAATTGGCGACCATTTTAAATTGACTTGGCGATCGTCGAATCCGGAAATTTTCACATTTTTAAACAATTTTTCTGAAAAAGCGAAAGGAATTTTAAAAGAAGAGGAAATTATTTTTAGCAATTGACATGTCATGTTTTTTAGGCACGTCATGGGTCCCTATATTCTATTAACTTTTAAAGTTAGCGCCTTAGAAAAATTGCCTGGCGACTAAAAATTTGTATTGGCCACTAAATATTTTTGATAAAGCGCCAGGTGGCGCCTAAATTTTACAGGCTACTTAGAGGCCTGATGTAGTTTAGTTGAAGGCAGAGTTAAAATTGATAAAGTTTAATTGTGATAGTTTTAGTTTCATTTAGTGAATAAATTTATTTTAGTTGAAGGCATGGTTGGGACAGCTGGGACAAAAGTTGACAAGTATGAATCTGGAACAATCTTCGACAGCACAACATATATTCCTTCAGAGGATATAAACAGATCCGGATCTGACGAAACGATGCAGCAATACGAGGAGACAACACCGTATAAAAATCTTTTAATTATTCAATGCATAAATCTTATTTCTTTTTTACTTAAAATTTGTGATATTACATACTCATTTGATTTGCAGGGAATCAGTTTAATGTGAAATTATTAAAACAATAGTTTTAGGATTCAAAGGTATTTTATTTGAATATCAACCGAATTAGGAATAGTAAATTAAATATTAAGATTGAAGTTCAGGGGGTTTATTCAGGTTTTCCCTCTCGATCAACCATAAACTTGCTTACATTCTTTTCGACAAATCAAAATGCGCGTTTTAAAGCATGTGTCGTTGTGAATGTAAACATGGCAAACACGCCAGTACCGACGAGATTAAACTCCTTTCTTGTAAATAGTTGAGCATTTAGTGCGTGGTTATGATGAGAAAGGGTGCCTCTTCCAAATTTGTGGATTTCATGGCCCGGGTCAGGGGTTCTAGTCTTAGGGCGAAGCACTATTGATTATATAGTGAAAAAGTATAAATTCTTTTAAAAAATCTTCTCTCTTCTTCCCTGTATATTTACATGAAGCAGAGAATCTACAGGCATAGTTATGATGAGCAAGGTTGCCTCTTCCAAACTTTTAAATTTCATGACCCCTGGACTAGGAGTTCTGGAATTAGGGTGGGGCTCTTTTAATTATATAGTGAAAAACCAATAAATTATTGAAAATCTTTTCTGCTCTTTGATTATGAGCAGATAAACTGAGTGCATGGTTATGATGAGAAAGGATGCCTCTTCCAATATCGTGAAGTTCTGGTGTTAGAACAGGGCTGTATTGATTATGTAGTGAAAAATACATTATTTCTTTTGAAATCTTCTTCGTTGCTCCTGGATATTTAGCAAACAAACGTATTGCATAGTCAAGATGAACAAGGATACCTCTTCAAAACGTGTGAATTTCATGGCCCAAAGGTCAGGTGTTTTGATTTTAAGATGGGTCTTTATTGATAAAATATTGAGAATACATTGATTTCTCCTCTGCTCCCGGGTATTAAGCAGATAAACTAAGTGCAAATATGATGAGTAATGATGCATCTTCCAAAATTTTGAAATCTGAGGCCCTAGTGTCAGGAATCAAGTCGACTACTTGGCCAAGCGTTCTGGTGCTGGGCAGGACTCATTAATTTTAATTCTACTGAGAAAAGTTATTCTCCTATGCTATTCACCTTTGATAATTAATCACTGTTAATAATGTCATTGAAAGGCCAATTTAATAAGAGATTTATACAGGAATTTTATAATATACATGTATGATGCTAAAAGTACTTCATAGTTCTTAATGATGAGGGAAACTTGTAAATTATAGATAAATAGAAATGAGACAAAAAAAACCTCATCTTTGTGCATTAAATGTTCTTGATAGAGCAAGAGAGGCCAGTATGAGAGGGAAATAGATGGGTTAATCAATAGTCCTTAAATACTATTGTTTTGTTAAGTTTACAAGAAAATAGTTACAAATGGGGCAGAAACAGGCAAATAAATAGATCTAACTTAAGATTTATTAAGGAGTGAAAGACTTATTAATTTGCTGATACCTAATCATTATAGTTCTCTTGCTTTTGGGCAACAGAGTTTATCTTTCAGTTTGTTTTATTTTATACATCTATGGATCCTTAACAGTGTTGAATTATACTCAGCTGACCTTTAAAGCTCTCGTGTCTCTTGTTTTCCTTGTTACCAAAAGTATGTTCAAAATAAAATGACACACAGTTATGACTAGAATTGAAAATCTTACAAAATCAAATTATAGAAAACTGTCTCCAGCTGTGTGCTTGCAGAAAAAAAAACAACTGTTTTTCTTTTGTACTCAAAGCAAATTCAAAATAAAAGGACACATTATTTGACCACATGCGAAAATATAACATAGTCAATAGTAGAGAAAAAATGATTCCGCTCAAAAAAAGGTCAAGGATTTCATCACCAATTAATTACATTTTTCCCTTCTATATCCTGCAGAAATTAACCTTTCTTGTATCATAAATAATAAGTTCACATCCTTTGTAGTTAAATAAAATAAATCATTCATATCCTTGGAAATTTTGACGTTGCATATATACCTGTCATTCGTATGGAATGTATTCGAGTAACTGCTTAATTGTTACAGATACACATATACGTATGGCTTATTTTTTTTCTTACTTAGGGTGTTACTTAGCGTTAATGAAACTAGCACTACTATACACATCATGAATATTGATACGAAAACCACCAACAAGGGCATGGATATCGAAAATAAAACGGACAGTAACTTGAGCACAGGAGCTAATTTAATGTCTACCGCAAACAACAAAACCGAGGACAACAACCTGACAACAGGAGCTAATTTCATGTCTACTGCAAATAACAAAACCGAGGACAACAACCTGACAACAAGAGCTAAGGTCGTCTCTACTGTAGGCAATACAACGAATGCACTCGAAGGTAACTTAGCTACATATAAAGCGTAGCTTTTCTGTTTTCAGTTCACACATATATATATATATGTTTATTTGAAATAAAAAATAAATGGCACCTTAAGAATGAAGGGTCTTTTTAATTAAGTTATCAAATTTGAAATACACTTAAAAGCAATCAAAGTACATTGGATCTTAGAAGTTATCTAAAAAACCGCGTTAAATGATCAAATCTAAACAACAACCAAATAATCTCTAATACCGGTTTCATGAAGGAAGTAGTGTATAATTTTTGCCTGATTAAAGTTACAAACGTCCATTATTTGCACAACGGAAACGATATGAACGTGCTTATTTATCATTTACAATATATTTGAATCATCATACACACCAAATTAAGTATTGTTTTATCAAATTTACATTTTTCAACTTTTTCTGAATATAAATTTACTTATGAATTTATGTTAATTCATATATACATGAGAGTATATATGCTTCTCAAAAACTATAATTCATCAATTCGGTTTATACCATCCATCCTCTAGAGGTCTCACTGCTGTATACATTATAGCAACGGCTCCAGACTAAAAGACAAAAGAGGACATGGAAAAATGTTTCATATTAACGAAAAAACATAAGGTGTAATTAGAACGCCGGATAAAATGGCATGTTTATTGACAAATTATTACCAAATGTATATATATATATCTTTGACAAAAAAAGTAAGCATTTATGCATCCTTTTGACGGAATCAGAACTATAAAAAAAATTCACATAAACTATAGATGAAGCCTGTCTAGGCCAAATATTTTTTAAATATTCAAATCCCAAAAATATGTTTAGATGAAGGTTTTTAAAAGAACATCATTATATTAAGCATCATTTCCTAAAACGTGTAACGTCGATTATTTGCTGATTATAAGGGGCAAAGTCAAATTGTACCAAATGTGTCAACACAGAACATCTGACCCCGATAATACAAGTAGACTCAAATCTCCCTTCTTAATTTTACTCACCTCTCTCTCTCTCTCTCTCTCTCTCTCTCTCTGTGTGTGTGTGTGTGTGAGGGTGAGAGAGGGTGTGTGTGTGTGTGTAAACAAGCTTCTTTTTTTTATTTTATTTGTAACTAATATCTAATATAGCCATGTAAACCTAAGGTTGCTACGATAAATGTAAGATTGTCGAGTATATTGCGTCTCCTGACTTGTCTTGACATTGATTGAAGGATTGATTCTAACTTTTTTTTTATCAGCAGGTGAAAATCATCTAGAAGATGGGAATAATGCTGGTCTAATTGCTGGAATAACGGTGACTATTCTACTGCTTATTGTGGTGGCAATCATAATGGTACTAATAATTAAACGACGGCAAGACATAAATTGGGAAATGTGAGTAGTACATGATTGTATAAAGCTTTATCCAATACGTGCATGTAGGTCAGGTGATAAAAGTGTCTATTTTTATTACTGATTTCTGCATTTTTGCTTTTAAAGTGAGAAAGAGAATATTAATCAGCAATTTAATAAGAATAAGATTTTTTTTCTAAATATTAGAGATGTATGCATGTGCATTCGTTCCGTTTAAAGAAAGCTTTTCTGTAATGACTGTTGCTTTTTAACTTTGGAAATGAAAGCCAAAAAACCCCCAATAAATAGAGAATATTGCACACGAAAATCCAAATTATATTTTATGTGTGTCATATTCGGCCAAGTGGCTCCGTATCAGCCCTAGATCCGATATTGGGCCTGAAGTTGTTATGACAAATGATATCTAATTTTTTATTTAATATTTCAATATTCAATATATACAATTTCACATAAAGTCATTAAAGAATGTTTTGTGCATGTGGATATGATCCTTGTCTTAAAATTTCAATAGAGCTATTTTAAAAATTAGTTAAGACAACAAATTTTAGTACATGAATTGTACTGCATGTATATTTCAATAAAATCATGGTGGTTAACTTTTAAACGTTATACAAACGTTATTTTCGGTTTGATAAGCATTTTTGCACATGATCTGATACTTGATATGTGTTTTGACACTGGTTATCGTGACGTCATTCGAATAGCAAGCACTGAATCAGTGTGTTTACTACAAAACTAACGATAAGAATAAAGATTGCATGTTGTAAAAGAAACCGCCTTTATTGTTATATAGATTGTTAAGTACCTATGTATGCTTTTGATATGTTGCATTTATATTGTTTACAAATTTATCAGAAAAGAGATTTTCTAATTATGAAAAAAATGATTATGCCCTCCATTTATCTTATGCAAAACAAATGCCTGTACAGTAAAGAATGAGTGGAAACCAGTTCCATCTTGGTCCCCCAGCTTTGTTATTTTTTTACTTCAATAAAACACCACAAGACATGCTTTGATGAATATTGTCATTTATTAATGACGAAGATAAACAACTAATTACAAATAAACTACCTTAACTACTAGGGAGATCCCAGATATACGTAAAAAGACTTATTGAGCACCTAATATCACACAGGCAGCGGGATCTCCCTTATGTCTAAGTAAGACAATATTATCATTGATGAATGTACATTTATAAGATGGGAGATCACCAGGTAACATATATATACAAACTAGTCCACAACAATGGCAGGGGGATCTCCGTGATATGAAAAACCAAAATAATGTAAAAATTAAGGTGGCATATACAAAAATTTCAAACAATGTAAAAATTAAGGTGGCATATACAAAAATTTCGCAAAACAGAGTAAAAATTAAGGTGGTATGTACAAAAATTTGGCGTCTACAATGACAAGATAAAGTGGTATATACAAATTCAAGTCAAATATCTGGTACACACAGTTACATTACAATTACAAGACAATTCTAAATGTATCAAGGTGGGTATGATGGGGATGGTGGAGGGTTAATTTTCACACAATCAATCTTGCTGTTTACAAAATACGCAGCTAGGTTAAGGACTCCCATATATACGTCAGCCTACGCAGAGGTTCGGTAAAGCTATTATGACGTCACGTTAAAACAGTACAAATGAATTTCGATGAATAAATACTATATGTTCTTTTTAAAACACACTAAATACTTTCGTTTATCATAAATATTATAAAGATAAATGGATGTGAAACTTATCTTGCCATAATAGCATAATAGCGTATGTAGAATGAAAGCCAGCTTGATCTCGCTGTACTAACAAAGATGACGTCATTTCTTACTTTGACACGCAGTTTCTCTGTACTTGAGGCGTGGATCAAGCTTTTATCGTAGCTTCTAAAAATAAAAAATAAATACGAAACACGCGTAGTCGGACCAAAAGAGAGAAATATTCTGAAATATATTAATCCACATTTTATTGTCAAACTAAATTGATAATGTGTAGACTTTATATTAAGCCGTAGGGAGCACATTTGTATAGTAACGTGCTAGAATGACAGGTCCAGCCCCCTCGAAAATATCAAAAGTTCAACGATATATGCTTCACTATAAATTCTGAATTTTTAAACACGTGTAGCTATAATTCCTACTATTCTGAAAAGTTCTGGTAGCTGGTTGTGCCTTGTTGATTTATTCCGTAATGTAACATTATTCCAATGCGAATTACATTTTGACTGGAGTTTATAGAAAGACGGCTAAATTTCAAACAATTCTCGAGCATGAGGAAGTTACTCCCAGCACTTTTCGTGTTAAGGAATTTGTCTCAAAGAAAACAGAATAAGTTTTATAGCGTAAAAATGCCCGTATATCGTTGAACATTTACGATCTTTGTAGTAGTACATATATGTTCTAATTTTAAAACTGACACGTGACAAACAGCTGATGTAAGAGATGTCGCTTTGGTCGAACTCAGCAAAGACCCGATATATACAAGTGCAAACACTACTAATCGCATTTATCAAAACTAATGCTGTTAAAAAAATATTAAAATTGTATTCATTTTCCCTGAATATATTAAGGCATATATTTCATGGGCGTCCTTAACCTAGCTGCGTAGCGTCCTTCACATACCAAGTGACTTCCACGTGATCATAATCCTGCAATTTCATTGGTTATTGATGAGGTGCAAGAACAAATATTTTTAAAAATAGATATATATGAACCCTCAGGTTAAAAATAACTATAAAAACCGAGTACTAAAAATAGATTATGTGATCAAAATAGATGGAAGGATACAATGATGCCATAAAACATATTATTTAAAAATAATATTTCATTATCATCCAAATCATCATCTTCGCTAGCAAAGGGTTTTCGGTCCACTCCGCTCCCCATAATGGGGAGGGGGTGGACCGAAAACCCTTGGCTAGCGAAGATGCCAAATCAGTCAACTTGATATCTGTTCATATATAGCGTTCTATCGACTCATAAGTCTCCGTGTCAGGGCGAATGTAGTATCAGTTTCGAAGGTTAACATTATTTGTAATGTATCATAAAAAGGCCATGTTGTTTGATAGAAATCAACATTGCAATAAATTGTTTCCAGGGAAAAAAGTGTAGAATGAAAGTAAAAAATGCCTTGTGCACAAAATAAAATGGAGGTCTTTTAAACGTCTTTGGTTCTTATATAAAACATTACAGAGGGGGTTCTTTTATTCGGTTTTATTAGTATTATCCCAATATTCCTAAAATAAAACAACACCCCTCCCCCACTCCCCCCAAATTATATTATTTTTTTAAAGTTTTTTTTATCATAGGATTATTGAAATCAGATATTTTTTAACTGTTCCATGTACCAAAAACTTACAGCATTGCAAAACAGTTTTTTAAATGCATTGATAAAAGAATATTAAGATTTAGTAGGAAAATCTAAATGTTTTACAATTCTTTCAAGCTGCTTCCATAAATCAAAGAGGAAGGAATATGAACCTCCACAAAATGACAGCTTTACAGACTATCAAAATTTGGGATACACTAAAGAAATGGTGCCTAACCATAGTTATATTAATAACGAACAGGCTGTCAGAGCAAGACGAGCTTACGAGGATGCAAATGACAAAGATTTCCTAAGTGAATACGAAACTAACAAAAGTATGCAGAAGAAGAGTTCTAGAAAGGAAGGCGCGAATGGTGTACCCAAAACATTGTCCCAGGATGACTCATCAGAATCGGATTGTTTTAGAGATTTTCCCGATAGAGGAAATGATGGTGTCTTTCAAAAGAAGAAAAACAGTCCCTACGAAACATGCCATGATATAACTTTTCTACAGAATTTTTAGATCAAATGACCATGGATTCTTTCGCATGTGAGTTAAGGCTAGGTATAGGCAAATCTATGCAAATAAAGTAATTAAATGCCTAAGGACTATATCTATTTTACAGAGAAAGTTAAAACTTATTGTCTAATACATACTTGGTACCCGCGACATGAGATAGCCAGTACACATAATGACGTCATATTATGACGCCATTGTTCTTTACTACACATGATTATAATGGATATCAACAAAAATGCTTGGCGCAAGGGCATGCTCTATTTTATTTGACTGAAACAAGGTATATTTAGAAGCAAAATATTCCAGTGTTTGCTGGTATTGCTGCACAAATATCAACAGCTCAGTTGTATAATTTCAATTTAAGTTGAAATGGGTAAAAATGTACAGTCCGGTATAAGTTTCCTTAAATTCCGCTCAAATTAGAAAATGCCTAGGATTTGTGCAGCGGTTTTATTAATCTATAGAATATTCTTCTTAGCATTATACATTTTCTATGTAAAAATAAATAGGGTAATCCCTTGCGCCGAAGCTGTTTTGTTGATGTGTTATATTACCTCCAGTAGGTAAGATCAATGACGTCATAATATGACGTCATAATGTGTACTGGCTATAACATATCGTGGGTACTAAGTATGCATAAGAAAATAAATTAAAACATTCTTTGAATAATAAATATTCCTCTTACGCGTTTTTATTAGCTCATTTGCATAGAAACGCCTATACCTAACCTTAACTCACATGCGTTCAGTATTTCGCCGGTACATGATTTAAGTGAAAAGCAATTTTGCATATGCACATCAAAACGAATGTAATACATTTATTCTCTATTGTTAAAACGTACCTCACAAAAAGACTGAGACCTGCAAGCAAAGGAACAACGACATCCATGTAACAAACATATGTATATTTGACAAAAGAAGAATCAGGTTAAAAAAAATCAAGCTAATTTCTTCCTGAATATGGATATGTTAGTCCATTTCGTCAATTAAAACATTGAACGTAAGCATCCTTCTTTTCCGGACCGTATCCAAGGATACACCTTGAGAAATATTTCCTTTTTAACATTTTAAAGAGATATATATCAATCATCGTATTTTTATACCCTGCTCCGAAGGGGAGGAGGTATACTGTTTTACCCTTGTGTGTCTGTCTGTGTGTATTTGTCAGTCTATCTGTCTGTCCTTAACCAATTTATGTCGGAGTTTTCTCAGCAACTACTATTTGCAGATATTTGAAATTTTAGCACACTCTTTGTCTAGGCATTCCATATGGTAGGATTCATTTTTGTATGAATCCGATGTCAACTTTCTGTTTATCCGTGCGTCTGTCCTTACCAGATTTTCGTTGCAATTTCCTCAGCAACTACTCGTCGCAGTTCACATCAGAGCGTATACATATATGCACATGAGACAAGGGATATTACTAGTTAGCATTGGCTCACAGATGTCTTGTTGTTTTTGTTTTGAATAATCTACATGTACTTTTCATTGATTAAAAATACATTGAATGTGAACACCAATGAAACCCGACGTCTAGCTCTTTGAGTGTACCATTGAATGCTTCGGATAAAGACAACCAAAAAAAAAAAAAATATATTTGCTTTGAAACGTAGATATCAATCAAATATATTTTGTTTTTGTTTTTGATTGTTATTATTGTTTTATTTCTGTTTAAAATATAAACCTCTATATACTTGTCATTAATTATTGATACAATTCATGTCAGGACAAAATTGTACATATTCAAATGTATAAACATTTTTTTTTTAAATTCTTTTTTTTTTGGGGGGGGGGATCTTAAATTGTTATTTTCTATTTATTAAATAGTTAAAATGCATTATATTTTAGAAATTTTTATTTTCTTGGATAAAAGAAGAAACTAAGTGCTTGAATATGATGAACAAGGGGGCTATTCCGAAATTGATACAATTATGAACTGAAAACTTTTAAATAACATTTTTATTTCTTAGATCTAATGTTGACTTGATGCTAGAAAGTATTAAAAATATAAGTAATTTCTTGTTTAAATGCTTTCCGTCGGGTCCTCTTTGTATAGTGTTTCATTTTTTTTTTTCATACAGCGGTCTTTGCACAGTACATTTATGACCACATAAGTATACAGTGCAGGAAACTAATTGTGTTACAGCATCTATGCTGATTTGAATGCTTCCTTTGCTTGCTGATTTAATGCTAGTAATCCTTATCCTGATGCTGTTTTATAATTAGGTCAATGCTACCGGAAGTAGCATCATGCTACCGGGAGTAAATAATGAATTTCAGCATTGCCGTTTAAAGCAATAAAAGTGCCTTTTACAATTATTTGATCATAATATCTCACTATGTATCAATAATGTGAATACTTTAACCAATGTTCTTTCTTTCTTTTTTAATTTTTTACTGAATTAAAACTCATTGATTTTCTTATGCTAGTAGGATAATGCTGATTTTATGTAGGTCAATGCTGGTTTTATCCTTTGCTTGCTGATGCTGATCCTGGTAATGCTGTTTTTTAAATGCTGATGCTGATGCTAGCTCGATCCTTATGCTACTAATGCTTATGCTGATGCTGGTTAATGTAACAAAATTAGTTCCCTGCACTGTACCCCAAAACGATAAAAATTTATTTATGTTTTTCAAAGGCTGTATATGTCTTCTTTTGAGGGACATAAAATAACTGAACCTGAGCACATTGGCTAGGCAAAAGCACAAATCAGTTCAGTATTGAAAAGATTACCACCGGGGGGCGGGGGGCTTGAATTTTAAACTACCTGATGATGCTTCCATATCAATATAAGAAATGGCTTTCTTGTACTTGAGAAGATGTTCAAAAAAATTTCCCATATATTCCTTTTTAAAAATTTGATCCCCGATTGTGGCTCCTCCCTATCCCAGGGGTCATCATTTGAACAAATTTGAATCTACACTACCTGAGGATGCTTCCAAGATATTATCCTATATACAGTACCAACCAGACCCAACCTGACACAAAGCAGTCCCAGAGCAGTCCCGGGGACTGCTTTCTGGGACTGCTAAAGCAGTCCCAGAGCGGTCCCAGAGCAGTCCCAGAGCGGTCCCAGAGCAGTCCCAGCAGTCTCAGCGGTCCCAGAAAGCAGTCCCAGCAGTCCCAGAAAGCAGTCCCAGCAGTCCCAGTGGGCGAGGTTAATTAATTTAATGGGCGGAGCTTACTCAGAATGAGATTACCAATAAACAATGTAACTATATAAAAGGCAGTTGAAATTGATGAGCAATTCTTTCTGAGTAGTATCAACAAATATTTACAATTCTTACGCGACAGTCATTTCTGAACTGTTAAGAAAATCACAGTACACGTATAGAAACAAATTATAATTATTGAATGAAGAAGACGTTCACACCTATTAATAACATGAATATTTAAACACAATTATTTGATATATTAATTTTTAACCAAAATAAACCAATTTCTTTATTTTTTGTGATTGATATTGGTTTTCATATTTATTTTTTTTATATAGAAAATTAAACTTGAATTGTTTATTTTATACCAGAATTAGCTTTAAATAGATAATAATAATTATAGAGCAAGGCCGATTCACATACTATACTCTGAATGCATTTTTCTTAAGTATTGGAGCTTTTGAAAAATTCTTTGTTAAACTTTGCTGAGTATTATATTTCAGTCGTGATTATTTTCAATGACTTCCCAATTTAATTATCTTTAGATTCTCAGTTTTAAGTGTTTTATTATATAAATGTTCGAGTGTACATCTGTAAATCACGCAAATGGAACCCTCAGATTATGTTCAAAATTAATTAATCCCGAAATAAATTTATACACAATTATTGAAACGAAGATTTTTTGAAGGACATAGATTGAAATTAGTGTCAATGTTGACCAGCGTGTTCAGTGATGTGTAACACTGATACCCAAATAACATGCATTGACTTTCTGCTAATTATGCCCAAAGGCGATTGAAACCTCAGGTGTTGACACCATTTTATACAATCCCATTGTATTAACCGGCCAGGTAAACACAAACAAAAGAAATAAGAAACAAGTCACAATTCCCGATATTTTCAAATGTTTATTTTTTAAATAAATGTACTCTTTTAATGACTTGTTTATAAATTAAAAACTAATTCATAAATAAATCCCCGAATAATTGTTCACATTGTTTATGTGACAGAAGAATGGTAGAATAATTTTATTTCATGGTCATTAAATAAATTATTAGGTTTTATTTGAGGGTGGTAAAAAATAGCATGGAGTGCTCTTTTTTAAGCATTGCATTAGCTTTTTCAATTAAGAAAAAAATCCATCCAGTACAGTACGTTCCTCTGAATACATGTATCTTACTGAAATGACAAGTTTGTTTGTTTTTTCTTTTAAATAGTCCTAATGCAAACTTGAGTACATATGTAATTTGACAGCATTAATTTATTAAATAGGCCTAGATAATTTTTTTTTTTCAAACACCTGTATTGAAGTTTAATTGAAGGGATAGAAATTATCCCCTGACTTCCCTTTTTAACTACTTTCATTTTCTTAAAATTAATTCTAGACTACAATTGTGTAAATTTACAGCCCTCTGAAGACATTTAGTAATTACATGTATAACTATTAAACACTTCTCTGCAGAAAGTAAACAAAACAACAACAAGGAGCTGCAAATTCAGAATACACAAGGGGCGGAGCTATCATGTCACTCAGAACCTTTTTCACGCATGAGTGAACAAAGCAGTCCCAGAAATCAGTCTCAGGGACTGCTGGGACTACTGGGTCTGCTTTCTAGAGCAGTCCCACAGCAGTCCCAGAGCAGTCCCATAGCGGTCCCAGAGCAGTCCCACAGCGGTCCCAGAGCAGTCCCACAGCAGTCCCAGAGCGGTCCCAAAGCAGTCCCGGGGACTGCTTTCTGGGACTGCTTTGGTGTCAGGTTGGGTCTGGTTGGTACTGTATTTCTATTTAAGACTTTGATCCTCCATTGTGGCCCCACCCTACCCCCGGGGGTCATGATGTGAAACAAACTTGAATCTACACTACCTGAGGATGCTTCCATATAAATATGACTCAACATGTCTTTGCTGTTCTTGAGAAGATGATTTTTAAAGGTTTTTCCTATATATTTCTATGTAAAATTTTGATCCTCCATTGTGGCCCCGCCCTACCCCCGGGGGTCATGATTTGAACAAACTTGAATCTACACTACCTGAGGATGCTTCTATATTGATATGACTCATTATGGCTTTGCTGTTCTTGAGAAGAAGATTTTTAAAGGTTTTTCCTATATATTTCTATGTAAAACTTTGATCCTCCATTGTGGCCCCGCCCTACCCCCGGGGGTCATGATTTGAACAAACTTGAATCTACACTACCTGAGGATGCTTCCACATGAGTTTCATCTTTCCTGGCCCTGTGGTTCTTGAGAAGAAGATTTTTAAAAGATGCTATTAATTTTTCACTAATTCTTTATTATCTCCCCTTGAAAAAGGGCGTGGCCCTTCATTTTAACAAATTTGAATCCCCTTCACCCAAGGATACTTTGTGGCAAGTTTGGTTGAAATTGGCCCAGTGGTTCTTGAGAAGAAGTCGAAAATGTTAAAAGTTTACAGACAGACAGACAGACAGACGGACAGACAGACAGACGGACGCCGGACAAAAAGTGATCAGAAAAACTCACTTGAGCCTTCGGCTCAGGTGAGCTAAAAACGAAAACGATATGATTTACAGAAAAGTTTAATAAACAATAAGAAATGAGAAAATGACACCGTTTTCCGTATAAAATGAAAAATAAAGTATACATTGCATAGAATAAATATATAACTATTGTATTTTTTAAACGCGTATAAAACAGTACAAAATTAATATATTAATCAAATAAAACTAGCACCACTATATATGAATTACATCAAAATCGTAAGTTATTTGCATTTCATAAAGAGTCCCCAATCATTTTTGATGATAAGATTTTCCAAATTCAAGCAGTTTTAAAAACTGTTAAACTCGATCTCATGAGAAATCAATATTGTTACAGAATCATCTGAGAGATAGGTATGGCACATTTATTTGAGCGCTTTCCCTAATAATAAGCAAAATCCAGACCAGGCTTTATAACTGACCTATCTTTCTTTTTTTCTATAAATATTATTTTTTTATTGTTAACATATGAATTTGCTAAGAAAAATTTAAAGTAGTAAATACAGATAACATTATCCAATAAAGTTGGAGCGCTCATGGATTCTGTTAAATAGTTCAGTTTAAAAAAAAAATTAAAAAAAAAAAATTCAATCTTTTCAGTTTGCATAAAGGTCTTCTTGTTTTTCGTTTTTCTCCACAACAATCTCTTTTGTTGAAAATCTTCGCAGAAGTTTGTAACATTCCTCAAATTGTTCCTACAAAAATAAAATAAATCTTTCTTATCAAATGATGCCAGGCATTTCCATTTTGTGGCCGTAGAATGAAACACATAATTCCAAATCATGTACGTGCCCTCGCAAAAATTCAATAATACACAGGTAATCAAACTAAAAATAAGACTTTCTTAACATTTTTTCATAAATAAGTTAATATATTCTTTTCAAAATATGCTTTAAGAAACTCTCTTCTTGTCTTTAAGTTGATTTACAAAGATGCTGAAAAAAGAGAATTTTTACTCACATATTTTAGCATTTCAGAAGGCTGCAAAACATGTAGATATCTTGCCATGAAACACACGTCTGTTTCTCCATCGAACATCAGCTGATACAGGGAATTTAACACTACTGCTGCCATCAAAACATCAGTGTTGTTATCTCTAAAAAAAGGTGTTTAAATAACATGAATAATCATATTAAATATCCTTTGTTGAAATTCCATTATATTCACATTAGAATAACTTATCAGCTATTTTTAGCAGTCTTCGATTGGCTTTTTTTAAAAATTACCCTGAATTTTTTCACAGAGGCAAATACAAAAAATATGTCGTAAAAATAAGAAGGGAATGAGAAATAAAAAACAGCTTTAGCAAACACTCCATGTCTTTCTGGTATATTTAAGACCCGTCTATACATTGCACATTAAAAAGTTCTGATTTTGTGGTATTTTAATGCAGATGGAGTAATCTGCCCTTTGATCAAAAGTAATATATTTTGAGATGTACATTGTGTTACATTATTTGTAATCAAATCAAGCATTAATGACATTTCATAGGCCAAGATGAAAAGACTGAACACTTCATTTGTAGGTATTTTGCCCTATTAAGTAAACAACAGTGATTTCTGTTCATAGTATGTCATTATCTTTTAACATTTTCTTAGGGGTAAATGCAAGGTACCTTATATTAAAAATGTGACAGATAAGCTCAATAATTACACCTTTATATACTATACTTTTCTCAGTGTCCAATAAATTATTTTCCTATAGTGGATGGGAAGTCCACTTCTTAATACGGAGAAGAATTTTTTTATATATATTTTGTTTGAATATAATCCAAATAATATACACACTTTTCATATTAGCAGCTACATGTATAAATACATCTTAGACATCTAGTTCTGGTCGCAGCTACTTTTTAAATACAGATTCAGTTGCATAAATGTAAAAGCAATTTACACAATGTTTGAAATATAGTAAAACATGTAAACGAACTCATGTATAATCATGATTGGCTTCTCTCTGTCCAACGGCATGCTCGTTACGGCATCTATGATATCAGAGAGTTGTGTCGTGTTTGAATAAACCGATTTTTCAGACTGCATAGCCTGCACAATTCTGACGTCAATTTCTTCATCATCCCCATGCTTTGAGAGAAATAGAAAAAATCCATATAAACATAAAAAGCAACAAAACATACATAGAAAGCTAATAAGTACATTAACCTAATATATATTCCTATAAGGTGCCACAACAAAGAATTATGGACGGTGAGTTCCTCCGGAAAAGAGCACTAAGATATAAAGTCAAAAGTACAATTCAGTACGTTTATCAAAGAGCAAGAGCCACGAACCATCAAAAATGGCCCTGTCTCAAAAATTAACAGGTTGTTGTCAATTGATAGTGAAGACTTTTAGCTTTTCTTTGCCGTTTTTCTTTTTTCGATATCGATTATATTTTTTGAAAAAGAGAATCTGAAGTATGATAGTGTTTTAAAGGAAAAATGTTAGTAGAACGTCATTTTCTGTAACGTAACGTCGTAGCGCGAAAAAATACTTTGATCGATTTTACATGTATGAATATGTGACTTTGAATTAAAAACTAGTACTAATATTATTATATTAAACATCATAATTAATTTAACACTTTTTAAAGGATTTGGAACTTGATTTTACATTGCCGTCTTTACATGTATGGCAACCTAGTATTTACATGTAACTGATCGGATTTTATAGATACATGTAGTAAAAAACTAGAGGTACTGGAGTACTGGGCTCACAAAATGATACCCTGTCTCGCATACGTTTATAATGGCAAAGTCCATGTTTTGCTATGGGAGACCCGAAGTATGTGTCTGATCAAAAAGTTAAACAGGAGGCGCACAATGGCACTTGCAACAAAGATTCGTTAAAGTATCATTAAATCTTATCCAGTCGTATAAGAGGAGTTGCAGATTAGAGATGTGTACCCTAAAGCGTATATATACCCCCCCCCCCACTTTTCAGGCGGGGGAGGGGGAGGGGGGTATAATAATCTGTGTGACTGTCTTGGTATTTTTTTTTCTACCTGGTTCCTATGTGATATAATACTAAAGAGGAACATTCTATTTATATCCCTTCAACACATTTTTGAGCGATGCTTCTCTCCTAGTTACCGGTAAGTATTGATCATCATAAACAATATACGACAAGCTTCAAATGCTGATAGTCTGTCCGACTTTGGTTTCCGGATTTTTCTTTACAGGTCTGCAGGTATAAAGCTGATCTTTGGCATGTGCGTCCAGGCACGTAGTATCGTTTTTCAAAGTTGGGAAGGGGGCAGTCAGGAAAAAGTAATTGACAAGATAACTGAAATGATCTTGAAACGAATGTTTCTGAACTAAAGAGCTCATTATATTTATAACTGGATAGAAGTTAAGTTGCAAAAAGTTTTATTTAAATTGAAATAGACTTTCAATGCGAAATCCTTAGATCCTGAAATTGCGAGTTTTTAACATATACTTGTAAAAGATCTAAATTATTTGGAAAAGAGGAGGAAGAAAAAAGTTGGACGGACTACTAGTAATCGATTCATGCATTTGTAACAATAATTTGAACGTCGTTTTCGATACAGAAACAGGGAAAATTTTAGATTAATTGGAAAGGGATTTCGCAATTTATCAGAATGGTTTAATTAGTAAATAGAACTCAAAACATTATAGCCCTAAATAGAGTTTCTTTGGAGTAATATGGAATACATGTACGTTTCAAAAAATATTCTTAAGAAAAATAAATTTGTTAAAAAATCACTTGTCACTGTCCATTATTATATATTTAACGGTCTTTGCTACACACACCCTTTCTCCTGCAAAGTGTTCGAATATTTTTCTCCCAAATATACTATCTGCGAGGATTTGTAAAAGTAGAAGTTTGCAAAAATTCTATGATTATTTTCCATGTAAATGTACAAAAAGATTAAGCATCAGCAATTTTTCGTTATTATCATACGTAACCATAATGTAAAATCCACACTTTCGATTTCATTTACACATTATGGTTTTTGTTTATAAAAAGAGTAGAGCTGCATTGATATTGCTGATATGTGGGTCACTATCTATACTACTATATTAAAATAGTAGACTCGAATTTTTGGCCTTTAATACCGATAAATCGGAAGAGTACCGTCTTTTATTTGATATATTTTAAACATCATTGGTACTTGAAGATTACCAATTTGTTTTTATTTTTTCTCAATTAAGCTTCGCTAATTAATAATCAACGAAAATTCCTCAAAAAAATCCGGAAATCATCTGGATTTCTTGGATTTTACAATCTTGCGCGTGCGCATTACATTCACGCTAAATCACGGTGTTCAAATCAATCTCCCTTGCATAGTTGTCGTTCGTTTCTCTCTTATACACGAATGTATGAGCCGTTGGTCGAGAGTGTGTTCAAATCAGAGAAGACAAAAGTATATACTAAGTAGATATATATTTGTTATTGTGTAATTTCTCTAATAAGAAATCATTAATGTATATGAACAGAATATATAGCAAATTTCCAATGAAAATTTACGCGTATTTGTCATAGGCGTCGGAACCGGGGGGGGGGGCTAGGGGGGCTTAGCCCCCCCCCCCCCACTTTTTTTTGCAAAGATAGGCTTAATATAGGCATTGAAAACTGGGGCTTACCTTTTTTCGTTGCTTTAGCTCCCCCCCCCCCACTATCAAATAGCCACCCCACTTTCAATTTGCTTCTGACGTCTATATGTTTGTATTATCGTAATCGTTTCTGAGTTTATATCCATACAAATGTGATATTGTGGCCACGTGGGTAATCATTCGCCATCTCGGAGACACATTTATTATATGTTATTTATATCTCTGGCCATCTCAACGGAGGCAAAAAGCTCATGATCGTAGGAGCAACATTAATGTAACTACCCGATTTATTTTATCCCTCCTTTCTTTTATGCTTTTTTGAGGGGAACTGAAGGGGGAGGGGGTGTTACAACTCCAGTTAGAATCACATCTTAGTGAAGTAGGCATTCTTTTTCCGCCAAAAATTACAATAACTACTATATAAAAATTATAGACTCGAATTTTGGGCCTTTAATACCGATAAATCGGAAGAATACTGTCTTTTGTTTTATGTATTTTAAACATCATTGGTACTTGAAGATTACCAATTTGTTTTTATTTTTTCTCAATTAAGCTTCTATTTTTATTACTTTTTCTATGTACTAATTCAAAGATATTACATTAATTTTTATCAAAACAGACAGTCTTTTACAGATTATATAACCTGTCTATTACCTTTGTATATATAAAGTATATGTATTAGCAGTGCTTAACTCTTTTATTGTTGAGGTCATATTTTGAAAAAGTTGAGACCTGCAGTGTTAAAATTGTTACAATTTTTTTTACACCTTTTCTTTAATAACTGATTGTGTAAAAATACCAGCTTAGCACAATTCTTCATTTTCATTACTTTGCTTGATACATGTATGTATCAGCAGTGTGCTCAACTCTTTGCTGTTGTCATATTTTCAATAAACATCGATCCATAATTTCTTTTATTAAATTTGGAAAGGTGAAATTTATGTAAGCTCCGGCGTGATTCGAACTCAAGACTTGATTTATAGCTAACTGGTGGTCAAACCCATTCTGCACTACGCCGTTACGCAACAATTAAAAAAAAACAAAAACAAAAACAAAACAAAACAAACACAAAAAAAAAAAACAGAATTATATTAACATTCATTGTTTATTTCAAAAATACCTTACAATATGAATGTGTCGATGTATCTATTTTGTAAATGTCCGATATGCACATGGATGCATTCATAACAATGTCAACCCGTGCACGCACGGGTCAAAATCTAGTCATAAGTGAAAAACATGTACAGGTGTTTATTTGTCCTACAATCAGCGCAAGATTGATTTTACTCAAGAAAAGCTTGCTTAAAAAAGGTTTTACTCAGAGAAGCAATAAGATTTGCCCTTATATATATATTTTTTTCAGTTTTCTTTATGAATTTTTTTCTTTTTCGTGAAAAGTGGCGCCGCCACACCAGGTACCCCCCCCCCCCCCCTTGAGGAAAAAATATGAGAAGTAGGAAAGTCTTAAACAATTTTCAATTTCTAGATTGAATTCTATTAATTAACAATAAAGAAAGTTAAATTCAAGACTACTTTTGAGAATAAACTGAAGATAACTACATTAGATGCAAGTTTTGCTGTCATTTGTTTGTAATCCCCCCCCTTTTTCAATCTCAACTGGAATCTACCATTCTACATATCATGATACTAATACTATAGTAGTTAATACTGAGGAAGGAGGTACTATACCAGAATAAGCTGACAAAAGATTTAAAAAAAAGTAAAAATTATTATCCAAAAAAATTCTACTTCGTTGGCCAGGGTTAAAAAAAAAAACTGGCTATAAACAACTTACAACCATACCTTTCAAAGAATATATTCCCAGTTTATTGTTTGTTTTTTTTAAAACACATTCTAAGGACTCGATCTCTCTCTCTCTCTCTCTCTCCATGTGTTTTCACGGTGCTGAATTCTTAGATAAAACAAATCCGTATTGTTATAGACTATAATAATAAAGTCGCAATGAAGAATTGATGACAGATAAAAACTTTAGGGTAAATTATATGTATTATACTTATTTATTTATTTATTTATGTTTTGTCTAAATAGATTTAAAATCACTACCCCTTTCACTGACTGACGATCTGAAGCATAAAATTGTGATAGTTAGGCCTACAATGAAACATTTGGAGCACAGTACAAAAAATGCATAAACATTTTATACTGATTTCTAAGATATCTGACATGCATTTAATGGATTTTTGCTCACTGGGGGTATATCTGAATTATGTTTCACAAATGATTACAAGATCAATTATTTGTTATATGTATACATGCATCAATATCCTCACTAATACAGACATATTAAAAATATATATTATATGCTATGTTCTAGATCACGGGCGCGGGTTCGTCAAGTGCAAGTGTTTTGACGAAACCCGATATCGGTACAAACATACATGTATACTATAATTATACATTATTTTGTATCGGCTTGTATAAGCCATCGATATAACTGAATCTTATAGATCCTCCTCTGAGATGATTCTTCTGCATGTACACTAAAGGGTAAATTTCGGTGCGGAAATCTAGATGATTATCTTAATGCGTATACTATTTTTTTTGGGGGGGGGGGGTCATTTCTTTTCTTTTCTTTTTTTAAATTTTCACTTTGGACAGCAAGCTATGTCATTATTATTTCTCTTGTTTTACAAAGGTCTAGCGTGATATCTTTGTTACTTTATCTATTAATTTATTTACAATTTAAGTCATGCCTGTTAACACTGTAAACAACAGTATTTTGAATTATTTCAAAGGGGGGGGGGATAGGGGTAGTAAAGAAAAACACCGTGGCGGAATTTCTGAAAACTTATAATTTGATGGTATCATCCAGTTGGGTTTAAATCATATAAATAGGGACAGTATCTTAATTTCATTATTCGAGAGCGTTAAAAATATTTCAGCAATATCCCAAATAATTTACAGCCTTTATTACGTCACAACTGACGTATTACTAGTAACGTCATATTTAATGGACCTATTCATAGTAAAACCATAAGTTTTTCCAGATATTTATTTCAGAAAATGTACATATTTGACTCTTCTTCACATTTAGCATTTTAAATGAACAATAGACTGATTTTCTAGTATATTTTGTGAAATTTATATTTTTTTTTATAATTGCATGAATTAAATGTAAACGATTGATTCACAAATTAGCGATTATTTGATCCATCAAAATTTAAATATAAAATCAAATTTCATATTGGCTACAGCCACGAACAACAACGATAATAAACATAAAGATTTGTATCGGCGATATCTATATCTATGGGAAGTATAAAAGTTGTTCTTGACTGTGGCCACATCTAACTTTGGGAAAATCTGTCGAAAAATCGGCATTTTTTAACGTTTGTATGAAACCGTCGCATTTTCCAACCGTCGCACGTGCTTAATGGCGCATTATATAACGAAATGAGTTACGTATGGAAAAGAAATATGTTGTCCTCTAACATTTAACGTATAGTACTCTTCTTGAATCGAAACTTTATTCTTATGAAAAACACAGGGCCAAATATGATGGTTCGTGGCTTTAGCTCTTTCTGTTATCGTTGACATTATATCAGCAAAAACCGGTCCATATCTCTACGTATAACACCAACCAAAGCCATTACTTTATATAGTTTCTACACAGAATTTATTGGTTGAATTGATGAACGGATAAACAAAAAATCATCAAAAAGAAAATAATATGAGAGCACATAAACCTAGGGAAGGAATTCATAGATTTCAGATTAGCAAGACTCGCATTGAAAATCAAGTGTGGATGTTAAAAATACTGTACAGAATAATCAAGTTCACTTAACATCTAAGAATAAATGGCAATGAACGATATTAGAATTATTTGCAATCTTTTAAGCAAATATATTTACTCTTTAGGGGTTTCTTTTCAGAAGAAAATAAGATACATTAAGTGCTAATGTTAGATTATTACTTTGAATTTGCAACTTAATTTTTATTAGATTGATCCATTATTTCTTATCTGCATTTAAATTTCAAGTATGTCCCTGTACTATAAGATGTACCGTACAATCTGCCCAATCGGACTTGCGCTGGGACACAATTCTTTTTGTCAGTATTCACAGTAAAACGGATTTTACAGGTGTCGGATTGGACATGTTATACTGTACTTTACTACTGTATTATACTGTATATTAGTTTACCACCTGAATAGTAATCCTTGTCGTAGATATTCTTCTACAGAGGCTGACTACTCTGCTCTTTGTCTTCTTTACAACATATCTACCGATGACCAAATCATGGTCCTCTGGAATCCATTGTTTTGTCTTGAGAATAAAAGAATTTAGAACTAGAATTAGGAATTCAATTTTATATATATTACTAACCTGAACTTTGGTTTTCAAATATACTTGTAGTAATGAATAACATTAAAACATGTACCAGTCTATGGATAAACTGACTAAGCAGACAGAGAAAAAAAGCAAAGATATAAGAAATGAATAATACTAAATGAACCATGAAAAATGTTTAATACTTACTGTAAGTTGCTCATCCAGAGAATCTAAGGTCATGATAACAGATGGCGAACAGTCCGTTAATATTGACATAAACTCTGAAACTTCTTTCGCTTTTGGATAGTGACACACCACTATACCCTCTTCCAGCCACACAGACTAAAGGTAATATATAAAGTGTGCTAGGAGTCCACAAAATGTAGTTAAATACCATTAGAATTAAAGTCTAAAGTTAAAGCTTTTGATACTTACAGGATATTCTGCTACAACCAATGGTTGGTTATCCATCGCATCGTGTTCTGTAGTATTGAATGAAAAAAAAAAAAATAAAAAAAATGTTTAAAACAGTTTATCCTGGCTACTGAGTGATATGATGTTAAAACAAATTCTTATATCAGTTTTAATCTTTGAACACTGGTATAGGAGCTGAGTGACATCCTTACCCTCTGCAATGTTGATAGCTTCATACTGCCTTTGTTGTTTGATGTAATTGACGAACTCCTGAAGAAAATAAAACATAAATGCTTTAATGATACATGGAGTGTAAAACATGCAGATAATTGCACAGTCTTAAATGAGCATTAAGCCCAGAATGCAATAGATAAATGTTTACTTACTGTATATTCCTTGTGTAGCGCATCTTTGTCGGCAGTGTGATTGGCCAGTTTGTCTCGTGTGACCACGTGACGTGGAAAATTGAAATATTCATCTAAGCACTTGTAAACGGTGATATACTGACCCTGAAAATAGAGATAAAAGTGAACTGGAGTTACATAAATGAAAAAAAAAATACATATAGCATTTTATTCATTCTTCGAAACAACATAAACCACATTATTGGGTATATATAACAAAGCATTGCATTTATTATTATCATTTACAGAAAACATATAAATGAAGAATATTGTCTAATCTTGACGACACAGAACTATTGAACTTTTAGGCTAGTATTATAGAAAATAATGAACTATTTGCCAGATACAAAGAATTAAATTAATGAAGCTATATTAATCATTGTTTTCGATTCTCTTTAATCATGTTCGACTATAAAACTATACAGTTATTGACTTAAAATCTGTAACAACACTGTGAATGGAAATATATTCAATACCGATGTCTGAATCATATGCATTCTCTCCCTTCTCATGACGCTGACGTATTTAGTGATATTCACACTTCCTGTCTTTAGTCCATACTGTACGAGAGCATCTATAGCAATAAACGTACCCGTTCTCCCTACACCGGCGCTAGAAAAATCAAAAGTTTATAAGTACTAGAGAATGTATTCAAATTAAAAAAAATCAAAGTACTGAAAGCTCTGGAGAGAGCTTAAGAATGAAAATAAAAATGAATATGAGTCTTCCATTCACAAGGTTTTCAAAGGAAACTTTAGAATGTGTTCTGAGATATTTGTATTCATTTAATTTCTATAAAAATACGTGATACTGATTGGATAGGATAAAAAAAAGACTTTTGATAACTTTCGTTAACTGCATCAATAGAATCTGAAGTTCACTTGCACTTAGCAGGCGGAACTACTTTGGCTGTCCTTACATATGTCCGTTTTCAGAGTACTTTGTGAAAAAAAAAAAAATAAACATTTTTACCTTGCTTTCCTTAATTTCAAAATTTATCCGTTACGCTTCTGAATTATTTTCTACTTTGTTTCTTTTCTAATTATCCCATTTTGCTAAACAAATCAGATCGTCTGCATGACAATAATACCCATTTGGATACAGCAAAAATAATACCGAATGAATTTGTTTAGTTTTTGAATGTTATTGTTAGAAGCAGCTGTTTTTGACACTTCAATATACATGTATAAGAACGTTGTTTGTTCTTTATGTATTACTCTGCGTTTGAAAATTTACGTCATATATTTTCACGTTCGGCAATCATTCGCTTTCAGGTTAAATATTATCATTGAAAGAAAAATAATAAATGATAGGAAATAAATCCTATATTTTTTTTTCTTTGGTCGATGTATCAAAGAAAACCTTGGACGGAAAACCTTTTTTTTTTTACCAATGCGCTACGCGCATTGATGAAGTTTTCCGTATAAGTTTCTTTGAATCATCAATCAAAGAAAAAAAATACAAGATTCATTTCTTAAATATATATTGCATTGAAAATTTATTTTTCGCTATCCTGTAAAACTCAAGGCTATGTATGTATCATAAATTAAACAACCCATTTCATAATGATCGAAAAATCTTTGTACAATTAGTTTGTTTGTTGGATAATGATATCCATATAAAAAGTACCTGCAGTGGACTACAAGAGGTCTTCTTTGCTTATCTTTTGCAATCTGCTCCCTTACTTTGAAGTAAAATGAAAGTAGCTGTGACGTGGACGGAACGCCATGATCCGGCCAACCAGTAAAATGAAAATGGGTAAAAGCTCGAAGTGTAGCATTTTTATCCTAACAAAAAAAAAAAAAAAAAAAAAAAAAAAAAAAAAAAATCTTTAAAATTTCTCCCTTAAACAGTATTGCGTTATTGACTAAAGATTATAATTATGGTGTATCATCCTTTATCACCTTTTATTATTTATTTTGAAAATAAAATACATAGTACATGCAGGGCAGTGTTTCTTAAATTGGTGTGGGTTTAAAAATATATGAATTAGATACTCATTTTGTTTCTCAATACCATATGTGATCTAAATAGACCTATTGTTGTCTCAAAGTTACAAATTTCAAAATATTGCAATAACGTGCAAGACTGTGTAAAAAATACTAATTCGGATGCATTGCAATTCACATGGTATGTTAATCAAAGAGTATTTTGGAGTTTAGAGATTTATGAGTCATAAATAATCATTGAATACCTGAGTGTTCCTGACTTCTAGATTTCTTACAGTATAGCATGCATACACAACTTCCAGTTTATTGGTAACTGCTAATTTTCCGTAAATGATTGTTCGTCCTTGGTTAGGCCAATATTGTTCACACTTTCTCTGTAATATGATACGCTTTGCATATAACTGACAAATATAATAAAACTCAATTTTTCAACAAATAGCACTATATGTTATGGCTTATAATAAAAAAAATATATTTTACTTTAGAGTGCTACGTGTTTATGCTTTATGTTTTATAGTAAAATTGCATATCTCAACATATAGCACTATGCATTATGTTTTATAGTAAAACTTCGAATTTCAACGTACATGTATAGCACTATACATAATTGGTTATAAACATCTTCATATTTTACCATATTACACCATGCTTTCTGTTTCGTAGAAAAAAAATCACATTTAATATACAGCGCTATCAGTATGTGCTACGATCTTTATAAAGAAACCTCATATTTCATTATATAGTGCAAAGAAAACACACTTTTGATCACTTCACACAAAATAGCTACAAAATCATTGGTCAATACCTTCTGGCCCTCAATGATTCCCGTCAACATAACAACATTGGTAACATTTTCCTGCCAAATCATGCGCCATAGGTCCTTCACGGTTATAGCTTTAGGACCTATTATTTGATATAGAGTTAAATTATAATTCCATATATTAATGATCAGGATTTATATACATTTAAATCAAGTCCAGTCAATTATAACTAACATTTAAACAATTAAAATAAATTTTGTGATTTCTTAAAGCAAGAGGTTTTTAAATTTAGTTTTATCTGAACCTGAGAGGAAAATAATTTAATTATTATAATAAATCTTAATATAGACACTGTCTATAGACAGTCCTATTAAATGAATAAAAATATTCGGGGATTATGGAATTTTTTACTTTTAACAATTAAGAATTTTATTTTGGACTGTTTTTTTTTTAATAGGACTTGTTTTAAACAAAATAAAACCTACCTTGGCATGCTATGTACTCTTTCTCTTTGAGCATACTCTGAAATAAAGAAACTGATATGTTATTAATAACAAATTTTCAACAATAGAATCAGAAAAAATGCAATTTATAGGCATAGGAGTCCGCTTGAGTGCTGAAGACACTTAGATGCTGATAGACTTTATTTCCTTAAGAGAGAGAGAGAGAGAGAGAGAGAGAGAGAGAGAGAGAGAGAGAGTGTCAAACATTTTAGTAAACAATTATAGATACTCATTTAAAACACAAAAAAGAGTAGGAAAAACAATGGGAAAACTTACAGGAATAAAGTTTGCATTGATGTAATCTTCGCCATAAGGATCTGTTAAAATTACTCTTGAGTGGTCGTCTGTTTCAGTAAAGAAAAATTCAGTTTTATCCTGAATGTCTATTATTAATTTTTTAAATTAATTAATGCAGATAATGACAATTTTTAGACCTTTAATTGAAGGCACGATAGGTATTGTTTAAAGCCTCAAATAAGAAAATTAATACTTGTAGATGCGACAAAATCATAAAATGATAATCTCTAAAGAAAATGCATTTGTATTTAAACATAGAAGAGAACACAAGTACATACCATACATGTAAAACATCAATATAAAAGGAATACATACAAGGAAGGGTGTTTTTAAATCTATTTTTCAAGATGTTTTTCTCTAAACTTCCAACGGAACAACGGTTTATGTCACCCTCTGGTAAAGCCTGGAATAAAAAAAAATATTACAAACTTCTACATAATTTCTAAACCTGAGAGAGAGAGAGAGAGAGAGAGAGAGAGAGAATTGTTTTGTTGCAGATAATAAAACTGACATTATTTTTCTTTCTGTATAATTGAGTATCGCACTTTAAAGAACACATTAAACTATTAAGATAACAATAATTTGAAAGTCTTTTTTTCAGCTTAGATGCGTAGAATATCTTGATATTTGTTATGGTGGAAAGGAAAGATAAAACAAATGTTAAATGCTTGATAACTTAATCAGTGATCGGTAATTCATGACTTCTAGACATTGGATACGCAAATAGGACAATTAAAGCACATTTCTGTATAAGGCCTCTAGGCGTTGACATCTGAAGAATGTACGTTTTATTTCCTACTAATGGATACAGTTTTACTGTGTTGAAATCTACAATCTCCTTATTTCACTTTTTTACCCATAAATTTATAAAGGATTTTCCTGTTGTTAATCCTCTTTGACAGTATTTTATATACAATTTTTTTTTTACCTGGATTAAAATTATTTCCTTGCGTTTGTGAGGAAAATAAGATTAAATGCCAAAATAAACATCCAATACATTTTTGTTTAAGTTATTTTTATCAAAAATTTAATTTATTTTAAATAACATTAAAACACCTTTAAGCATTTCTTGTGATCTTTATTTTCGATTAACAGTTCATAAGAAAATACAAAGGACATAAAAAAAAGTATTTAATCTCTGATTTGCGTTTCGTTTACTCCCATTTAAATGAAAAAAGAAGATGGAAGAGATAAAATGAAAGCAATAAAGACTCACTTTAAATTCAGCCTTAAAGCCCTCATCTATATTTTCGTGCTTCCTCAATATGTAGTCATGCAGCTCTTTCACGGGAATGTCCCCTAAATTTTCACTTAAAAGCTCGATTTCTTGTAGGTCATCTCCTGTCTCTATTTCACTTTCAGTGTCTTCCTGCTCCAATTCTTCTTGTTCTTCCGAGTTGACGACATAACTAACATTGTAATAAACGTTCGCCTGATCCCCTGAAACACATTATTGAATCATACTACATTTTACAGGATGTATGCTTTATGATTTATACACTTGGTTGGAATATCTTTTGAGGAAAATAAGGCTACGATTAATCAAAAATTCATTTCTTTCATATATGGACGGATAATCTCTAAATTTAAAAGTCCACACACTCTTCTGGTGTCAGTGTTCCTATTATCGATGAAATAACTAGTATTTAGGTTCTAGGGTATCATTTTTGTTTAGATTCTATTAGATATTCTATTGTACATCGGCTATATTTTAAAATTGTACGGTGGAAAAAAAAAAAAAAAAAAAAACGCTGTTAATCAAGGTTTCATTCAACTAATTACTGTGGTTTTTGTTCTGGCAATGGAATCTAACGTTGGGGTTTTTTGATTATTAATTATCGTTCCCTTGCAGTCGTCTTTGCAAAATATTCCGGATTTCAGACAGATGTTATCTTTATCGAGAAATATTGTTTAACACAAGGACAAAATGTACTTTTACTAATTGTATGGGCGAAAATCTTACAAACTAGTCCGTTGTTAATGTCAGCGTACCAGAAATATAAAAGGCACATGATTTGTTTGTAAATACAATGACTCATTTTAAGAAAAGGAAAGTAAGGTTGAACAAGAATGAATGTTTTTTTTTTACTTCCTTGATAATGTGACTGATTAACATTAGTAAACAATCTTTTGTGTTGCACCTTTTCCTTCCTGGTCGATTTGTTCTAAGTAGTAATTAACTTTTCTCTCCGACATTGGGGTGATCTGTGTCTGTAGTCCAATGGCATCTTCTGTTTTTGTGTCTAATCTTCTTTTTCTGAAATAAATAATAAATTTATAATTTTAAAAGTTTTTTTCTAACTCTACGTGTAGTAGAATAGCTTTATGTCAATGAAATTTAATGGGAAGACTACCTCAGATTTGAAAAGCTGAGAGTCAGAACGAGTGTCAATGCAGATATCAAGGTATTTGCTCGGGGGATAAAAACATATATAAAATCGTTCTCTGTGGTAGTATTGAACAGTGATTCACCGGTAAACAGACATTTCATTATCACAAGAATTGATAAATCCTAAGGGTGAATGTATATAATTTTATTCTTCCTTTTATAACGACTACCGATTCATTTTCCTGCTCTAGATGACTTCTAAATTTAAATAAAGATCGTGTAAACGAACTTATTATCAATTTTTAAAAAATATTTAATATTAAATAATAAAGGAAACTTCAGTATCTCGAATCGAATATGTCGACAACCTGTACATGCAATACGTTTGCTATATTACCTTCTTACAATCAGACAGATGATTAGGAGCACCAACAATATCAGGACAAGAGCACCAAACGCCGCACCAATCATCAGGAAGGGTGCTTCCTCAGATACAACTACAAAGTTAAAATATGAATTAAAAGATTTATTAGAAATCTTTGAGGTTTTTTCTTAGCTTCCTTTGTTATTGCAAACATACAGTTCATAAACAATCATTCTTTACATGAACTCGAAACGAGATCAGCCGAGTGCTTTACAAAAATTGCTTTAATTAAGTGACACTTAGTGGCTATAAACAGACCTACACTGGAACAGGTTTTATATCAATAAAAATCTGTATAAGAAATATACACTCTGTACCTGCACCGGCAGTATTTACTATCACTTCTGTTTCACAGAAAAATCCAGACCTGCCATCAATACAACCATCACATTGACCTGTTGTAGGATTACAAAGTCTTCCCTTGCAATATTCACTGCATGAAATATTGCACTGTTGTCCATAGAAACTTTGATCACATTCTGAGGAAAAAAGTTGAACATAAAAGAAAATTCAAAAAGGAATTTCTTCTCACCTTTAAGCTTGAAGATATATAGGTAAAATTAGAAGTTATAATAAATACTGTTCTTACATGTAATAACATATGACTGAACAGATTGAAACCTATTTTTTGTTTTTATGAATCGTCCAATCCTTACTTGGATGTTAGGTTTCGAGCACATTAAAGCTAATTTTACATTTGCAGCAACCCTGCTTTGAGGTCATCCTAACCATATCTATCCTTGTGCATCGGAGATAGATATTAACAATCATTTATTTGTCTAAATTTTGTTTTCTTCTTTCAAAAAATAGACGTAATACCAAAAATAGGAGAAAGAGTATCCTGTATTTTGGAATTAAAAATAAAGCAACATTATATTTATTACCACATGTTTTATTCTTAAATAAAAATGATATCTTTATGCTTAAATATGATTGACTTCACTGTGTATCATGACTTCATGTAATATTGCATGAAATTATTGAATTATTGAAGATTATCTGTATGGTCTAATGCGTAAGAAAAGAGAATAGAGAACTTATATAAATGTTAATATTTTCATGTTATTAAGATCAAATAAAGTGAGAAAAATATAGATTATTGATTATATTTGTGCTCTTGAAGTTGTATTTTTTTAGATGTCATGCTACTAAACGCTGAGTTAGTTATTCAAAACACTTGTTAAAATAGAAGTCATATACATACATGTATACTTTAAGATCTGTTTTATAAAAGCATGCAAGTATTGATGTGCAAAGAAAAATGTACCCGAAACGGTACCTTATGATGAATTATTTAAGTGAATTAAAACACAGAAAATTTTGAATTTCAACCTAATGACACTGTGGTTGTAATCTGAGTTATCTCACAAAATTGCCCTTCTCTAAATACAGGACACTTTAAGCAGTGCCCATTTGTTTTGTTACATTGTTGTTCAATACAGTATATGTTGCATGTTAAGTTACAGTATAGGCCGTAATACTTCTCTGCACAAACTGAAATAAAATTGAAATATTCATCTTTTTGCATTTTTTGGATGTTTCTATTAGACAATTATGTAACAAGTTAATAAAATAGCTATGGTCTTGCTATTTTGTTGACTGACAAATTAATACATTGAAAAATTCCCCCCCCCCCAAAAAAAAAAAAAAAACATCAATTTTAAAAATACATGCTTAAGCATCATTTTACAGCATTACATTTCCCTTATTTTATTTATTTATTTTTTTTTACTTTTAGTGTTATTTCATGTAGTCTACTTTAATTCTCTCTTCAACAATAAGAAAAAAAAATGTAATATATCTTTAAAGAAGGATATTAACATTTAGAAATGTTTTAAAAAATGTTTATTTCAAATATTTCATAATAGATGTATGGTAAACATTTTCTTACGGTAACCTCTCCAAAATTTAAAGAATTGAAATGAACCTACCATCACAAGCTTTCCCAGCCCAACCCTCAATACAGCCATCCAAACACTCCCCAGTGACTGCGTCACATGTTGTCTTGTTTGTACAATTAGGAATGTAGCAAGAAGTGCTACAATTCTGACCAAAGAATCCTTTTTGGCATTCTACAAAGAATGAGGTGCATCCGATTTGAGTATTTTGTAAGAGAATTGAAAGCAAATGGACTGTTGAATGATTGAATGTTAGGACCTAACCAACCTTGATTACTCGAATGGACAGTCCTTAAAATCCCAAATTCATTGGAAGATTGCAATGGTATACATAGAAAATGTGTGGTCATTTGATGTTTTCAATTAATTGCTTGTAGAATATATTATTTCAACAGTACGTGAAAAAAAAATTCCTTAGAGTTAATAAAGGTAGATGTAAATCTATATTCAGTGCTAAGAAGTGTTTCTGTAATCAATATTGAATGATGGTATAGTATATGCAGTTGCATGCATGTATAAATATGTATGTAGAGAGAATCAGCAGAATAATAAGCAGGTCAAAAGAAAGTCAAGCCAGTGCTTAATTAATAGTATGGGTTGAAAATAGGGAAAATGCATGAATATACATTCGATAGACGATAGATTCATTAATTAATTATTAATTTAAGAAATCTATCATAAACTATCGCTCATAAACTTACCTTGATCACATTTATCTCCCCTCCATCCAGGAGAACATCCATCAGGGCATGAACCATTTATGTGGTTACATGGTTTATTACCAAGACAGGAACCACATCTGAAGGAACATCCTTGTCCGTATTGACCGACAGGGCATTCTTGAAAACGTCAAATACGAAAGTTAACGCTTTTAAATGACGGGGAAATGTTTTTTTACGCATATTCTAAAACGGATCCATTTACTTCCACATTATGTATATTCAACTTCTCTGCTTATGTAAGATATTTCGCGTATATTTTTGCCTCCCAATTTCACCACTGTTTTGTAGAAGTTTAAACTTCATTTTCGAGTCGCATAGGAAGGAGTTGATCCTTAAATCACGGGTTCGAATCCCACTGCGGGGCAGGTTCATTGCCTGAGACTAGAAAAGCCGATTACCTAGCCAAAGAGGTGTAAAAATGAGAACGGATTTGCACAGCTCAATGGCCAGAAGTGTCGGTCAAAAAGAACGCAATTTTGCAGCCTTTCAGCAACAATTTGTGCTGTCTCAATATAAGTGAATATGTTCAAATAGACATAAATCAAACAAGCAAGCAAACAAAGTTAACACGCAGATATTCAAGGTGTTTGAATTCATTGTGTTAATGTTGCTCCTCATTCAAACTGCATGTTACACCTTTCAGTGGGTTTTTTTAAAATTATTTTTTCAATGCAATTCATTCTACACAAAATGTCCATTTTCTTTTCTATAAGAGAATTGTGCATATATAGAATTACGAGAGAGAGAGAGAGAGAGAGAGAGAGAGAGAGAGAGAAGTTACAAAAAATATTTGGTTCCACCTGTTTCACTGAGTGTCAAATTTCTCTTTTTCATCATTTTTTATGATATATATTTTTGTGTTTGGTAAAAATAACTCAAGTGTGATATCGCAGATTGAAATATTTTAACAATAAGATTAAGATATTAGCTATTTCAGTAAGATATTAAATCTTCAAAATTTTCCTGAATCATGTACTGGGACGAGTGTAAACTTTATGCGGGAACATTTTTCCTTACCTGTTTTACAATACTCTCCAGTGTATCCGTCTTTACATTCGAAGCATTCTCCAATCTGAAAGTGACACGAGTCATTCAAACAATTCCCAGGGCACCTCGTACAGTTAACTCCATAAAATCCCATTTCACAACCTGTAAGGACATAGGGGAATTATACAAAATAAAAATAATCTCTATATTTAGTTTATTTATTTAAATATTTTAATTTTTTATACATTTTGTACTTAATCTCTCAAATCACTGATTTTTTTACGATAAATATGGCGATAGCATAAAACAGTATGGTAGGTATACATGTGTATGAACATATAAAAGGAATTCATACTACGTGTATCCTTGTTGCAAATTGTAGTTTGGTACATGTATACAGTGAACTACTTTCCATTTATACATAATTTGTACATACATTACTTGCAGAAGCAGCTGTAAAATTACAAGAAGAAGAGCGTGGGGTTTTGGTAGATTTCCGTTAGAAATAAAGGAAGGAAAATTGAGATACATGTAGTTCATAAAAACCTGTTCTTGCATTAGCTTTTATTAAAGTAATTTTACACCATGAATATCATTTTAAGGAAAGTGTCCAAAATAGACTCTGATTCAATGAAATAGAATGCACAACAGATAAATATCGGCTGAATTTTCAGTTTCTTAAGATATAATTTTCATGTTTCAGTATCAGCAAGTAAGAGCAGAATGTGCCTTAATTCATGACCTTGTCCTGTCCTTGAAGAGTTATCATCTGCTTTTATTAAATACAATTCAATTTTAATAAAATCATTCAGATAATAAAATAGCTTTCAATCGTTTTGTTATATCTAATGATTAAATACATTTATACACCAAAGCATTTACTGATATTCTTTGTATTTCAATTTTAATTAAAAAAATGTTTCTCCCCATATATCTCAAAGTAATCTTTATTGGTAATCACTGCCTAGGTAAACATAATTTTGTAATTTTTTCTTGGTAAGTCCTTTTCTATTGTAAAATGCGTTGAATTAGTATCAGAATATTTTATACATTACTGGTGACGTAAATATAATTAATAATGAAGACCTTAGATCACTAATTTTAAAAGGTCCTAAATTTAGGGAACCCCGATTCTTCAACTGGCGTCGGAATTTCATAAATATTTTGGAATCTGTAGAGGACTACGCCAGGCGATAGGCCAGACATGAAAAAGAAGACCTTGACACTTTGTCAGAATGGATTAAATGTATTAAAAGATTGAGGGGCAATATGAGAACCATCTATCCTTCTGTATTCAATAATCCAGAAGTGAAAAAAGAATTAGATAGATTACATGATCAGTACGTACTGGTCCCTGCTGACAAAGCAGGTAACAACATCGTCTTTGTTTGTAAGGCTCATTGTATTAATTGTATTTTAGAGGAACTTGGATTTAATTCTACAAGTGGTAATCCAACTTATACTCATAGTTCCATTTCTAAGGAAGAAATTCTTCAAAATCATATGTCAGTTTTGAATATTTTTAATATTCCAAACAACCAAAATGAATTTGAATTACCATATTTATATTGGAGTCCGAAACTTCATAAAAATCCTTACAAACAAAGACACATAGCGGGTTCCAATAAATGTTCAACCAAGCCTCTTTCTTTACTCCTCACTAAGATAATAACAGTGGTGAAGGAGAAACTTCAAGAGTACTGTGCAACAATATATTCGAGAAGTGATGTAAATCAGATGTGAATACTTAAAAATTCCAAGGAACTTTTGGAAAATTTGAAATCACAAGATTTTACCAAAATCAACAGCTTAAAACTTACGACTTTTCAACTTTATACACAACCATTCCCCACGATAAATTAAAGTCCAGGCTTTTTGATATCATTGACAGCTGGTCTTTCAATAAAAAAGGAACTCGAAAATATACTTACCTAGTCATTGGTCATTTGCAAAATTATTTTGTTAAAAATCATTCTGATTGTACACACAAGTATTCTGAAGTTGACATTAAAAGATGCTTGAGTTTCTGTTTGACAATATCTATGTAGCTTTTTTGAGACCAGGTCTTCCAACAATCTAATAGAATTACCATGGGTACTAATTGCGCCCCGTTATTAGCGGACCTTTTTTTTGTATTCATATGAAGCAGATCTTGTCCAAAATCTTGTACGTGAAAAGAAGAAAACACTTGCTGAGGCCTTCAACTCGACATTTAGATATATCGACGACGCATTGTCAATTAACAATGGCTATTTCCATTCTTATGTCGATACGATATATCCTGGTGAGCTTGAGATAAAAGATACAACTGTTTCATATTTGGATATTTTACTTGAAAAAGACGTTAATGGTAATCTAACAACAAAGCTTTATGATAAACATGATGACTTTAACTTTTCAATCGTCAACTTCCCTTACTTATGCAGCAATATACCTTCATCACCTACATACGGGGTATATATCTCTCAGTTGATTCGATACGCAAGAGCATGCTCTACATATGTACAATTTCTAAATCAAGGTAAATTATTGACAAACAAGTTGATGAAACAAGAATCTCAGCTGTCTCGTTTAAAGTCATCATTTCGTAAGTTCTATGGTCGATACAATGACCTTGTCAGCAAATACAATTTATCATTGAATCAAATGCTGACTGACGTTTTTCATACTAACTGTTAGGCCATTATTTACACACTGAATTGTCGACGGATTTTTCCGGTATTTCCCGATCATGATAAGGACAATGACAAGGAGCACAGGACGGGTGTGACCGGTCGGCAGGTGATGCTCACTCCTCCATGGCACCTGATCTCACCTCTGATGTTTGGAGGTCCGTGTTTGCTCTGCTCCTATTTTGTATTGTTTAATGGACCTTTGAACTTGAATACTGTTCGTTATCTCCATATATTTCATTTCATGATTGATATTTTCAGTTATAGAATATTAAGTTCCAATTTGGGTCGAATACCTTAAAATAAGAATGAAATCTGAAACACCACAGAATATTCTATTATTCTAAAATAAAAAAAAAATGTATATAATCAAGGACATTTGAATGATTCTTTATGTAAGTTTATAATTTTGTTTTAATACATGATAATAGGAAAGTGAAAAATAATGATTATAATCCAAAAAATTCTTTTCACCTCAGCCAGAATTAATATTGAATTTATAAGTTGCCGGTTTCAGGTTGAATGAAAACTACGACAATTAATTTTATTATTTAATTTAGGAATGACACTAATTCTTGGCCAAATTATTCGAGGATAACCTGGTTTGGGTCAGTTTACGCTTTATAATCCGCGAAGCGGATTATAAAACAGCGTAAACTGACCCAAACCAGGTTATCCTCGAATAATTTGGCCAAGAATTAGAGTCATTCTTTATAATTTAATTCTAAAATCATTAAACAACTCTGGGTGTAAAATTTCGTTGCTTTTTATTAGTTCAAATTTGCCGCTCAATAATACAACCATAGTAACGGAAGTGATGGGAAGCGAGGGGAGGTAAAAACTGATACATAGTCCTAGCAGCCATGTTTTTTGTTTACATGTGGTAAGATCCGAGTTACTGTTTGAAGTTAAAGGTACATTTATTAAATCTGGAATTTTCCATGAATCCCGAGGACTGGAAATGAGAGGATTGCATGGATACAGACGATTCAGCTGGTTGTCAGGGGAGGGGGGGGGGGGGGTGTCCCCATACCAAACCAGGTTATACAGAAATAATTTGTGTTCCTTTTTGGATATTAACCAATCAGAGGCTAGAATACAAACAAAATTAAATTATAAAGAAATAACCCTGCAATCTTCGAGGGAACATTGATTAAAATGCTTTCCTTTCTATATAACATTAAACTTTTAAGTTCACAACAAATCCGGCTCTTGTTCAATACATTTTCAATAAAAACGAAGGTAAAGTGTTAATTAAGAGCAGTGCATTTTCCTTAGTCAAGTTATGCATAGATGAAGAGTCAGTAATTAATATAATAATAAAAAAGAAATATTACCTATGACGTCAATTTCGCAAATATTAATGTATGAAAATTCGGATGCATCTGGATATGTTGTGTTGCTTCGTTTATTATAAACAGTGACGTAACGACCCGAAGTGATGCAGTCCAATATGACGTTATTAGGAGGTATTTGTTGGATGTCATGTTGATAACAGAGAGTCCCTGACCTCCAGTCTTCTGTGTCAGATACATAGACAGAAAATCCAGACAGGGTGCTGCCCTCTGTGAGGTGGAATAGAAAAACATGCAAAGTTATTTTTCATACTTTAGGAGTAATGTAAGTAAATCGGAAATTTGTTTCAATCAAAAAGATAATTGATTATTATAACAAATAATCCTACTTTTACATTTTACAGATACACCATTCCCTGATCCACAGCCACTAGAACCTTTGGGACATTTGTTAATGCTAACTTCATTTCCGTTACAGTTCGGTTTATTATCTAAAAACTGAAGTGAGGATGTTTCTGGTAGTTTGGAAGGAGAGGGATTATCTCTACAAGAAACAGAAGAATTTCACACAAGAAGTGGAGAGAAGAAATTAAGAGGGAAGTATGTTCTAACTCTAAAACAAAAATTACAAACTATTGCTATATCATTCAGAGTGATAATAAATTGATATCTATTTTCAACAAATTTCTTAAGTGCTAAAAATATTTTTTCAACGGATGCAATTTTTTTTTTTTTTGGGGGGGGGCCTAGACTTCAGTCTTTGTTTATCTTTTTATTTATTCACACTGGGTATACTGTATATAATTCTGTTTTCATCTGAAGATCACGTCAAGTAGTAGTAATCGGAATATGATGCATATTTTGTATTGATGTTTTTATTTTATCAACAGTAGAAATGCTGACAAAAAGTTATATCGGCTGATGCCACAATTTAAAAAAAAGGAAGAATATATTTGCATGAAAATAAAGAAATTCAAAATTCTAAACTGACCAAAAAGTAACTTGCTTTTTTGTTTGTGAAAGGATCACCCATGTATGTGCACTTTAACGTGAGAATTCATTAAATGAGACTCGGCCCCAGGGTGACCTGACTTTCAGAACTTACAATTTTTCGGTCAATTTTAGTAAACGTTCTAAGAAGTAATAAAATCTTAATTTTTGGATTGACATTCGTTCTACGTTTTTTTTATGTAAAAGATTCTGAACGTTGAAAATTTTATGTTTCTTTAAAATAAAGGGAAAGAATAACCCGATTTTTTTTTATTGAATACACAGTTAGGTTTACATTTTATATTCAATGCATTGATTAGGTAATCCAGTAAGAAATAAATACCATTTATGAAATGTATAAAAAGTCTCAATTAAGGATATTAAGAAACAAATCTAAACAGAAGGAACTTATAATTAGTAATTTGATAAAAACTGAGAGTTTTAAGTTTTTAGATTCAAAATATTTGTTGTTTTGGTTTTTTTTTTTATTCAATACATGTAACAGCCTTAATCTATACATCATTTCATAAATTTCATTTTTAGATTTAGATGTGGTGTGTACTTTTCTTTAGTTCTATTTACATTTTATTTATTTTCAGTGTTTTGAGACGCATAATTTTTGTAGCCGTAAATCTAAAGAAATAAGAATCTGGGAATTCATTTTTGAAAGTCATGTTTAAAAATGATAATTGAATTTGGAAAAAATAACTCAAAACGATCGAAATGATTTTCAGTTACTTCAAGAAAGTTCAGAATTGGTGATCTTCTACAGTTTTTTTTTTTTTTTTTAATTTTTTATTATTATTATTATTATTTTTTGTTTAAAAATTAAGGTTCATGTCAATATAGATTTACGTGGTACTTGCTCATGCTTCGAAAATGAGGTGGATTTTATGAAATACATCTATTCTTCTTTGAGCATGGTTCTATTCACGCTTTTAATTCAATAACCACCTCATATATTTTGACCTTTAGTGATTGTTAAAACTAATGAGCATTATATATGGCAAATATTGCGCATGAACCCAAGGATAATAATAATTGCAATTTTCTTATAATGAACTTTATCATCATGAGGTCATATCATCTACACTATTAAAGTCTGAATTAAAGTAAATACTTGTTATATACTCACGGTAGAAACCCCCATATTAAGCATACCACTTGGGCATTTTCTGTATCAAAATCATCCCCACAGACCCTTCTAAACGGATTGTATCCATAGACTTGTCCATCTCCATCAGAATCACGATGAAGACCAGAGAAATCAGAATTAATTGAGGATGCATCGAGTCCTACTATAATATAACATATGTATATTAATCTTTTAAAGTCAAATTAATCTCCACACTATTAAAAGTGAGTATATTTGTATATCGTAAGATTAAATATCAAATGAAAATATTCATGATTTTGAAATAAAGAAAATCAAACATTTAAATAAGAAAGTAAACAAGTAATGTCTATGTATCTGTATATTTTGCAGTTTTTTTTCTTTTGAATATAAATAATGTGATTAATGTACAAGCTCTTAAATGATTACAGAACATGGCAGATAAAAAATCTATCTTGGACACTTTCAACTCTTCAAAAGGTGATACTTTGTTTAAAAAAAAACGAAATGAAATGATATTAGAACAGAATTGGAACGCAAGGCCATGTGTTTACATCTATATATTTGTATCAGTCGCCAGGAATAGACAGCTTGTATTTTTGCCTACATGTTTTATAGAATATAAGTAGCCATCGTGAACAATAAAGGGCAAACTACTCTTTATGACGTGTTGAGTAGAGTAATTTTATAGAAACAACAGATATCTCTTTTTTGGACGACTTTCTAAACCTTTCAGAGTACCTATATAATTATCTCGTAATTTTTAAATAACGAATAACCTCCCCATCTCAAAAAAATATATCAATAATAATTTTTCTATATTCCTATACATGTCTATTTCAAAATAATATGAATCCTTCTCTTGTATGAGATAGCATATTTTTTCTTTTGATTAAAACTTAATTTATATTAGATTTTTAAAGCTATGTACTCTTGTGTTTGAGACTTTTTACACTTCCCGTGGCCTTTAACTCGACATTTAGATACATTGACGTATCAATTAACAAAAGTTATTTCGATTCATATGTCGACACGATATATCCCAGTGAGCTTGAAATAGAAGATATCACAGAGTCTGACAAAAACATTTGGATATTTTCCTAGAAAAATACGTTAATAATAACCTTACAACGAAGCTTTATAATAAACTTGATGATTTTATCTTTTCAATCGTCAACTTCCCTTACTTATGCAGCAATATACTATTATCACCTGCATAAGGGGTTTCCATTTCTCAGTTGATTCGATACGCAAGATCATGATCTACGTATGAACAGTTTCTGAAACGAGGTAAGTTATTGACAAACAAGTTAATGAAACAAGAATATCAACAGTGTCATTTAGGGTCATCATATCGTAAGCTCTCTAATCTCTAATTTCTACAATGACCTTGTCAGCAAATACAATCTATCTTTAAGTCAAATGCTGATTGACGTTTTTCATATTAATTCTTAGGTCATTTTTGGAACAATGAATTTTCTATGGATTTTCCCATTATTTCCCGATCCTGACAAAGAGCACATAGCGGGTGTGGTCGGTCGACAGGGGATACTTACTCCTTCATGGCACCTGATCCCATGCACCTCTAATGATTTAGAGGTCAGTGTTTGTTCTGCTACTGATTTGTATTATTTAAGCTTTTGAGTTTGAATACTGTTTGTTATCTCCATATATTTCATCATAAAATGATGCACCCCTCTCCAATAATATAATATAATGGCAAATTGCTTGTCATGTAAGTGAGATTCTGTGAAAGTTCAACTGAATTCCATTCAGGTGTTTAGGAGGAATTGCCGTAACGAAAAGGGTCCCCTTTACAGAACGTAATTACACAATACATGTAACAAGAAGGGAAACCCAAGATAACAATACTGTTATATTAAAATGTAGACTAAAAGATGCACAATGGCACTATGTAATATAGTAAAGACTCTTTGAATGTCTCAATAAATTTTATTTATAGGAAAACTTGCAGATAACAGGTGGACATCCCAATGTTAAAAAAAGAATGGAAAAGTCCATGTTTTGCCTTTGGAAAGCCCAAATATTTTTGCGGATGACACTTAAAAAATAGGATGTGTAAAATGGCACTAGGTAAATGACACTGTGTAAAATGTCATTATAGAGCTTTAAGTGTTGTATGGGAGTTGAAGATAGTAATTGCTACCCCATGTATATAAAGAATGCTAAATGTCTATGATTTTATATGGAAAACCAAATATATCTGTAAAGATCTCAAAATGGAATCGTGAAATAGGAGGAAAACAATAGCACTTTGTGATCTGGATTTTCTGAACGTCTCATTAAATTTTATTTAGTGGTATAGAAGGAGTTGCTGATAAGAAATACGTATCCCAGTGTTATATAAAACTGCAGTGTCCAGTTTTGCCAGGAGAAATCCAAGATATTCGTTTGATAAAAACGTAAAATAAGAGATGCACAATGCCACTTTTTAGTAAAGGCTTTGCGAAGGTTTTATTAAATTACGTTCAGTGTTGAACGAAGAGTAATAAGGTATGGCTGCCCCCAAGAGTAACGGACAGAAGGAAATAGGGATCGTCAACCCAATTACTACAAGAATTGATCCAAATGCAATGTCATAACTGATATAAAATTTTTAAGAATTTATTTCTGGTTGTAACGTCTCATTTGATTGAAAAAAAAATGATATCCAGGCCCGTAGGAAGCAATTTCAGTTTGGGAGGGGGGGGGGGCACAGCCATACATATTCAGTTCAACTACTAAAAAATTCTTGACAAGCAAATTAAAAAAAATGTCACCAGACGTTTTTATTGAGGGGACACAAGCATATCGTATCTATGTTAATCTATATATCGGCAAAATTATTGGGGCCCCCCGGTTCCTACGGCCATGATATCGTATATTCGATGCTATCTACGTCACAATAACTTACGTGAAAAACGCATTAATCCGCTTGACGTTACATTTGAAATATGCACAGTCTAAAGGCATTTTTGAAGACGAAACTTATTATTCTAATATTTGGCATTGATTCTCAGTTCATCACCTTATGTTTTTAACGTCTTACATTCTTCTATTTAATAGTTTTTGTTGCCAATTTCCTATAAACAGTGTTGTTTTGAGTTGTAGAAAAAAAATTTAAACTATGTCCAAATGTAATTTCTACATTCATTTCTTTTTCCGTAAATCTTGTGTATCATTAGACTCAAAACAAGTGTCGAAGTGAATAAGGACGTCGGTACATTCTTGCTGTGCTGCGATAGTCAAGACGCAAAATTGTATTTATTTTTAAATTTTATTAAGTATTGCATGTATCTAAAAGACATGCCAGGGCAAAAGTGAAAGTAGATAGAGGTATTAGCATACAAAGTTCTTATGAAAGCTTTTAATTATTGGAAATTATATAGTACTTGTAGCATTATTTTTTTATCAACCCTCCTATATACAGCAACTTCCCAAGCTAGGGAATAAAATTAAAAAAATATCAATACTTAGATAGATATATGGTAAGAAATGAAGCAAGAATGAAGGCATAGCACACTGTTAATTTATTTTGGCCTTTGCTGGCCTTAAATGACTGTGTAAAGTGTTTAAAAATATAAAAACATGTGCCAAATTATTTCAGATTCCAAATATACAACATGGAACGAACTAAATATTAATCGTTTGGGGAAAAATGTTTCGCAAAGAAAGTATCAAATATCAAATATTTGAATACTTACAGCCCCCATGTAAGATTGATATTGATGCAATATTTTTATTTTCCCCTAAATCCACCGTTAACCAGGCCTCCTTCTGACCGGAAGCTGTCAGTGAACAGTCCAGCAGGTAAGTACTCTTATCACCGTCCACAGCTTTACTTGGGGGAAAGTATCCATTATTATATCTACTACTGACCGTCACAGTTTTCTTACTGGCAAGATTTTCTAAAAATGATATATGAAAATTATTTCTTCCTGAAGAATTTTTATTTGTATATTTTTCAAGGTGTATTATTTGATACGTTTTTTTTCTTAAATTTAAACAAATGGAAAAATGAAAACTTACCATATTGATGAGTTATGATAAATAACTGGCACAACACAAATGGAAAATTCATTATATCTAGAACCATAATGTATTAATAAAGCAACACCTCCGTTTTGCTCATATTGCAACAATCATCTCCATTTAAATGTCCCAAGCTGAAGTAAGTTATTCCGTTTAAAGATTGCATTTATCTCATACTTATTCGAACTAAAGCATTCATGTGTAAATGTTTTACTGGAAGCTTTTATTTTACTCCCGAAGCTATGTAAGCTTTAAATAATGCATTTTTGTTAAATTGTCAATTTCCGGTTTGTTGAACACGGTGTACAAATATAAAATCTATGCAACCACAAATAGGAAAATAGTGATAAAGGTTACTCCCACAGTAAATCAGTTACTCCGATGTTACATGTAATAGAATCATGTTGTTTACTTTTAAATATTTCTTATGTTTAACGGATGAATCAAAAAGACATTTCCAAGTTTGAAACTACGAGTGTTTCAACGCGTATCATCTGTACAAAAGCAATTTAATATGCATTTTGTTGTGAGTTGTCATATAGTTAGATTCAACGCAAATATTTATTTTTAATATCACCCAATTACATCATACGGAAGTTTTCTATGAATTTATATCACCCATTGATTCGTTGTATTTTCTGGATTTAAGAATTTACATTACCTCAGGTAGCTTTTACTTAAGTTTAATTTTTCGTTGTCCAGTTGTTCTTGAGAATAAAAGGATTTTCAAAACTCTATCCCTAAATATTTCAATGTTAAACCTTGATTCCGGTTTGTTTCTTATCCTAACCCTGGAGGCCATGGCTTGTAAAATCTAGACTCTGTACTACTTCAGGAAGCATTTACATCAGTCTCACCTTCTCCGGCTTAGTGTTCATAATTAAGACTTTTTAATGAGCCCAAGCTATCCTGTTTCGGACTTTTCTTCTTAATTTCCTCTTGAACAACTCAGAATCCCTTTGACATGAAAAAGCTCTGTTCCTACTTTAGTTAAAATTGAAATTGGCCAAGAAGTTCTCGACGAAAAGGTCAAAAATGTGAAATAAAGATGATAGATGAGCGGCCGGATAACCGAGCACAGGAGAGTTTATCTTAATGAGTGACAAGTCGCCCGCTTGGTGCAGTGGTTAGAGCGTTTGCTCTAGAATCGCGGAGTAAGGAGTTGATCCTTACGTCGCAGATTCGAATTCCAATGTAGGACGTGGAGACCGGTCCTTCGGATGAGACCGTATAAACCGAGGTCCGTGTTGCAGTAGGTGCTGGCACGAAAAAGATCCCTCACTGCTCAATGGCCCTCATTGCCGAGTAAAGGTCAAAATTTGCAGCCCTCTACCGGCAAGCGGTGGCGTTTCCATATGAGTAAAAAAATCATGAGAGGGAAGTAAAACAAAGATAAACAAACAAACATAATGAATGATAACGTTTTTCATTTTATTTTATATATATATTTTTTTTTTTGTAAAATAACAAAGGGTTCGTCGGCCTTAATAGTCACCTGATTATCCCGAGCTTTTAAAGCTATGGCCAGTGTAGTTCAATCCCAAACTGCGAGTGTAGATTGACCTATCATATCAGAAGACATTAACAATTGCACATGTCTAGCTGCTTATGACCATATGCCTACTGAATGAAGATCTAAAAATGTATTATACATTTCTAATACGTAATCAACTAAGCCCACCTCGGAGCTTAAACATGCACATTGGGGCCTTGAAATTCACAATGCTGATAGAATTGTAAGTGCTTATCAAAACCATGGTAATGGATTTGTTTGTTAAATGTCAATGAGTAAAGGTAATAAAATAAATATGACGCATACAAAAAAAGTAAATCATCCCATTTTGGGCTAGAACACTATACCAAATAAACACTTATTGTTGTATCAGATAAACATAAGTTATCACTTTTCGTAAAGGGATAAACTTTTACTCAATTTGTTTGAAACATTTCTATGCGTAAAGCAGACAATTTTCAAAGTTGTAATTTATGTTTCTATATATGACACAATCTGGCAGCCTATAAGCATGAGCCCGATGGTCATCATTGTATATTTAACCTATTAAATGTCCATGACTAAATAACTCTGGTTAAGGACTGTCATATATACATTAGTTTATGCTGAGGTTCGGGAAAACAATATGACGACATGTTACGCAGTACAGTTAAGGTGTGCAATGAAAATATCGGCAATTTTTGCGATTGAAAATATATTCTTAATCAGGATGGCGATTCTTTTCAGTACTTTATTGATATCCGACAAATGTAATTAGGGTTAATAACTGCATATTGAGGACGATAAGATTTTATATTTAGACTTGTCACGTGATGCGGCAGACACGTGATATAGCACATATACTTGCAGTATATAGATATACATGTAATCAATTCATTTTCAAGATTTCACCAGGATCGCAGCACTTTTCAGATACCTTAATACTTCTAGAGTTTATATGTAAAAGCTTACTGTGATCAATTGAGTGTATGCCCTTGCACTAGATCGATTTATTATGACCCTTGCATTACCCTCCGATGTACTTGCATACAAATATACGGCAGTATCAATTAAATAGGAAATATACGGAATGTATACGAATAAAATCATAAAGAAGACATTGCATCTAAGTAAATTGCCTCTGAAACACTTTAAATAATAGTTTTTTTTTAATTATAGAATGCATTTTTTGTTGTGAAAATATTTCTTGATCCGCCACTTACTGCATACAAACTGCGTCAGGTTTTACGAAATGACGTCACATCGACAAGTGCATTGCGATCAGTGATTTGTTTATACCTTGCTATGTGGAATTTAACTAAAGACAAAACAGCATGTTATAGTATGTAGTATGCAGATGTAGTTTGGTGGTTTCCTATAGTTTAAAATAGCAAATTGATTCATTTTGTAGGATTTTTAAGAATTGCTGGTTTTGTATGATGTCATAGTTAACATTTCCCGTACAAATTAGGCTCCGTCCCCTTTTTGTAGCCTTAACTGTGCTGCGTAAAATAAAACAAATAGATGTGGATGAATTCATACTTATGCTCTTCTGAAACCATCTCAAATTATTATGGTTCTCCATTCTCATTAAAATCAAATCATTTGATCCGCTCACATAGATCGCTACACAGGGACCCAAGAAAACTCCATTTAGGGTAGTATCCTAGCAACCTTTCAATTATCCAATCAAACGTTTGCTTCCAAGAATTTAGAAGTATCTCAGAATTCAGTTACAAAAGTACAAGACCCAATGATACATGGTCGGAAAACCGTGACCTAGTTTTCGTAGTCTGTCAAAAGAACGACCACAATCTTTTCTGTTCAAAAATATATTTAGTATTTGCTTTTGCCATGTTTTTAAGCTCTTTTTTGTACGAAACGATAAGATCTTTTCCACAGCGACTTTCACTTTTACATTCTTTTTCCCGAATGTTGCTTAAGTACGATCTCTCTGACTGGTCAAAATTTTAATGACTATTTTTTTTTTATTAGAAAGATTACCCTAAATGGAGTTTCCTCAGATCCATGTGTAGCGATCCTTATATAAAGTCATTGGAAGGCGCACTTGTGCTTATACATTCAAGACATTTTATGCATGACGTTATTATATTAGGGACTGGCAAAACTTACCCCTATTTAGAAAAAAAAAACATGAATTAGAGGTTTATTCGTCTAATCATAGAACACCAATGCATTTTTAGCTCCCTTCATCAACAAACTGCGCAGAATTCACAAAATATAGATGCTATCTTTTCCACAGAACGAGTTCGAAAACTAACCTAAACCCACAATCATGCACTTCCTGTTCGGAGAGAAAGTGCTGCAAACAAAATTAAAAAAAAAAAAAAAAAAAAAAAAACCTTGTTCATTTACAAATATAAGAATCTAGTATTCTTGAAAATTTCACTTTTTTTTTTTATCTCAAACCGGTTTTGAGAAAAACGCTGAAAAATGTCCATTTTATAATTCATGCCTCACTCATTACACATAATATTTTGCCTCTGTGTAATCCTTGTTACTCCTTTATACAAAGAGTATAATAAAATCTAAAAAAAAAAAGTATGAAAATATCCAAAACTCGAACAAAAATGAACACAAGACATCACTTTAAAGATAATATCGTTAAATTAAGCTTTAAAAAGTGAGAAAAACTTCTATTATACATAAAATAAAATCTTGAAAAAGAATATTAATGAAAAAAATATATAATTAAAATTGACCTTAACCCATATTCCCTTCCTGTTCGAAGAGAAAGTGCAGCAAACAAACTAAAAAAGGTGTTAATTTACAAATATGAGGATCTAGTATTCTTGAAAATTTCTCTTGTTTATCTCAAATCGGTTTTGAGAAAAACGCTGGACAAAAGTCCATTTTATACGTCAGCCATTACTTTGGACTGGAAAGAATTTTTTCAAGAACTGAATTCTTAGTATACTTCACATACCAGCCTAAATTGTGAAAATCTTTAAACATTTCAGAGTAATCGAGCTCGCAAAAATTGGGGAGGAATAATAATAATAATAACAAGAAAACTTGTGCCATGGCGGCAAGAAGATTTTCCATCCCTTTTCCATCATCATACATCATCAGAGAATTTATTCCTCACTCACTACACATAATATGTTGCCTTGAGCAATCTTGGTTACTTTGTTATACATTAAGTATGATAAAATTTATAAAGTATGAAAATATCTAAAATTTGAACAAAAATGAAGTCAAGACATCACTTTATAGATAATATCGATAAATTAAGATTAAAAAAATGAGAAAAAAACTTCGAACATTCTTTTGGCTGAACCCTGGTCGCTCACATGAGAAACGTTGCTAAGGGAGACCTAAGAGAGAACTAGAGTGTTCCAAGGAAGGTATGTGTTGCCTGCTTTGTAGCATCATTAAAGATGTAAATAAATCTAATAGTGGTAAGCCACTTACTAATCACTAGCAAGATTCCTCATGCATTTGCCGGCAAAGAAAACGCATCCACGGAAAGTATAAGACTCCGATAGAATGTAACAATCAAAGAAAAAATGGTTCCCAACCCTCAAATGATATAAAAAAATTATTAGAAATAATTATGAATCATTTTATTAAAACGTGTTTCCAACAATCATCCAAAAGAGATTTCTGTCTATTCTTAT